AAAAAATAATTTAACTTAAAAAATTTAAAATAAAATTAAAGTGTATAATTATTTTCCAAAAAAATAAAAGTGACATAGGATGTGGGACAGACAAAAAGAGCAATGTGGACACGATAGGTGAGACGAAGAGAGTAATAAAGAATGTGATTGTAAGGGTGTTATTTGTATATATATACATATAATTGTCTACATTTTCTAAGGGTGTGTTTGTTCAGGGGTTTGAATTTTGAGTTGAGATTTGAATAATAAAAATATTTGAATTGTAATAATTGTATGATGTGATACAAATACTTATTGATGTGATATTTTGAATGCAAAATTAATTTTTAGTACAATATAAAAATAAAAAAATAGACATTTGATTTGATATTTTTGGAAAAAAAAAATTGATGAATAGTAGAATTTGAGGGATTTTCTCCAAACGCACACCCTAAGTTATTTATCAAAATGGGTTGAATAAACATTAACATTTATTGCATGCATTTAATTTATAATCAAATATTACATTTATACATTTGATTAAATCCAACAATTTAAGACTAATCAATATTGTACATATTGATTAGATATAATTGGCATCATAATCTTATCGAGAAAATATATAATCATAAACATAATTTTTCAGCGGTTTTCAAAACCAAAATCTTCCACAATTTTTGGGTTTCAACCCAAACGATTGATAGTTTAGGCCCAAACTAAAGGCCCATTATGGTTGAAGAAAGCAATATAAAATTCGATGCCCCTATTTCTTCTAATTAACACTTGAACATTTGTTTACTTGCAACTCTTTTCCCATTTTTTTTTTTTTTTTTTGTAAATTTCAACTACTTTTTATAAAAATATATTTTTATTATTATTTTGTGTGTATAAAATATAATACTAATATAAATAAAATAATCTTATAATGATAAATTGGACATCTAAAAAGTAAGACGAGAGTATTGTAAAAATTTACTAATAAATTGATAAAAAGGATACAGATAAATAAAAAAAATAGTGACAAAATAATAATTATTTATTAAAATATAAATAATAAAATTATAGGTGATTTTTTTTTAAAAAAAAATTATAAATATACATAAATTTAACAGATAATTGAAAAAAAAAATACTGATATATTTTAACAGACAACAAAATATATAATTATTATTTAAATTAAATAAACCACTAAGCAAACAAACGTCATAAAATAAAAATAAAAATAAAAATAAAATGAAATTAAAATGAGATTCTGTTTTAGTGCTGAATTTAGAATAGGAAAGAGGTGATGGACGTGGTATGCGGTGGTTAAGTTGTGAGTCTAATTAAGGATCGAGTTGCTATTATTATTATTATTATTATTATTATTATTATTCTTTCCTTATCCTAATGCAGAATTAAGAATCAGGACATATTTTAAAGATGTGTTGCCATTACTACCTCATCATTCCGTACCACACTTTTATATACACATACATACGTGTATATATACAGATTATTTTTAATTATCATATTAATGCATGTAAATTTTTTAATATTAATATTATATTAATATATATATTTAAAATTTGAATATTTGAAAGTTATATATTACTCATTCATTGTTATTGTTTGTTATATTTATTTGTGTGTGTTTTTGTTATCCTGGTGGTGTGGGGACTTATGACTGTGAGGTCATAGGTTTAAACATTTGATGCCTCAGGTCACCTGCCATACATGCTTCGCCTAGTGTGACTTGTCTGTCAGATCTAGTTGGCAGAGTATTAGGTTCGGTCGGGTTTACCGAGTGCACACTTTCGGATAGCGGCTGCTGATTTCCGCGTCATAAAAAAAAATTAATAAAAATAATTTTGTTATTTTCTCTTATTTTATAATATTGATGTGATATTAATATTAAAAAATTTACAGATTAAAATATGTTGCACTAATGTAGTAATTAAAAATAATTAGTCTTACTTAAATAGGTAAAATTAATCTATTTAAATAATATTTATAATTTGTATTATCTTATATTTAATTAAACAAAATAAATATAATATTAATTAATCTTATAATTATATAATCTATTGAAATAAAAACGCAACCGTAGAATAATAGTATAATACTCACAAGGTTAAAGATAATACTCACAAGGTTAAACATAATACAAATAAATATATGAGTATACGGAGTAATGGAAAACTCACATCACATAAGATATACTTTATATGTCAGCTGTGCTACATTTATTTTTTATATGTTAATTTTTGAATATTAATTATTATTATATTAAAATATAGTACAAATCAATCGAAAAAAACAAAAATACTCATATTAGCGTTTTATAATATTAATATAATAATATTTGTACAAAAAATATATATAAATAAAAAATATTTTTAATATTAAAAAAAAAAGATACAACTTTTATAGACAAACAAAGAAAATATAAATTACTATACATTTAAAATATAAACATAAAATATATTGTAAGAATATATATACATATATATATGCTACTATTGATTTTCATTACACGAAATATATTCCTACAACATACGTATACACGTATGAATAGCCAACTATATTATTTAAAAATATGTATTGCATGCGTGTCTGATTTAGCCGTTAGCACTATAACCAACCCCATCACGAAGATGTATTCATCTATCGAAGCATCCAATTCTGTCCACATACACGTTTTGTCAATTCATTACTTCCCAACTAATTAACTACAGATCACTAAAGATAATATCAACAAGCTTTTAAATAATTACATAAAAAAAAAAGATTGAATTTTTATTAATTATAAATACTTCTTCATATTCTCCAAGGTTCAGAAATGTCTGCAAATTAAAGACAATGTTCAAAGAAACTCGATCAATCCCATTCATAATTCATCAAATTTTGTCACACACACATATACATACATATATATACATATGTATGTATGAGATTGATAGTCGCATGATATTGGTATATATCTTGGGATTATCAATCTATTACACACATATATATGTATGTACGTACGTATATGAATAATATGACTTGTAATTTTAATTTTAATCTTAATTTACGTGTACATAATTATTATTTTTTTTTTAAAAAAAATAGATAGATAGATAGGTAGCAAGTTAGGACAAAATCCGTTGGATTAAGAATCTAAACTTGAGAAATATGTGAAAATTAACAATTGACCTTTTGAGAATACTAAGGGGCACAAATATGGCCTGACGGATCGATTTGTATGTATTTTTTATTTTCCATCGTTCAATATACATACATATATAGTTATATTGTTAAGAATCTTGTTGAGCCAGTTTAGAAATAAATAATATATGTATGTATTTATATAATTATTGGTGACTAGGTGTATTCTTTTCATTGTTTTTATATCAATAAAGTAGCATATCTAATCGGATGTCCACCTATGTATGTTTGTCCTATATATATGTTGTAATGCCAACTTGTGGCAAGTTTAAACATTCATTACAATCTGCATATTTGTTAGCTAGATTATAGAAAGTTCTTGTTTAATTTGTTTCATGAATTTCAGAACGGCTTGGTTTAAATTAGTATACAGACAACACATAAAATATAAATTAGTCTGTATATGATTTAAATGAACACAATTTCTTAATTCAAATTCAATTGTAGTACGCTGTTATCTGAAGTATTATCACATAGTGTCATGTTCATATGTTGTATTGGTATTACCTTAACATATACCTTATCCAGACTTATTTGTCTTCTATGCATAATATGATTAATTAACAAAGATTAGTTGCTGAAATTTTAGCTGAGTATCGACACCCGAGTTAGCCTTGTCGATATATAATTTCTTTGTCAACATTAGATGCTTTGGATTTAATATGCTTCTCCATTTCTCTTTTCTATTTCAATGTTAAGGATTGAGAGTTGAGAAAATTGAACCTATATTACCAAAACGTTGGACAAGATCGAAGAAATGGCGTTCACTGTTGTTTTAATATTTTGAATTATGATTTTTTTAATATAAATAAAATAATTAAGTCTTATGATTCACACACACATCACTTTGGATCAAGTGGTGTTGATTATATTTTTTTTATACTCGTGTCCTGTCAAATAAACATATTTTTTTATAATGGAAAGAGTAATTATATGTGTTGATTGGATCAAATCATTATAATATTGATTAATGTAATTAATACAAATATATATGATAATACAGTACAACAATATATATTATACAACACATACTTCTATATCACTATCAGTTATTCACCCAGTAATTCATGGACAAATGATTGATAATCAGTACTATAGCCGCCGCGTCGAAACGAGAGTTTAAAAACACAAGTAAGTATGTCCAAGGAAGTACGCATAACTAATTCTATTACATATATGTCCAAGTGATTTGAGGCCAAAGGTTGTTTAAAATCAGCAAAACAACAATTTAATTCCCGTGGAGGTCGACGAATTCGATCGGGTGTCGAGAGACGAAGCAAGCTGTTTTTCCAGCAACTTTTAAAGATGGCTTTGTACGTTCATTACAAGAATATCTGTCTGGAATGTCTAGATCTCTTGTCATTAACGTATGGAATTTTCAGACAATAAAATTATCTATTTTGTATAATTTGTCCTCTAGTTCTATAATTTTTTATTTTTATTCTTGTATAAAAGATAATATAATTTTATTGATTTGTTTTTGGACTGATTTTTTCTCTAGAATCTTAAGGATTTGGAACTTTCCTTGCAACTTCATTTGGAGAGATGAGGAGCTTTTCATCCACTGTATGTAATAAACAATCTGAGAATCATAATTCATAAAGCCATCTAGAGATTGAATGAATATATGCCCCCATTTTAAATAATTGCTTAAAGATACACCAATAAAAAAATAAAAACAATAATACATATGAGATCATTTAATTTAATTTCATTCAACCCTATCCAGTTAAGGAATAAAATAAATTCTTCTTACATGTATGTATCATATGTGTCTCCATTCATTCTTCCATCTCAAGACTTCTTAGAAGCATAAATAACAGAATTCCATGACAAATACTTGTAATAGCAAATTACTCTCTACTGTTCATCTTTCCAATCTCTCTTCTTACATCAAAACTTTCAAATTTTTTTATTTTCTTGATCCCATCAGATCATTTCACTATTTTATTTTAAATGAAGGGAATCCAACAGAACTATGGATTTGACAGTGAGTCCATTACAACACCAGAAGTACTGCCTGAATATTTTCCGCAAATCTATTTTGGCACTATTCATCAACAATCTTCTCCGACGGGATTTTACGACCCACCGGAAAATTCCTTTCGCCGTCACAAGAGCGCCATCATCGGCCAGATAGGATCGCCGACGGCCTTTTATGCAACCGAGCTCTACATGGGCATGTCCCAATCTGATTTGCAAGAAAAGTTCAAGAATTCCTATGAAAGAACAACCTCAGGGAATGACTTCCTTGGAAATTCGACGGCTTGGATTGAACCGGAGATAAGAACTCAATGTGGATCATACAGACATCCTTTCAGCAGCTTGTCCGAGAGCGAAAGGATATTACATCTCAAAAGTAAGCTCCTCGGAAATCTCGAAGATCCAAACTTGAGAAGCAATTCGTCGTCGTTTGATCCACATAAAAGTCTCCAAGTAAGCATACAAAAGACAAGTTCTGTTTGATTTTGATTTGAAATTAAGATTTAATTCGTATTTTTGTTTAAATAGCATTATGAAATATTTTACGAAAAATGAAAAATTGTATTGTATTAATCATCAAAATAAGATCAAATTTAAATCTAAATAATATAATTTATGATAAAGAACAAATTTAAATCTAACTCTAATATTAAATATAGTATTTCGAATATTTTCTTTTTCAAGAATGTCTAGATTGAATAGTTATTTCATTATTATTTGTTGTTTTATTTTTCAACTGAATTCTCTGCACAGATCTTACAAAACACGTGCTCGCCTCAATCCGGACATATGAAGCAGCTCGGAATAAGAACTCCGGGATGCCTTTCGACGGCGCCAGCTGGCGCTATTTCATCATCACTCAAGACACGAATCCGGTGGACTCAAGATCTTCACGACTGGTTTGTAGAATGTGTGGGTAGACTAGGAGGCCCCGACAGTAAGTCATATCCTGTCTGAATCCTACTTCATCGTATAAAGTCCATAGATGTTCGATTCATCCTTCGTTCGAAAAACAGAGGCGACGCCGAAGGCGATACTTAAACTGATGGATACCCGAGGACTCACAATCTTCCATGTCAAAAGCCATTTGCAGGTTCGCCGTAAATTTCATTCATTTCTTACCTTTCATTGTTAATTTTCTTACATCTTCATCTTTTTCTGTAGAAATATCGAAATGCCAAGTACATACCCGAATCGATAGAAGGTACACTCTGCTGTAAAAACTGTTGAAAGATTCGGTTTAAATTTGTTAGATTTAAATTTAGATTTAATTATATTTATTAGATTAAGTTATTTAGATTTGAATTTTGTTTTATTTATTGTGCCTATATATGCTTTTTTAGATTTGAAATCTAAAAAATTGAATTATTGATCGTCAAAACTAAAATATCTAGAGTTTCTCGACAAAAACATTTCCATGGCTAATAAAAATCCAGCTTCTGTAGTAATGTGTCTGATTTAATCTCCTCTCCTCGGCCATTTCGAACTAGGAAAATCTGAGAAGAAGACCACGACAAATAATGCAGCGCAGATCGATCTCAAGACGTATGGTTTCTCATTTTTTATTACAAGATCTCTCGGCTAATGTACAACTTCACTATCGGCTGTCTTCTTGCAGTGGAGCGCAACTAAAGGAGGCGCTACAACTACAATTAGATGTCCAAAGGCGCCTTCACGAGCAAATAGAGGTAATGTGTCATTACGGTGCTGATTGAGACAATTTGGCCCGGCCAACATATATATAAAACAGACATACAATACAAATTGTCTTTAATAATAAATAAAAGCACTTTTTGCCTATTCATAAAAGTTAAATTTTTCATTTTTAGTTGTTCGAATAACCAAGAGTTATATATTTTTTTTTCAAAAACTTTGTATCTCACTACAAGGTGAACAAAATATCCAAAATTCGAATATCAGATCCGAACCAAATCGAAATTTAAAATTTGGTTCGGATTTTTCAGATTTTCGGATCGGTTCGGATTACAAATTTTAAAAATTTTGGATTTTCGAATCGGATTAGATTGGTATACTAAAAATTCGATCCAATCCGAAATTCGAATTATAATTTATTAATATTTTATATTATGTATTTAATATTTTAATAAAAATATAATATTTTATTATAAATATAAAATTAAAATTACTAATTACATATTAATATACTTCATTATTATTTATTATTTTATTATGTATATTTATTAAAATGTTATTTCAAAATATTATGTATAAAAATCTGAATTTTGTTCGGATTTTTTCATCCGGATTTTGAAGTTTAGATTTTTTTTCGAATTTTTCGGATTGGTTCGGATTTTCGGATTTCGGTTAATTGAGTTCTGTTCGGATTACCTTTTTAAAAAAATTCAGATTTTCGGATCAGTCATTTCGTTACAAATAAAGTCAAAGGTCAAATTTATTTTTTAACCTAAAAACCCACCAACTATCATTGTAATACTATATTTATTAATCTCTGTGTCAAAGTAAATATAGCTATTTCGCCCAGACGAGGAAGTATTTTCTTAAATGCTGATATCAATGCTAGCATGTGATGTTTGAGATTATATCATATATTATTAGTTCATGTATTATATTAATATAAAACATGTTCTATTTATAGTTATATCATGTGCTGTCAACACTAGCATGCTGAATTTTATAATTTAGCAAAGTGACAACTGTCTGTTGAATTATTTCATCGAATTTTATGTTAGAAGAGGGAATGTCTTAAAAGTTCCTTGCTCTCTCGGTGGTGTAGATACAAAGGAACTTACAATTAAGGATTGAGGAGCAAGGCAAACAGCTTAAAATGATGTTTGATCAGCAGCAAGAAACCACGAGAGGTCTTATGGAGACAAGAAATTCGAGGTTACCTAACGACATTCCCGGTGCAATTGAAGATCCAGAGGTTCTTGTTTTAGATGGCTCCGACGATGATATGGTCTTTCCATCCAAGATAAGCTAAGATATATATATATATATCGATAGATAAATTAGTGATTTTCGGCGAAGCCCATTAGCCTCATCTGTGTAATGAGTTCGATGTGATCAAATTATGTCTTAGGACAAAATCAATTACAGCAATAATTAAGTATAAAAATTGATCAGGATTTAGCCTTGTTCTGAACATACTTGTGGCTTCATCATCTCTTGTGATGATATAAGTTTTTGTTCTTTTCTCCGACATTGTATGAACCAATTTGCCAAGAGAAATTGAGGATGACATAGTAATATTGTAATTGTAGTAATACTACTTTGCACAAGGAAGAGGAGTGTTTGTTTGGGCTATGGATTTTAGATTGGGATTTGAATAGTAAAAATTTTGAATTGGAATAGTTGTATGATTTGATATAAATAAGTATTGATGTGATGTTTTGAATGTAAAATTTTTAGAATAATATAAAAAAAATAAAAAAAATAGATGTTTGATTTGATATTTTTGAAAAAAAAATTTGTATGAATTGTGCAAATCCCGCCCTAGGGGTGTGTTTGTTCGTCATACTTTCTCTAATTTATACTATTCATAAAAACAATTCCTCCAGAAAAATATGAAATCAAAAAACTATTTTTTATTTTTTATATTATACTAAGAAATTATTTTTTACATTCAAAATATCACATTAACATCTATTTATATCACAATATACCACTATTCAAATTCAAAATTTTTACTGTTCAAATCTCAACTCAAAATCTAAACTTTCAAACAAACACACCCTAATTATCATTTCGATGACACCTAGGAAGAAGCAAATGAGACAAATCTTGAAGCTGTCTAAACAAAAAGGGAAACAAGGTAGAAAAGATCAAGATATATATATATATGCTGATAAAATGATCCAGTCATGAATACATTTAGTACAATCAATTCGTTATTTTCCACGTAAAATCTCTAGCTACTCGTCTTATTCTGGACATATGACGCCGTTCGGAAGACCTCCCGGATGCCTTTCAACGGCACCGGAAGCTGCTTCATCATGCAGGACACGAATCTGGTGGACTAAAGATCTTCATGACTGGTTTGTCAAGTGTGTGGATCGACTAGGTGGTCCTAATAGTAAGTCGAATTCGATCTGTCTGAATTTTATTACTTCCCTCTATAATGTCCAAAGCTGTCGAATTCATCCTTAATTAATTTATTGGTGAAACAGAGGCGACGCCGAAGGAAATACTTAAGCTGATGGACACCCGAGGACTCAACATCTTCCATGTCAAAAGCCATTTGCAGGTTCGTCGTAAATTCATTCATTTGCTAAACTTTACTAGGCATTTCTCGAAATTTCTGAGTCAATCTATTCTATCTTCTTTGTAGAAATATCGAAATGCGAAGAACGTTTCAGAATCCATGGAAGGTAAGCTACACTTTGATGTTCAAGAAATCTCATAAGAAATCGAATTTTATAGGCTGATTTATTTTTCCAATAATATTCAATTTAGAAAAATTCAACAAGTATGAAATTGAAATTCTTTATTTCAATCTTACAAAATCTTACGTATTTATAGCGCAATAGATCGTCTAAACAAATCTAAAACCCTACAAATTTAAGAAATACAACTATTAACATAATATATATACACACACTATATTAGGGTTGTTGGTTACAGATTCAAACACTTTTAGCATGATATTAACGGTACACAAAATATATACAAGCAATATAAAATACTACATGACAACATACGGTTTACATTAAGATAATATAAATTGACAATACATTACAATAATTCGCACAAGACATATGCTTATTTTTAAGTGCTTGTTAGGACCCTTGCTCTAATCAAATTACAATACATCTTTTTTTCTTTATTTTTTTCGCAAAGGCTTAATTTCGACTAATTTACAACTTCACTCGTGTTTGCTAATTCAAGCTTATCAACTAAAGGATGCGCTCCAACTACAACTAGATATACAAAGGCGTCTTCACGAACAAGGAGAGGTATGATAAATTTGGACTTTTGGCTCTATTTTCTTTTTAAAAATTATCGAATCAAATACCCAAAACTCTCTTATTCATATATGGTGGAAGAGAACATATATATATATATATATGTCTTAATTAATTAATAAGTAATTCTTGCTGATCTTTTGGTTTTGTATGTATGTATGTAGATTCAAAGAAAGTTACAGGTGAGGATTGAGGAGCAAGGAAAAATGCTGCTTAAACTGATGAATACTCAGCAAAGATCGATAAGAAGAAGTAGTGTGGTCGTCGCGGATTCAAGAATCGTGGGCCGCAGTAAAATGTGAAACTACTGATCGATGCAATGGATTACCATTTGGAAAATGTAATAAGAGAGATAAGAATATTGATGATACAGACAGTCTTTCTTATACTTGCAGGCATATATACTTACACACAAGTCTGAGGAAGCATTCCTAGGCTTCGATTGTGCCGGTTATAGAGGTGCAATACATAAGAGTTTGTTTAGATAGAAATTTTTAGAGGTTTTTGAAAATTTTAAAGTTTGAAAAAAATAAAATATTAATATTTAATTTGATATTTTGTGAAAAAAAATATATTTAATATAATATTTTTTTAAAAATAAATAATACAGTAAAAAGTAAACAAAGCATAAATTTTTAAAAAGCAAAAAGAACACATCATATTAAATTATCGGTTAGATTTTAAATTAGAAATTAGTTGAAATGTATTTATTTAATCAATATTTAATTTATAATATAATATAATGTAATACTATTTGAAAAAATAAAATACGTATTTAAACATGTATCTCCGCCGCTGGGGCAATGACGGGGTTCGATTTGTTAATTTGTTTTGCTCTCAACCTTTTTCTCTCTTTCAACAACGGACTCATATTTCTCCTGTGGATTTAATGATCGTTGCTGAGGGTTTTGTAAAACCCCAGAGTCGGTTACCATTACAGAATTGATCGACGGCCTTGTTCGGAGCAAACAAAGAAGCTGCCGAGGCTCAGTTTTTCTCCGATGGAGACAATGTTGAAGCAGCTTCATCACCCAAGGTCTTCAACAAATTCAAGTCGAGGTTAGAAATTCACTTCATAGGCATCATATTTTGCGAATAAAAGCTTTCCTCCGAAGCAATGGCCACGAAGAGTTTGGGGAAACTGAAAATATCCCAATTTCTCAAACCTGTTTCTCTATCAAACCCTAATTTTCAATTCAACGGGCCATATAATCTTTTACACCATAGGCTATGTAGAACAGCGAGCACTGTCGATTTTAATAAAATTGCAAATCTCGGTGACCTAGCGAAGAAATCACGTTTAGTAAGATCAGAAGCTCAAGCTGCTTTGTTCGATTATTTCCATACCGCTAGGGGTTTACAGATTATGGATGCTGAGAATATGAGCAAGAACACCCCTGCATTTTTCGATAATTTGGCTCAAAGAGTGGATGTATATAACGACGATGCTTGTCGATCTGTTGCAAGATTCTTGAGGTACAATCCAGTTAATGAGTTTGAGCCATTCTTTGAGAGCATAGGGTTGAAGCCCTTCGAATACGTCTCATTTCTTCCAAAGGATACGATCTATTTAAACGATGATGAATTGTTGTTGGAGAACTATTCTGTATTGTGTGATTTCGGCATTGCTCGAAATTGGATAGGGAGGATTTACAAAGATGCAAGAGAGGTTTTCAAATATGAATCTGGAATTTTAAGGTTAAAGCTTCAATCTATGGAGAATTTGGGGCTGAAACATTCTGTTCTTGCAAAGGTTGTTGCTTCGGCTCCTCGGATTTTAACTAGTGGGGTTGGTTATCCATCATTTGTTGAGACTCTTTCAGAGTTAAAGAAGGTCGGTATCGAACAAGACTGGCTTGAGGAGCATTTATCTTTAGAGGATTCCTACGATTGGGAGTGTATGCTTGAGCTCATCTCATCGTTAAGTCGGTTGGGTTTGAGTGAGGATCGGATAGGCGAATTGTTAACTCGGCATCCTCATCTTTTGCTTGAGCATTCCGGGCGTATTACCTTCGCTTTGATTGGATTCTTGTTGAAATTTGGATCCACTTCGAGTGATGTTCAAAATGTGTTACTTAAATTTTCGCAAATTCCAGTTGTTAAATTCGGCAAAAATTTACAGAACTCTTACAGATTTCTAACAGAGATTGACATGGCTGTGAAAGATGTTGGATGGGTTGTGCGTTCACACGCGACATTATTGGGGTGCCACGAACTCAAAAAAGCTAATAGCTTGTTGGCCTTATTGAACAGTGGAAAGAATACACTTTGTCAAATGATCAAGAACGACCCGCGCGTGCTACAAAAATGGATCTATGGCGTCAGGGTCGAGCCGTTGCACAAGGAAAAGAGGGTTTCGAGGGTAAGGATGATAAAAACAAAGTTCTTATTAAGCATAGGTTTTGTAGAAAACTCGGAGGAAATGGAAAAGGCATTTAGAGGTGTTCGAGGGAAAGTGGAAGAACTTCAAGAGAGGTTCGATTATTTAGTGAATCTTGGTATAAGTCACGAGGAAGTTGTAAAGATGGTCAAAGTAGCTCCCCAAATTCTGAACCAGTCCAAAGATGTTGTCGAAACAAAGATTGGGTTTTTTTTCAAAGATTTGGGTTTGCAGGTCTCCGATTTGGTCGGTCATCCTAAACTTGTCTCGTATACGATCGAGAGGGTGAAACTTAGACTTGCAATGTATGATTGGCTTAGAAAAGAAGAGGTTAGACATACAAATTTATCCTTATGCAGTTTGCTGACGTTATCGGATAAAGAATTCGTGAAGCTGTATGTGAAATGCCATCCTAAAGGGGTCGAACATTGGGAGAATCTGCAGAAAGAAATATATTCTGATCGACATAAATAGCTACTCAATGGCTTTAGAAATAGGCCCAATATTGGAAAATTTGAGCTCAAGCGGCGTAATCTGGAATTCTGGATAAGGTAACACTATTCGGCTTGTCTTCATGTAATTTGTTCATCTATTTTAATAATTATAGTTGCAAGGAATATAATGCGATCTTTCTATGATGTCTTTTTTAGTTGTTCTAAATGCTCCTTTTTGTTCATGTCGGCACTAAATAGTTTGTATCTACGATTTCTATTGCCTGCAGATTGTTATGAGATAAATTGCTGTTTTTTGATTTATACTATTTCTCTATTATACATGTGCTCGTTTCCATGGTTATACCATCAAGTTTTATTTCTTAGTCTTCTGATTCACCAGATTGGCCTTCGAATTTACAGTGATGATGAATTCTTACCTAGGAATGATGTTTGGGTATGATCTGCATTCTTTTTCTAAATTTGTTCATGTCTGATTTATTCGACCATATATCTTTTGATCGATGAGAGCATTATCCTGTTGCAGGGGGTGCATATACATCAAAAAAATCGACACCTTGTATGTATTGTCATCGAGCTGATGCTATTAAGGAATGAAGAAAACTCAAATCACAGGTTATTTACTTAAGTTGCGTCGTCCTCCTCTAGCTATTGATCTATATCGAAATGAAAAACTTATTGCTAATATAAGCCAAACAAGACATCGATTTTGAACTTTATCCTCTATCGAAATCGATTTTGTTTGAGTCGATTCTTGGATTATTTTTAAGTTGAATTTGTCTCAACCCTGAAGATTTTTAACTTTGGAAAAATGTTCATTTCTGGGTATAATTTGATTATGTAGTTAATTTGCATCAATTTCTATCTGAGTCTTGTTATTCCAAAATTCCCTAACAAAACTTTTGCACTTATAATGGGTTGAAAGTTTCTTAGTTCTAGAGCAGCTCAGCTTGTTAATGGTTCACTTAAGAAAAGAGAAAATTATTATTATTATTATTATTATTATTATTATTATTATTATTATTATTATTATTATTATTTTAGAATAATAGTATTTACTTAAGAAAAATGTTTTTATATATTTGTTTCTTTTAGTAGTATTATTGTAAAGATGATGAATTGTAAGAGTGATTATTTATGAAATATTGGCCTACAATGTTATACAAAATAGGTAAATTTATCATGGTTGGATCAAGTATATATATATATATATTATAACTACAATAATACCATAAAAAAATACATTTATTTTTAAAAATACAAAGTGAATAAAGCTATTTTGCATTATTTTCATATATTATGAAGGGATTATTTAATGTTCCCCTTTAAAACTGCACATGTACTTTCTTATGCCCTCTCTTTTGTGATCATATCCTGATTTTGCTATTGGAAGTCACTCTTCAACACCTTTATTTTTTATTTTTTAAATTGATATTATAAAAGAAAAAAATTACATAATTAATTTGATGATTAAAAAATATAAATAAATAAAAATTTAATAGTCCTTCCTCCCACCTAAATAAGGACACTTAATAGTAAAATTCACAAAATAACGTAAGTATGACATTAGGGAGACAAACACAAAAGAGGGGGCCCTATGGCTGCTTCTCTGTGGCACTGTAATTGTAAATGACCTCTGGTACAAATACAACACAACAACCATTCAAATAAATAAATAAATAATCGATAAAAAAATAAAATAATAATTAGTAAATAAATAAATAAAAATTATAAATAAGTAAATTAATAAATAATGAATAAGCACAAATGATAAGGTGAAATTATAATTGAAAATGACTGATCAATAGAGAATCATTTGTTTTTACAGGTAAAAAGCAGAGTGAATCTTGGCCTGCTGAGGGAATGGACACAACACAACTTTATTATCATTATTTATTTATTTATTTTGATTTTTGTATTTATATTTATATTTATATTGAGATAGGGAGTATTAGAGGTAGCAGACAAGTACATATTTTATTTAATTCCTACTGCTATATTTCTCTTCTTCAGCTGACTTTTTATTTATAGAGAATACCAAAAATGTTGTGAACATAAATCTATTTATGCTCCAGACAAACCATCATCTGTTCACTTTTGTCTCAGTATTTCAACAATTTATTTATTATTATTATTATTTTATTTTAAAAAACCTAATCTTTGTAGAGATGCTGCACCGAGAAACAAATGATAATAATTATTTAAATAAAAATTCATCAAATTAATCTTTTCTTTTAAATTATTTTCAAAACAAATCTTTTTATAAATATGGCAGATTTTCGAGGACAGAAATGGATATTGGCAAGAGGCTTTAATACAGACATCAAAACCATGTGAAAAATATTATTTTGATGATTATATATATATATATATTTATTTATTTTGGGAGAGTCGACTCATCTCTCATCCCTTCAAACTTTGCATGATTGCAATTTAGGTTTGTTTAGATAAGGGTTTTGGAGATTTTTAGAAATTTGAAAAAAATTAAAAATTTAGTATTTAATTTGATATTTTGTGAAAAAAATATATATTTAATACTATAATATTTTTTTAAAAATAAATTGTAATAAATGAGTAAAAATTATATTGTGTAAAATATACTGTGTGAACAGGTGGTAACCTTTATATGTTGAAACTGCGATTACTCTTTTCTGTTCTTCTTCGTGAATTTCCTGTCTGTCCTTTTGCTTTACTGTGTCTGTAACTGTACTCATCAGCTTTCCAAGAAATTATTTGCTTGGTGGCTTGTTTTATTAAATTTTACAAAATTCTTATTACAGTATCTATTATATATTATATATTTTTTTAAAATATCAAATCATATATATATATTATATATTTTTTCGTTCAGAAGAAATTATTTATTTGGGTTCGACGGGCAGAGTGATTGGAGGTATTTTGGAAATTAATAATTAAAGAGAATTATAAGAAAAAAATATAATAAAATTAGTGATATTTATTATAAATAAGTGTTGAATTAACAGTAACAATTAAAAAATATATTTTATTATATTAAAAAATCATATCAACACTTATTTATACTATTATTCAAATTCAATTATTTTACATTTTAAATTTCAAACCCAAAATTTAAAATCCCAAACAAACACACCCTTACTCAATCTCCCAGTTTCACTGTACTACTTGGCTTTCCAAAGTGGCCGTACTCTGTTTTCTTCTGTTGGCACCAGAACCCACTTTCAATTATTTTATTTATTTATTATAATTAATTTATAATTGTGGTCTCCGCATAAATGGGTTTAGTAATAGTTTTTTCTATCCCACCAAGAATGGAAAAATGGTCTTCTTCTTCTTCCTCAACCAATACCTTAAAGTTTGGCAAGAAAATCTTCTTCGAGGACATGGCTGGTGGTTCTTCGCCGTCGTCTCCGGCGAAAAAGGGGCGGACTACGGCGGCGGAGCCGCCCAGGTGTCTGGTGGAGGGCTGTAATGTAGATCTGAGTGATGCCAAGGCTTACTATTCAAGACACAAAGTTTGTCCCCTCCATTCTAAGTACCCTAAGGTTACTGTCGCCGGAATTTACCAGAGGTTTTGCCAGCAGTGCAGCAGGTCATCCTTTTTCTTTTCTTTTTTCTTTTTTAATAAATAAAATAAAAAGTTTATTGTTCGTTGTAATAATATGTTGTTAATTAATTAGTTTGGCATTCCTTTAGGTTTCATCAGCTGCCGGAATTTGATCAAGATAAACGGAGCTGTCGCCGGCGCCTCGCCGGCCACAATGAGCGTCGCCGGAAGCCGGCGCCGGCGGGATCATTGCTGCCCCCTCATCGCCATGGAAGTATTTCTCTCCTCCATCCGTTATAGCTTTTGTTTTGATTATTATTACAGTTCTATTTACTTATTTTTAATGAAAATATAGTACCTCCATCCCAATAAAACTTTAATACTGTATTTGTTTTTCTTGGTAAATTTATTAAAAATATTAGAATTATATTTGATTGTTGTTAAAAAAAATAATAATAATATTGTATAATAAAAAGTAATAAAATTCGTATAATATATAAAAATATACTTTTTTCAGCCCTTTTGAAAAGGGCTTTGACGTTTTATAGTAAGTTAAAAAGTAGTAGTATTTTATGATAGTATAATTGCTTAAGAAGATTTGAATTTTTGCCCCTGAGTTTATATAAAAAAAATATATGTAAGTATATCTTGCTATTAACATAGGATTACTCTTAAAAAAAAAAAAAAGAATAATGAATACTTTTTATAGTATTTTTGTTTCAGGATGACAAAAATAGAAAATAAAATCCTTTCTATAAGGGAGTATTATTTTTTTTTTTTTTTATAATATATTATATCAAAGTATTATTTAAAAATGGCAGATAGCCACAGACAAGGTGGAGGCTTTGATTTAAGCGGTCAGTTCATGTGGTCGCCTTTCGCCGGAAGGAATTTCGCATTGTCGTCGGAAAACCAATCTGCCGCCATCGGAAAGCCTCAGCTGACATGGCTGAGCAGCCACCCACAAATTGCTCTGTCCCATCTTTTGCCCGACGGATGCGTCGACGAGATCCCAGACTCCGGCAGTGCTCTCTCTCTTCTGTCAAGTCATCCCTGGAGCTCGAGCTCGAAACCTCGATTATTGCCGGGTCTTGAGGCAAATGTTGTTCTCGGCGGCACCGGTAGCGGCGCAGCCTCTTCAGTTCAGCCGTCGATCGACAATGGTGTTGCCGGGTCTTTGTTCGATTTGCCTCCCGATCTGGGTTTAGGACAAGCATCAAATATGGGTAGTAGTCAGTATGGTGGAGAACTCGGGCTGGCTCAACCGGGAGACGGGCAATTCCACGTCAATCGATCGAGAAGCAACGGCAACTGGTTGCTTTGAAGGGATGGTGTGTTCTTGGGAACAAACTAGGGTTCATAGAACTTTTGATGGCATTTTGTGTCCGAATTCGGACTTTTTGGATCAACAGGCACGTGCATTTTTGCTATAATGAAGTATGAAGATTATGTAAGAACAACAGCCATTGCCTGTGTCTTGCTTATGTAAGCATTTAGGATTGAAGATTTGGTTCATCCTATCCATTGGGTTTGGTTGGATTTATGAACTAAATTAATCAGCATTGCGGCGACATCGACAGCATAAGATCCCGTTTGTCAGCACATAATTTGAATGAATATATTGGGTGTTGTACTAATTTTTAAAATGTGTGGATTATATTTCACTTGTTGTCAGCACTATACTCTCATTAATAGTTCATCGGCGCAAGAACACCCAATACCATCCTCAAGAACACCCAATACCATCCTAAGAACCTAGAAATAATTTTGCAAGAATGTAAGAAACCTGGTATCCGAGATCGGCGTCCAATTCCATAGCTGCTAATTTGTAGGTTGTAATAAGATGTTGTCGATGTATAATCTAGTGGTCGTCTTCATTTATCCCCGGGCAATCGGATTCAAGTGCTTCTGCTGTCTCGTACTGAAAGCACAAGGCGGATCAAATAAGACATAGAATGAAGATGACTATTAGAAAAAATGCATTTTGATTCGTACCTTGCATCCACAGAAAAGGCAGTAATTGAACTCGTCTCGCAGCTTCTGTAATATATTTTGCAAATCCTGCATCATCGTAAATCTGTTAGAATCGGAGGTAATGAACAGAAAGAAGCCGATAGGTTTGCTATTCATGAACAACGAATTCTGTTCCACAATCCTAATAAATAGTCAGATGCTCATTCCACAATTACAATGAATTCGACTTACAGAAGTTTGAGGCATTAATTCATTACAAATTCAAGCCACTTTTTAAAAAACAAACTTGTAAGGCAATTCAAGGATGGCATATCGAGTTCTATTCATGGATGACGAATTCATTTGGCAATCGCTACTATTTTTAATTACCTAAGTTTGAGGCATTAATCCATGACAGATTCAAGCAATTTTTTTAAGCAACTTATAATGGAGTTCAAGAATGGCATATCGAGTTCATTCACAACGATACGTTCTCTATTCAAGGGCGACAAATTCTATTCCACAATGCTAACTCAATCGACAATATTACTGCAAATTCTAATTACCAGAAGTTTGAGGCATTAATCTATTACAAATTCAATCCATTTTTTAAACAAACTTATAATGCAATTCAAGAAGGCATGGACGAAAATTCTATTCCACAATACTAAATCAACAAATTCAAGCCATTTTTGTAACAAACTTATAATGTGCAATTCAAGAATGGCATATCAAGTTTTAGGGACATTATCCTTTCAGCAATATTTCGATACAATCATAACCTAACCACAATAAATCTCCGATCAACTCCCCAAACCAAATGAAAAGAATAAAAAAATAAAAAATCAAGCTACACATCCACATTGAGAATACAAGACTAAAACATCACACATACCATAAACATCCGAATGCCGTAAAATCTTTCACTACACGCCACCATATTTGCATTAAACTCATATAAAACAATGCCAAGCAAGATTTTCAAGAGTTCCCCCAAGACAAAAAGAATATCGAAACAAATGTATGTATGTACCTCTTCTGTAATGACTTCTTCTTCCTCTTCCTCTTCTTTGTCCTTATCTTCCTCTCCTTTCTTCTCCACCTCAACAACTACCCTGTTCTCAAGCTGCGCTAATGAAGCTTCCGCCTTGCGAAAGTTAATCGCAATCCTCCTTTCTTTCCACCTCTCCTTCTGGCGACTCCCAAAATCTTCCATCAATTCTGCCTCTTTTCTCTTCATTCTCTCACCTTTTTCCTTTTCTCTCCTAACCTTTTCTACCTTCGGATCCTCCTTCCCAATCCCGGCACGTCCTCTTCTTATCTCCACTGCTAATGGTTCAGCCCTACCAGAGCCTTCTTTCCCCAATGCCGACCCTGGGGTGTACCCCATTTGTTTCAACAATTTGAATCCAATATTGGATTGCGGTATTGCAGAACCCAAATTTTCCATCGTCTGTATATCCTCCTCTACTTGATCACGCTCTCGTTTGAGTTTCCTCTGCTCCTGCCAGCTTCGAGGTTTGGATTTCTTGCCTGAAGAGTTCGAAACCACATTGTTCTCCCTAGAACCCTAATTGCGCACAAAACTCACTTCAACAAACACAGAAAGCTTCGAAAGCAATTGATTTTCGTTTATCCAGCAATAAGGAATCGTATATTTGTTGGAAACACAGATTCAATTTCAGCAAAGCAATACAAAGGAATCATCTCAATTAAGCAATCGACTATCCAAGTTTCGGAATTTCGTACAAGTAGGGATTTGCGAAGTACACGTTCGGTGAAAACCTTAAACAATCTAACGAAAAAAGCACCTGCTGCAAACATACCTTTTTCGAGGAAGGTTGAGAGGCGTTAGGAGGCAGAAATTGAGAGAGGTCTCCCATGTAATCGTCCTCCGCCATTAATCTCCGTCTTTTGGGCTCTCGACGGCTGTGAAGCTGAGTAACTTTTACATATACATTCTGTATTTCTGTTGACGCAGTCACGTGCAATGCACGTGACATGTAGGCAGTAAATACTGTTAAAACTTCTGCAGAAAATGAAAGAGATTGAATTTCATCGCCACTTCAGTTTTTATCAAAGTCATCCATGGCTTATTCTCAAGAGTGGATCATAATCAGCATCGACAATCTGCAGCCATAGCTCCTCCACCATTGCAAACACCTTCCCCCTTTCTTGATGCAGTCCATCAATGGCGGAAAACACATGAATTCTATCCTTGATTTCAATCCAGCTTCTTCCACCCACTTTCTTCACACCCTTCTCCCTCATCCAACTCCTCACCATTGCCACATTTTCCCAATCCCCAGCAGAAGCATATAAGCTACAAATCAAAGAATGTGCACCTGAATTCGTAGGATCGATCCTCAAGACCTTCTCAGCAACTCTCTTCCCGACGTCGCCGCCGCCGCCGCTGCGGCGACCTCTGCAAGAAGCCAGAAGACTCTTCAACATCACAATGTCGGGCTCGAATCCCATCCGATCAATAAAAGCTTCCGCATCGTGGATATGTCCGGCCCGAGCGAGCAAATCGACGATGCACGAAAAATGCTCTCTCGTCGGGATTACGCCGTGCTCGTGCTCCATCGATTTGAACAGCTGCATGCCTTCTTCGACGAGTCCTACGTGGCTGCACGCCGTCAGGACGCCGACGAATGTCACTTCGTTCGGGTTTACGCCTCGGATCTTCATTCGCCGGAAGAGATTCAGAGCTTCTCCGCCGTACCCGAATTGCGCGTAGCCCACGATCAAACTAGTCCACGAGAATACGTCGGGATTTTCCATGTCGTCGAAGAGCTTTCTCGCTCGTTCGAGGGATCCACACTTCACGTACATGTCGATCAACGCGTTCGCAACCTTGATGTCGAAATCGAGCCCGTACTTTACAGCTAAACAATGAATTTGATCTCCTGTCTCTAAAGACGAAACTTTTCCAGAAGCGACGAGCACGCCGGTTAAAGTGATATGATCGGGCGCTATTTCAAACTGCCGCATACGTCTGAATAACGCGAAAACTTCCGACGACAAATGCTGGTGCAAGCACATCGTAATTATAGCATTCCAAGAGACGAGATCGGCGTTACCTCGAATCTCGTCGAACATTTTGAACGCATCCGTATAATCCGAGCAATTAGCGTACATCGTCAGTACCGTGTTGCACACCGGTAGGTCCAAATCGAGCGCCGTCTTTACGACATAGGCGTGCACTTGTCTCCCTCGAGACAACGAAGATCGAGAGACGAATCCGCAAAGCAAAGATCGAACCGTGACGTTGTCGGGAGCTGAACAAGAATGCCGCATCTGACAGAAAATCGACATAGCTTCATTCGAATGGTTACCGTATGCAAAACCTGAAATCATCGCATTCCAAGCGGCAATATCGGGATTTTCGATCTGATCAAAAGCTGCTTTCGCCGAATACAAGAAACCACATTTCGCATACATATCCGTCAATGCGCAGCCCGCGTAAATATCTTTACAATAGCCGTGCTTTATACTCATCCCGTGTATCTGTTTTCCGTATTCAGGCTGATCAAGAGCGCTGCAAGCGCTCAAAACACTGCCGAAAATAAAATCATTCGGCTTATAGGTACCGTAAAACAACATTTTCTTGAAATAGCACAAAGATTCCAACTCATAACCAGTTTTCGCAAGCCCGGAAATCATCGAACTCCACGAAACCAAATCCTTACTCTTGATCCGATAGAAGATCTTACGAGCCTCATTCATCCGACAAAACTTGGCATACATTGAGATCAAAGCATGTTGGGCTATTTTCTCGGAACCAAACTCTGATTTAATCACATGGACATGTAATTGCACTCCTAGTCGATCTTCCATCAAACTTGCACAAGACTTAATCGCATTTCCTAACGTAAAGTGATCGGGGATGAGACCAGATTGCAGCATTTGGATATACAAATCGACGCTCTCAATATCTAGTCCCCGATTTGAGTATCCTGCAAGTAGAGCAGTCCATGTTACCACATTTCTCTCCCTCATATTTTCGAATACTTTCCTCGCATCCTTTGTCGAACCACATTTTCCGTACATATTGATGATATGATTCTCCAGAATCATATTCGGCAGCAAATTCGACTTCGAGACATGGCTATGAATTCTCTTCCCATATTCAAAAGATTTCAACAATGAGCATGCATTGAACAAATTAGCATATGTCCCTAATTCTAACACACAATCTGCATTCTTTTCGAATTGATCGAATGCCCGGAGAGCTTCTTTGAAAAGATTCTGCTTGCACAAAGATCTTATGGTGAAATTCAATGAATCATCAAACTTTTGACCACACATTACCATACTTTGAATGCCTCTTTTGACATAACCATCGCACCATTTCAGATTACTCTGCAACCTTTTCATGGGGACAGAAAAGAGTTAAAACTTAAAACAGCAAAGCCAATAATCCTTACTTCTCCCCTTCTTCAAAACACTTCAGAACTGAAATGGATCGTTCCACATGCAGGTTTCATCTCTTTATTTTATATAACGTAATCAGCTCCTTGATCGGGCAATTCGTCGAACAGGTATCAAGCACGTTGCATTGTTCAATTTTCCTAAAAACCCTTGAATCAATGAAACGAATAGGAATGAAGATTTGGAGAAATTACGATAGAATAAATTATTAAAGGTTCATACCGGAAAGTCTCGACATGATTACATTTCATTTTCATTGAATCGAAAATCTACCGTCAAGCTCTCACCGGCCATGACCATGCAGTTGATAGCTTGTTTTCATTCGCAACAAAAATAAAATTGCTGTTTAATTCTAATAAAATTGGGCCACATTTAAAGGCCCATATATGTGTTATTCCTATGAAGCCCAATAAAGACCCAAACTATTAATTAACTGATTTTTTGTGCTAAGAATCATTGAGGTCTATTTGCTTGTGAGTTGAAAGTTGCGTTCGATGGGATTCGCTCCCACGTCTCCTATACATGTTGTCATTTCATATCCAATTTTATTCTTTTATTTATTTATTTACTTTTTAAAAAATCACTGTTGTATTTTTTGTGGGTTTTTACTGTAGATTTTTACTATTTAAATTTTTTTTTAAAAAAATTATTATATTAAACAATTATTATTTTTTTTAATATTATATTATAAATTTATTTAATTCAAAACATATTTATATCACATCAAATAACTATTTAAATTAATTTTTTACTATTTAAATTTCAAATTCAAAACCTAAAACCCATAGACAAAACACACCCTACATTTCTTGAAAAACTATTGCACTTTAATTATATATATATTTATAAATTTTAATTTTAATTTAAATTAAATTAATTAATTATTATAATTTTAATTTTACTGTAATTATATTTTTAAATTATTTATTAATTAATTTCAAACATGACATTGTATTTTGTTTATATTGTATTTCTTCGATTCCACTGGTCAATTTTTTTTTTATTTTCTTGTGTCATCTATAATTATTCCAATAAAAAATACACTGTTACCTCTCAATTCCTGACCTCCCTTTTCTTCTTCCAGTATTTCTATTTTTATCTTTCCACCACATTTGTCCATTCTATTTCTTAATATTAATTTTTATTATAGAATAATTATTTTTACTGACACACTTTTAATTTTCTCGTTTCTACAAGTGAACCCGACACAAAATGTGTGAGACAGAAGGAGAATAAATTATCACATCAAAATATAATATAAACAAAAATTCAAATAAAAACCAAACAATCCTGAAATTCACATTAGAAGCTCAACAGAAAAGAATACATTGTTATAATCCTTTAAGCCAAACATATATTCTATTCATTGGAGAAATCCCACCAAATAAATTACAAATAAAGCCATTTTTCCTTCAAACAAAATAAATCAAATAACACCACCAAGCATGGGCAGTTCTTACCACAAAATGAAAGCAATCCAATCTTATGTAACACAAATTTATTTAGAAATCTGGAATTCAAACTCAAGACACAAATCATAATCCTGGAACTACACAGCAGTATAATACTCTAACAAACTGGAATACAACATATCACTTTGTTCAATTTAATGCAAATTACATATTTAAATCTTCTTACCAAATTTATGTAAGATAATCTGGCAACACCGGGTGTCCGCAGCCTCCAGCATCAACTAAACAGCTGAGTGCAAACTGATGGGGAAAATGGATGGAAAAGATAAACAACATTTTCGATTCTTTCAAGCTCCAATGGCAAAGCACATTTTATTCTCCTTGTAGGAAGAACAATTGCCGGATGTTTCCAGATGCTGCCAATGCACACAAACAAGAGAGTGAAAATGTCCCAAACATCCGGAAACAAAATAATGAACATGTACTCCATCAGGCATTACATGATTTTTTCACCAAGTGGAATTGTATACACTTTATTTTCAAGTGTTCTATGTCATTGACCTAATTGAAAACCCTACGGTAAGTAATAAAGTGTATCAGAATTGAAGTAAAATATTACTACAGATGGATGAAGCTAGTCTATTCTGCATACACAATATCATGTACTGACCAAACATGAGTATTTTATAAAATAAATGAATAAGATGATAACATGTAGTGTTCACCCAAGTGTAAAACCAGCTATAGGATTCCCAACAATATTACTAAAAAAGATACAATTACAATACGCCGGTTGTCATCCAAATATGTGCACAAACTTTTGAACATAGGTTTTAATGTGAGAATATATTTTTGTTGTTACTTTTTGCCTTTTATATTAAAAAAATAGTAGTATACTTTTTACTAAGGTAAACCAAAAAAAAAAGAATTGAACATAAATTAGAATGATAGAGAGGTATACGATATATGCACATTCACGCCACATATAATACTCCCTTTGTCACCTAAAAATTTGCTCATTTTCTTTTTTTCTTATATGTTATTATAAGTGTTTCTATTTCCTTTCTTAAGTAACAAAAATACACACCATATTAAAATCTTCACCAAAAAGTTTTGAGCACTCACATTCAGTTATTCAAACAAACAAAACATCATTTCCCTATGATACCTTCACAATTCCATATACCTAACAACAAAAACACCTCAACTATAAACACTAAACAAACACACCCTTTCATTTCAAATGATATATTTTCTCAGGTATAAAGACATGCTATGATGAAAGGGGTTAATCACACCAAAGATTAGCATGAAAGAAATCACAGATATCAATAGAGGAATGACCGCAGAGTGCAAGAATTACCATACAACCAGTCTTTAAAACAGGAATGCAAAGCACTAGATAATTCCCGTTTCCTGTTTTCTTCAAGTTGCGTTTCCCTCAAGATTTGCTTAACTTCACACAAGTTTTTGTCCTGGCATTGGAGCAATAAAACAATCAACCCATATTGGCCAGTTTTTTCAGAGAATAAAAAAAGTGATACCAAAAATTATAAAAGCATACATGTTTCTGTTGTGCAGCAAGGTATGCATCAGGGAGAGGGAAGGGATTAACTTTTGTAGGACCGGCTTGTTCACTCTCCAACCAGTTTGGAATCTGAATATTATTGTGCAAGGAAGATCAACAAGGATCGAATGATAATAATATTGTACATTATGAAATGCATAAAGTGAGATGTTTTGCTAAATTTCAGGGTTTGAGGGCAAATATGCACGAGTCATGATATTGACGAACTACATTTCCACATACGAACATATTCACTTAATACTTAGTTACTTTTATTCAAAATAAAGCACATACCAAAAAATTAGTAAAATGATCAGGATCTAGCTGCGTGGCAGATTCTGCTTGAACATCTGAAACGCCCGCAGGATGTGATAATGAATCATGTGGGTCAACGACACCAAGGGTCACAGGCTCATCCCATCTGTTAATGTTGGGATCGATCCCAACTTTATTCATGTGTTCCTCCAATTGTGAGTAGAATGTATTGAAAGGAGCAACCTGTGAAGCATGAGTTAAAACACTACTGATTCAATTTATTCTGTGAATGTCTGAGACGGCGTGAGGGGATTCCCAGAAAATTTGATATATTTGAAATTGTGACCGCCGAAAACACCAACCACATAGTTACTAAACTCATTAAAACAGGACTCAGTGCCAAATCACATATGAATGTCGGCACTACAATTGGAACTAACCTGCAATTTGTGATTATCACCAATAATGAGGGGTTGTTGGTTAGCGCCCAAGAAGAAGAGACACTCACGGCAGTTTGCAATGCATATGCGTTTAGTTGCAGTGATCAGGTGAACACGTTCACAGTGTTCAACTCTAACAGCCTGTATAACATATTTATGAATGCACAAGTGTCATTTTTGCTATAAAAAATATAAAAAAATTATAACATATTGAAGAGATCAATAAGTGAATTAACAGGATGCTTTTAATAACATGTTCCAAGTACAGAGTAAGAGTCCCACATTAATATCCACATAAAGTATAAAACTTAGTGAGCCAAGAGTTCTCGTAACTCCTCGACAGTAGCATTGCTATCAAGACAAACTGAAACAATCATAAATCATAATGGAATCACATTGCTAACTTGAATCACATGTCTACCTTGCCGACAGCCCCAAGTACGATAGTCGCATCAGAACATCCATAGACAGTGGCATATTTCAATGGTGCCAATATGTATATTACTGATTCATGGCAATTCACAACCTGAAAAACAAACAAAAAGGCGGTGCAAGGGATCAATTCTAGCCAAAATACACTCAATCTTGTATGAAATACTACAAGTCAGTAGCAAGGGAAAGTTGTAATGAAAAGTCAACCTAAAAACCTAAATCTATCACAATAGTTTCATTATATGTTTTCTGCCAGTCTGGAGGAACCATCAACCTCCATTAATCCACTACATAAACTAGTCACTTTCACATCAAGGTAAGTACAAGACATACCAGATAATACAGATACAGGAATAGCCCAAGATTCTTATACATTCTCACAATCACATCATAATTTTTCTGCTATAAAATCATTAGCCTACTTAGAAAAATTATAGTAAGTACTTTGTTAATCCATACTGAGATTTAACATACCATGAAGTCAATAAAAATTGATCTGTAGTGTTTTTCCAGAGAGTTTCTATATAGAAGATGGAGGGCAAGGAGGTCACAAACACAGAATGGTTTTCACCTTGATAGATGTGCCCTTAAGATCAGATTCTTGTTTCACAAAAGATGATTTAGAGATCCCTTCAATGAAACTTGGTCTAGGGCTGCCTGCTGGTCTTGTCGCACTTGTTGCAACATCAGCCATTGCGACATCCTGATCGGAAGAACTACTTGGTCCATTTTCTTTCGAAGAAACTCTATCAGCAATATGTTCCTGGGTAGCTGATATATTTTGCAGAAGCCAATCGAGAACTTGTGATGCAGGAACTGGGACGTCAGGCATGTCAGGATCTGAATTTGCAAAGAATGGTGTATTTTGACTCAAGGGGATTCTCTCAGATCCCTTTTCTCCAAAGTAAATCAAAAGTCCAAGATGTTCAAATTTATCCATGGATAAAACCTGAAGAAAAAATATTTCAACAGCAAAATATGTAAGCACATATCCTATCCAAGAACAAAAGGCACTTGCACAGCAACATAAACCAAGAAAAGAATGCACATACCATTGATTCTTCACCTTCTGCTTCTCCCAAATCTGCCAAGAGGGAAAGAATATTTCCAATGTGTTTCTGCAAATACGATAGCTGATGGGCCTCTTCATCAGCCTGAGATGGCATAAACCGACGACTATTGCTGCGCACCAGCTGCAAATGGCAGAAGCTTAATTATCGGCATTGATAATAAAACACAAACTCTATATGGACCACACTGAAGAACAGAAACATTCACTTCCACAAACTTAATAAAAAAAAATCGACTACATGCTTAAACATAGCATACTAATATTCAAATCAAAAGTTAGCAATAAGACCAAAACTAACTGCAGGTAAATGCAGATATATATATATATATATATTTCATATGTGGAAATGAGTAATATCCTATGAAGATGACAGGAATTGAATTCAAATATTTTCCTATTCAATAAACATCCAAAACAAGACTAATCAGACAGCAAAAATTCAAGTCAATCCATTTCAGTAGCCAAAACTAGATGCAGATTGCAAAATTGATATCCTATAAAGCTATAAATGGATGGACGAATTAAGCATAGTTCACCCAAAAAAAGAAGTCCAACAAATCTAGTTTTTTCGCAAATAAATAAATAAATAAATAAGAATAATCACCTGAATAGGCGAAAGCGCAGATAAAAAGCCATCAAAAGCGGACGTAGAGGGCCAAACATCAGCTACAGCAGCAGAATCCTTATGCCCTTTCGGCAGCAGCCTCTTGTAACTCTGTATGTACAAATACACAAGCAAATCAAAAACACTAACCCCAATTTCATCGATCTCCTTCGGACCCCTAGCCTTCACCAGAGGATCAGAATCGTCGTGCAGAACACATGATAGGGTTTCGATCAGAAGCCGCGAATGTTCGATTGGGATTTGCAGCGCCCCGGCCAGAATATCCGAGTTGACACGCTGATTGGAGGTGGCGGAGAGGAGACTTGATTTGACATTGGCCAAGGTCTGCGTGCCGTCGGTGAAAATGAGTTTAGAAATAGGGAGCAAACCGTGCTCGAAGAGCTCCCGCCGTGGGTGCAGATAACAAGTTGCGGGCTGAGCGGCCGGTGAAGGTGGCTCCGGTAGCTGGTCGGCGGTGGGGGAATCCGACATTCCGGCGGACGGTGGATCTGGTACGGCGACGAGAGAGGAGACTGTACTTTCAGACTAATTTGCAATTATTATGCAAAGAAAAATAAAAATCAGAAAACAGAACACTATAGAAGAAATAAGCTAGTTGGGCCTATTATGGGCCCAAATAAACTTAATATTGGGCCACATTATTGGCCCAATTAAATATCGTTATACCTATTAGGGCCCAATTTAATTTCTAGTTTTAAAATGTGAGTCCAATCTCCTTTGGGGCATTACATAAGTTTTTTTTAGCAAATTTTAGATTTGATTTTTTAATAATAAATATATGTGATAAAAATATTACATATAATAATTTTAAATATAGTTTTTTATTTCTATTTTTTGTGATTTCATATTTAAATCAACATTCAATAAGGCAAAATTTTAAGGAAACAAAACCCTAACTAGTTTGTAGAATTGAAATTAAATAAAACTGATAAAAATATTAAATTATATTTTAAACAAAAGATAAATTTCATATTGGTCTGTTCACTTAACATTTTGAATGGAATGATTTTTCATAAATATTATTAAAAAATACAGTACACATATATTACTACAATATATATTGCTCACAAAAATTAATCATTCAATACAAAATATTATTTTTTATATAACACTAAAAACACAAATTAAATAAACCATTGATGTTACCAATCTAAAAACATTAAAAATATATAAAATAAAAAATATTTTAATCTAAAATATATATATAAAAAAAATCATTTGTATTTAGTATTTAATTTGAATGTAATACTTATAGGATATTTATATACTATAAGATTTGAGTTTTATTTGTTTATTTTTAGAAAGAAAATGCTCATAGTCTAAAGTTTTCTTTGCATCATTTTCGACACTTTCTAATTATAGACATAGAAAAAGAAGACCCTAATTGTGGACCTCACTCAAAACTTTTGGTGCCATCATAATAATATTACATAAATAAATTTGATCATACTCTCCAAAATTTATAAATATATTCTTGTAGATTGGTTTTACTTTTTTTTTCTTTTTATTTATTTATTTATTTTTATCATGGTTCTCTAAAAAAAGAATTAAAATTTTCATATTAAATATTGCATTAACGATATTATTTATATAATAATAGTAAAAAAATATCATAGTAGTAATATTATAAAAATAACATGTTCATATCAACAAATATGGCCATAAATTTTTTTAACATGCTTTCGAAGTAATATTAAAAAAATATATAATATATACACTACTTATATAATATAAATATATATCCTATTCATTTTCAAAATTTTATAATTTAATATAAAATACTATTATTTTTTTAAAATTATTGATACAAATTTTGTGTCTAATATAAAAAATATCTACACTAAACACCACAAAGAGTGTGTTTGTTTTTAAGTTCGAAGTATGTAACTATGTGAGATATTTGTAAATAAATATAATTTTGAATAATATAAATTATATACTATAAATTACACAATTTTTTTACACAAAATAATATAAATTTAATAACAATTATAGGACATAAAGAACACTCACAAAAAGCATCTAATTAAGATACCTAACATAAAATATTTATTATTATTATTATTATTATTTTGCAAAATGTCTACTGAAATGTTTTTAAATTTACTTGAAAATTTCAAAATTGGACTGAAATTTTATGAAATTTTTACTTTCTTAAAAATATTTTTTTTTTTATTTTTTTAATTATCTATGTTTGATCATACCAAAACTCTACCTAGTTTTAAATATTGTATTATAAAAAAAATATATGAATTTTATTATAATGGATTAGCGGAGGTAAATTATTATTAATATTCATATTAAGTTCTAAATGTCTGTAAAAAAAAAAAATTAAATAATAATTTATTTATTTTTATATATTACATGTCAAATAGGAATTGTAACTTTTTTTTTTCTTTTTTTTTTTTTAAGCTTATTGAGCAATATGTCTATTGCTTACCTCCTAAAATATAATATTAAAATCAATTATTTTTTTCTTATAAGGAAATTTCTAAATTTAGCCTAGAAATATAACTCATTCATCAGCAAATACTCTGCTTATCAATAAAAAAAATATAATATAATAATATATAAGTCGATATATTTTAAAAATTAATTTATATTTGTTAAAATTTTAAATAAATAAATGTATATATATATATATGCTTGATGTAATGTATAACGATTTTATTTATTTATATATTTAATAATTTTTTGTAATATTTTATGTAATAATTTTGGATTTATTATTTTATTATTTGAAATTGAAATCAATATTGTTCATTTTGTACAGCTCCTAACAAATATATACTATTTTCTTCTCACAAATTCTTTGGATATCTTTTTTTAATATTTTAGTTTGAAGTATTTTTTTCTATTTGAAATATAAAAAGTTATGTTGGTATATAAAAAATAATATTTTTGGTTGAATGTTAATTTTTTATAAGAAAATAAAAAATATATACTACTATTATATATTGAAAATTGTATTAGTGAAAGAATCGGGTGTGTTTGGTTATATATCAGTTATATTTTTGAGTTAGAAATTAAATTAGAAGTGATTTATTTAATTAATATTTGATATATATTTAATTATTTTAATATATATTTAATAGTTAATAGTTATAGTAATATTTATATAATATAAATAAATAAAAATAAAAATATTTATTTATGATTAATATAAATTAATTTTATAAATAAATAGAAAATTGAATCTATATTTTTTATAGAAAAAAAAGAGATAGACATAGAAAATTTTATATGGATTTTGGGAGCATAATGCTAATTTTAGACAAACCTATGAATGTATTTTTTTGTATTTTTGAGTAAAAGTATTTTTTTAACTCGGTTCAGTTTTAAAATTATATATTTTTATTTTTGTCTATCCAATTTAAATGTATATAATTTTTCAGTAACAATCAATTATATCATAAATTATAATGCCCCTATTGTTATATTCATCTATAATTATAAATTATTTTTTCCTAAGTACATAAATATTTTTACATAACTAAATATTACAAAGTATTATAAAAATACTACATTTTTTTTTAATAAAAATTAATGTACAAAACAAATTTACCATAGAAGTGGATGGGGTAGTATAATTACTCAGATTTAATTTGTATGTTACTTTTACTCCAACTTATAGGGTGTGTATTTTTTGTATTTTGTAATATTTTTTTGTATTTTTAGTTTTAAATTTTTTATAATGACAATAGTAAATTGATAAAATGCTTCACGAAAGAAATATATAAATATTGAACATAACATTTAAAAAATAAAAAAAAAAATGCAAAAGAATATAATTGTAACATTTAAAATTGTGGTTGTTTATATATCTATAGTTAGTATTTTTACTGTGAATTTTAAAGCTATTATAGAAATATATATATATATATATTACTTTTATTGCAATGTATATATTTGTATATTTTTATTTTTTTTTTAACTAATAGTTTTGGATAATTATTTACATTCAAAACAAGTGAACAACTAATTTTTGTAAGATTTGTGGAGTGTTAATTATAATGCCACCATGTGTGTTTTTTGAGATTTATTTTTTAGTTTTGATTTGGGGTCTAAATATAAAATTAATAAGATAATTATTTAAAATTGTATATTTTATATAAAATGTAAAAATTGTATAATAAAAATATTGGAAAAAAAAATGTTAAAGAACAACCATGTTTATTTTTAAAAGACTCTTGTGTTGCTTTATATTTTTTGTTTTTATATTTATTTTGATGCTTTTGAACTGAAAATTGTGTTTTTTGATGAGACTTATATATATATATATACACACATGTGTGTGTAAAAATATAAATATTGAATATGTATTTTTGGAGATAAAATTAATAGCAAAAATTGAGTTTAGCACACATATGGTGTGTTCTTTTTGTAAAATAAAAAAAAAATATTTTTTCGAAAATATTTTTTTAAAAAAATTAATATATTATACGCATATACTATGTTTATATTATTTATATAATTTTCTACGGTTCGTATAAAAAATATATTTTAAACCATTTCACTAAATAAACATACTAAAAAAAATAAATTATAGAGGTTTGTTATTTTGTGATTTTAAATTGAAATCAATACTTTTTATTCCGCACAGTTTTCCTTAAAAATATATTCCCTCCCTCCAATAGTAAACTTCTCATTTGATTTTTGCACACAGATTAAGATAAACTAACAAGTAATATAATATATTTTACCCTTGCAAACTAATGTGAAAAGTAAAAAGTATATGTATTTTGATATTTAGTTGAGAGTTACATTTCGTAAAATGGAAGATGAAAATTTTGATTTGAACATGCTAAAATGATAAATGAAAAATTTACTAGTGTACGGAAGATTATTATTTTCTCTAAAAAAAAAAAAATATCACATCACATACTATTCCCTCAGTCCTAAAACTGCAGGGACATTTGAAATAGGTACGATACTATATTGATAGTGAGTGTAAAAGTGTTTCTAAAAGACCAAAATGCCCATACTTTATAGAATTATTGTGAAAAAGTAGGAATACTCTTGTAAAAAGGTATAAAGGTAGTTAAAAAAAAATGAAAATGGGACTACTGCTTTTGGAACAAACAAAAATAACAAAAATGAAACTATTGTTTTGGAATGGAGGAGTATTTCAACAAAAACTCAAATAACCACCCCATTTTAAATCGATTTTGAAATATAACCAACAATACATGGTGAAAGCGAGCTTTAAAGTGTAACGGAACTCATATTACGCACTCGCATGTCAACATCAATCAATTTCTTTAATATTTAAATCGTCACCGTTCAGACTGAATTAAATTGTTCTTTAATTCTTACCACACGTCGCTCTGACTCAATTCAACGAACTCTTTCATTGTGACCACATATTGCGTAGAGTCGATCCAACAACTTATTTACTCGAACCAGTGTACCTTTACGACTACGACAAACGACCTAGTGATTTGACCAAATTGCCCCTACGCCACGAACTTCAAGAAACGCCTCGGAAATAGTTTTTCTTTTTTCTTTTTTCTTTTCCGTATAAAAGTGATTCTTGTGCAGCGATGATTAATGTGGTTTGTTCGATCCAATACCTAAATTCTTAAATTAGATCATTTACATCAATTCGAAACGGTTCATCGCCTTTCGATTAATATTGAAAATGAATGTTGCATTAACAAGAATCGGTTAATCTATTTAGTACAAATACGTTGCGTGTACCTACTTTTTATGTTGCGCCTTTCTAGTCGATTTTATGAATAGAAATCTTCATATTATTTCCATACCAACTATCAGTTAAATTTCAACCAAATTTCAACATTTAATTAGAGCAAGTGTGACGGATTGAAATATTTAAATTTCTTATTTAAGTCAAGAATTTTTTATTTTCGAACTAAACCTAAGGATTTGTTTGGTTGTGTTTTGGTATTTTCGGGTATTTTAGAATAGTAAATTTTTGAATCATAAAAATTATTTGATTTGATATAAATATAAATTTAATGTCATGTTTACATATAATTTTTATGTAATATATAAATGAAAATAAATATATGATATGATGTTTTGAGAGGAAAATATATCTATATCTATATATTATATTAGATAGATATAAAAAAATAGAATAGAAAAACACATACACACACATAAAAAAACACTCAAATTTTGTTTGATTATAATTTTAAACACAAATCACCACTATTTAACAGGCACGAGTTTTAATAAAATATATTATCTATTCTTACAAAAATATCATATCGAAATACTATTTAAATAAAAATTCAAATTTAACACTAAATTTCAAATTAATTTCATACCATAACCAAACAAACCCTTAATTGAGTTGTGCTCGAGATAATTTAGTTAAGTAAACTTCTTAAATAGTTTGATTCATATAACAATTTATTACAATACATGAGTGTTATATATATATATATATCAATATATTATAATCCTTTTTAATTTTACAAGTCACAACACTAACTTAACCATCATTAGCACTTATTTAATAAGAGAATGTCAACATTAATAAAACAATTATTAATATTTTGAAATCGTTACGAAAACTACACATATTTTCTTTCAATTTTTATTTACTAACCACTGGGATTCATTGAATCCAGAAATGTGACACATCTTATATATATATATGCCAATCATTTAATTATCTATTTTTGTTAATAAATCAATAGGTCAATTTCATGGCTTATACTTATATTTATTCTCCTAGTTAAATAATTACTAATTAATATATATATGTGATGAATAATTAAATTAAGTTTGACCAATGCTACATTCGAAATAATTCAGCAAACAAAATCCATTGACTTGTGAAATAAACAAGATTTGGTGACCTAAATCAAAGACCTATTTTATTATTATTATTATTATTATTATTATTATTATTATTATTGGGTGCCTTTTATCCTACACATGGTGAACACTACGTAGAGTCGGCAATGGGTCGATTTGTGTCGAGTTGAATACTTTAAACGGGTTAAATTACTCAACTTTAATCCGACTCGTTTATTATCGTGTCGGGTTCGTGTTAACCGGTTTATTATTGTGTCGAGTTCGGGTTGACTCGTGTTGACCCGTATATATAATTAAATCTAATTTCTTGATTCAAATTAAATAATTTTTTATTTTGTTGTCGTGTTATGTTAGTTTTTATTAGTTTGAGTGTAAATTAGGTTGAATTATTTAAAATTGAACTTAGTTTAAATTAATTTATGAAAAAATTATTAAATTATGATTATTTTATATATATAATAAATATATTAATCAATATTAATATATTATAATCAGGTTGTCATGTCGGGTTCGAATTGAGAGCCTAAATCTTAACCCGACCTGTTTAATATCGTGTCGGGTTCGTGTCAACCCGTATACATAATCGGGTTGAAATCTTTGACCCAAACCCAATTATTTCGTATCAGGTCAATTTTTACCGGCTCTAGTGAACAGTAATAATAATAATAATAATAATAATAATTTAACCAACATATTTTATTTTATTTTTTGTGTAAATTAATTAGGTATATATCCCTCTGGGCAGTCTAAATATATGAAGACAAATATTCGTTTAATTAGTTGCTTCCATGTATCAATATATAGTACATGAAAACAATTCTATTATCCTAATTATTTTAATTGAATCCTATTTTAGCATATTGTTGATAATTTACATGTCATTTCTAATATGTTTATTTATATAGGAGTGGCCTTAGATTTCTATTTAATTTTTAATTGAATAAATTAAATGATGTATGTAAGTGTAATTGGAATTTCTATGGAAATATTCAATAAATTGCAATGTAAAGCTACACTTGACCTTTTCTTCCCAAATGTTCTTCCATTTTTTGGACTATTGATATATTATGTTGCAACATATATTATATATATTTTTATAATAATATTTTATTTGTTAGTGAAAAGGTAAGATGTTTTTGACATTTTTATTTTTTTACTTTAAATATAAATAAATTGTATGTGTAACAATATTATTTGTAATTTAAGTAAAAATTAAAGGTATTAATATATGATTACTATTACTAAATTAGGAAACCAATGCTTTTGAGTTAAACATATTAAAAAATAATAATAAAATATATTACATTTAATTGAGATGATGAAATATAATGATTCGAGAAAAAGGGAATTAAATAATAAAATCATTATAATTTGGCATATTCTAAATCAATATATATATATATATAATCCAATTAAGGGAATTAAATTAACATATATATATATATATTATCTCGATTAATAAACTACAATATTATTCAATGTTGCTAAAAATTGGCTTGCAATATATTTTGTATCAATTCACTAATGTAATATAAAATATCATATAAAATTATTCTAAATATATATATATATATACATATATTATAATTTGCTATCTTTTTAATATAATTAAATAAATTTACATTATATTTGATATATTTAATTTTATATAAACCTTGACATTGTATATTATTAACAAATTTATATAATAATTTAATATGTATATGGAATATTATACTAATATTTTATATAATTCAAAATATTTTGTGTATGATATAATATACATGGTGTGTTAATTCTTTTGCAAATTTGTTTGCTTTAAGTTTTAAACTCAATTTTATACTATTCAATCAATATAGTTTTCATAAAATATATGTTTTTTTTATCTCAACTCAAAGTATTTTTTATAATTTTGATTTATTTCACTTAAAAATATATAAATTCTAATATTGTAAAAATACTTTATATACAAATACCAAAATATTAATATGTTTTATATAAATTATAAAATAGTAGTATTATCTTTTTTATATTTTATAAGGGTGAAAATATCAAATTATTTATACACTAATAAGAGAATATTATTTTTTAATTTACTAAAAATCCCATCAATTTAATTAAAACTGAAAAAATATAATGTATAAAAAAATAAAAACTTAATTTGATATTTTTTAAATAAAATATTTAAAGAATAGTAGAAAATTATCATATCAAACATAACCATCCGATTTGTTTGGTTTTGGCTTCAAACAAATTACAATTATTTAGTTATAAATATATTTCATCCATTTCAATTCAATTTATCTTTTTTACTATTTTTTTATTTCATTAAAAAATATTCATTTCATATTATAATAAAAATAATTATATTTAAATATTAAAATATTTTTAATTTTTATAAGAAAAATGTTTTTTTTACTTTTAAGAACAAAAAATATTAAAATTATTTTATATTTTTTACTAACTAATAAAATAACATTATTATATAATTCATTATAAAAAAATAAATATTTATTTTTACTATAAATTTTTTTTTTTTTATAAAATATCAAATTCAAAATATTATTAAAAAAAATTAGAGTATATGAATAAAATAGGAGGGCAAAAAGGTCAATTCGGTGCGAGAAAGAAAGTTGGACAAGTAACCTAAAGGCTCGATGGGACAATCTGGTATAGCATTTTTGTCTTTGCTTCTCTCTCTACAGGTCATATGAAATAATGATTAATTATAGCCTTCATCTCCACCGAGTGGAACCGTTTTAGAGCGAGAAACTTTAACTCCAGAGAGAGACACACCTGCAAAAGTTCTTCACCTTCATCCTCACTCTATCTCTGTATATTATATATATATATATACACGTATATCTATTGTATGTATATATTCATATATATATATTTTTCATTGCACCGCTTTGGATATATAATTAATTAATTTTCTTTCTAACTCCCACCAGAAACGCAAAAAAACAACATTGAATTTAGCAGAAAAAAAGGGTTTTCCTTTATTAATTTATTATTTTTTATTTTCAAGAAATTTAATTTTAAAAAAATTATTTGCAGAAATTTGTAGACCTAAATTAGCCTCATCGATCCCCTCTTTGTCTTTTGCATTGAATTCATTTCTACAGTAACCGACTGAGTCTGAACCCCCCTTTTCTCTTTCCTCCCCCCCCCCCACCCTCTTTCTCTCCTCCCCCTCGTCTTTTATGGCGGTCTGCAGCTCCTCCTTTTCTTACATATATATTCGTGTGTGTGTGAACTGATCGATCATCATCATCGTCGTCGATCTCGAATTAGGGTTTCTTTCATGGCTTCTGCAAGTAATGAAAATTCTGGGGAAAGGAAGCTTTTTTCTTACCCTCTAATGGCGGTTTCCGACAAGGCTGTGATGCTCGGCGGCGAGCAGTGCGGCCAGGACATGTTTCTTCGTCATCATCAAATCCATAACAGTAGCTGTAATAATATTAATACTCCCTTGTCGTTCGGGATGCTGACGACCACCACCCTCCCCCCCTCGTCATCATCCACCATTCCTGGAGGTGTCGCAAACATGTAAGAAAACCCCCCCACCCCCCTCTTTTTATTTCCTTTTTTACCCCTATTCGATTCATTTTAATTTCCCCCCTCTATTACAAATTCGAGAAAATTTTTGGCCAGGAGCAGGGAGACATTAGCAGCTGCTTATGAAATGGGAGAATTGGATCAAGCACTGTTTTTGTATCTTCAAGGACAAGAACATCACCAGACAGTTGTTCATCATGAACACAGACGTAAGTTAATTTATTTTTTCATTTTTTTTCTTGATTTTGATTTTGGATTTGAATTTTTTGATGGATTTTCCAAAAATTTCTTTTCTTTCTGCTTGCTAATTTCTTACACCAAATTCAGTTTCAAAAGTGTGTAATAAAAACCTCTCTGCAGATTCCCTTTGCGATCATGAAGAAAGTATGCTGTGTACTTTTTCTTTGACCAGATTGTTTTCTCATCCTAAATTAGGAAATTAATAAGTAAAGGAGATTTTATTTTTCCTTTTTTCTTAAAAAAAAAAAGAAAAAAGGAAAACAATCTTGATCTCTTCTTCTTCTTGTTCTTGATTTACCCTAATTTTATTTTCTTTTTTCTTTTTTCCCTTTTACATGTTTTCTTGTCTTTGCCCTTTGCCTTTTCTCTAATTTCTTTTTTTTCTTTTTTTTCTTTTTTTTTTTTTTTTTTTTTTACATTCTCGAATTTTCCATTTCCAGAATGAAATCACAAAAAAATTGAAATAATTTTGTTGCAGAGAATTGTGGGATGAGACCACACACACTGAACATATTCCCATCACAGCCAATGCATGTAGAGCCATCAAAGGTACCAAGAACAGTTCTAAGATTGTCTGAAGATTTCATGTACTTACTTCACAAAATTCATGTTGTATCAATTAATTTAATATTGTTATTATTAAATAAATGAATATATTACAGCTAATTAATTAATTAATGGGGTTGATGTTAATTTGTTTTGTTATTAAACAGGCAACTACTGCAGGACTGCTTTCTCCATCCACCAGTGGCTCCAAGAAATCATCTGAGCCGTCCATTGATCTATCCAGCCCTAGATTGGACGGTGCTTCTGCCTCTGAACCCGCCAAAGCAGTTAAGGTTAGGACATAAAATATTCATCTCATTAGTCAGAGCCTTAATTAAACATTTTTTTTATATAAATACCAAGAAGATTCTTGCTTGTATATTTAAAATATATTTTTTTAAAAAATAGTCATTTTTTTTTTAATTTTATTTTTAATTTCTTGGCAGCGTGAGGAAAGCCAGAAAGGGCCTGCTTCTAGTTCCGACAAGGATGTACCAAAAACACCAGATGCCAAGGTAATAATTAATTTAAATTAAATATAATTGCAATTACTTATTAATTATTTATTTAATTGCAGTTATCATTTGAAATTAAATTCCATTCCCATATATATATATATATATCTACATACATAATTATGCAGACACTGAGGAGGCTTGCTCAGAATCGAGAGGCAGCAAGAAAAAGCAGGCTTAGGAAGAAGGCAATGATCAGAAAATAATATCCCAAAAAAATAAAATGAATTTTTTAATTTTATTATAATAATTAAATTGAGTTTTTTTTTTTATTATTTTATTTTATTGTTATATTCGATTGATTGCAGGCTTACATTCAGCAGCTGGAGTCGAGCAGGGTTAGGCTTGTTCAGTTAGAACAAGAAGTACAAAGAGCAAAATCCCAGGTTTAATTAATTAATTAATTATTTCAATAATTAAGAAATTGTTTCTTACATCAGCTAATGATTACTTAATTATTATGTTAATTATAACTGTGGCTGTCTCTTTCTTGTTTATTATTAGGGCTTTTGCATTGGAAGTGGCTCTGCAATTTTAGGAGACCAGTTAGGGATTCCTGTTGCAATCAATTCTGGTAATCAATTAATTAATTTTATTTTAATTTTAATTAAAACCAATCAAATGTGTTGTTTTTTTTTTTTTTTTTTTTGGAAAAAAACTCACTTTAAATATTATTAATTAAACACAAAATTTAAATCAAATTCTGTGGATTCATACTCAAAGAAAGGTGGTTGTTCGAGGGTTAGATTTTTTTATTTTTTTTTTCAATTTAGTAAAAACTAAATATAACAAATTATTTTATATGATATATATGAATAATAATATAATATTTTGAATAAAAAAACAAAAAAAAAATGTTTAATTTGTTATGTTTAGAGAATTTTTATTAATTAAATGCAAATAAAGCCTAAATTTTAAAATGAATTTTGAAATTCAGATGCGGCGGCGTTCGACGTGGAGTACGCACGGTGGCTGGAGGAGCACCACCGCCAGATGATGGAGCTCCGCCGAGCAGTGGACGAGCGTCTGCCGGAAAACGAGGTCCGGGCGGCGGTGGAGACCTGCCTGGCCCACATCGACCAGATGATGAATCTCAAAAGCCTCATCGCCAAGTCCGACGTCTTCCACCTCCTCTCCGGCGCCTGGCGCACGCCGGCCGAGCGCTGCTTCCTCTGGATGGGCGGTTTCCGGCCGTCGGAGCTCATCAAGGTCGGTCCCCGCCCCCGCCCCCGCCCCAAATTAAAAACCCTAATTAATCTATACATACAAATACATACACACATATATATATATTATATATATGCTTTTTATTTGATGGAGTGATCACGTGAGGGGTCACGTGCAGACGGTGGTGAACCAGATCCAGCCGCTGACGGAGCAGCAGGTGGTGGCGGTGTGCGCCCTGCAGCAGTCGACGCAGGAGGCGGAGGAGGCGCTCTCGCAGGGGCTCGACGCCCTCCACGCCGCCATATCGGAGACCATCGCCGGCGAGTCGCTGCTGATGCCGCCGGAGGTTAATTCCTACATGAGCCAGATGGCCGTCGCCATCAACAAGCTTCAAACCCTAGAGGGCTTCATTCGACAGGTACGTCCGTAATGTTAATTAATTAATTAATTATTTTAATTACTTTTATTATTTTTTAATTAATAACTTAATTATTTAATTTAATTAATTAATTTTCCGACAAAATAATCGATAGATCATACACATAGGATGAATTTTTATGATCGTGATCGTGATCATCGGACCATTCATCACGTGCATTGCACATGCATGTGATGACGTCATTGTCGTAACCGTTTGACTTCAAAACCCTCTACATTTGACTGCTAATCACACCCGCACATACACACACGTGTGCGTATGTGTGTGTGTAAAGTTTTTGGACGTGTTTGTTTGTGCATAGGTTTGGAGTTAAAAGGTTTAAAATTTGATATAATTTAAATATTAAAGAAAAAAAAAATTGTGAATAATAAATTTCGAATTGAAAATCTCCATACAAACATAGTTCTATTTTGTATTCTAATGGTAAAGTGATATTAGGGAATCTCATATAAGTGTGACCAAATTCACAAATTTTCCTATATGTACACATTAAAAATTATAATTTTGTAGTTATATATATAAATATATATTTGATTATCATTTTTTTTGTTGCTGTACTAATTTTTTCGTAAGTTGGTATCTTGGAATAATATGTTACCTATGCTAATTTTCTAAAATCAAATTACGATTATATAGATTTATTTATTTAACAAAAGTGAAAATTGGACAATAATTATAGTTACATACATGTGTGTGTGATTTGATTAAGGGTTATTAATTTTTATTTTATTTAAAAGATTAATATCGTTTTCAGTATTATTATTAGATTTGATTTCTATAAAGTAATTATATATTTTGGAAGTGTTCTTTTATCTGCTCACGAGTTAGTTGAAGATGAACGACTGATTTCAGTGAGGGACACGTGTCGAAATGTGATTAATATATATATATATATATGCTTTTAGTGAGTTGGACATGGGTGTAGTGGTTCATTATACATACATATATACATATATATATGTATATTTTGTATGTATGTATTTGAACTTGGCTGTGTGTGTTTGTTTTGGGCAGGTGAATTTAATCCTTAATTTCTTCGTCTTCGAAGAAATCAAACATAGGCAGACAAATTGGTCGAGTCCGACTTAACGAACAAGACTCGTGTTTGTTCAATTATATTCATATTCAGCTCAGTTAATCTCATTTGAGCTTGTTTGTCCACCCATTTTTTTTAAAAAAATTCATATATACATATAAATATTTATATATGATATTTTATTGTATTTATGTACTTTTTAATTCATAATTTCACACATATATATAAAAATATATATTTTTTAACAAAATCGTTCCGAACAAGATTCAGGCTCATTTGTAAACGAACTTAAATCGAGCCAAGTTCACAAATAGTTTGCTTTATTTTACGGTTCTGTTTGTATTATCACTATATGCTCTGTATAGTCCTAATCAGCTTCTAACAATCGTCTGCATATATATATATAATGAGGATGTAATAAACCCTAACCCTAACCCTAATTATTATGATTTGTTATGTATGTAGGCTGATAATCTGAGGCAGCAAACCCTTCACCGGCTGCACCATCTCCTGACGGTCCGGCAGGCGGCGCGGTGCTTTCTGGCCATAGCCGAGTATTTCCACCGCCTGCGCGCCCTCAGCTCTCTCTGGCTCTCCCGTCCGCGCTCCAGCAGCCCCGGAGAATAAATTTATCTCGATCTATTTATTGCTTTCTTTTTTGTTTATTAGGGTTAACTAGTAGGAGATTACAATTAATTAGTGTAATAACTAATTTAATTTGGGACAACTCTAATTTAACCAGTCTTTTTTTTTTGTTGTTGTTGTATGTGAATGTTTCGTACTGATGCATGTGGTGTGTATATTACATGCATAAATAAATAATGTTGGTTTTGATCCACATTATTTATTAGTTTAAAAAAAAAAACAAATTAAAATATTTTGACAAAAAAAAAAATATATCACATTAAATGTCATATCAAATAATGTTTTAAATCAAAATATTTTATATTTTCAAACTTCAATCCCACATTTAAATCTTAAAAAAAAAATTCATTGTTGTGCATCTTTTTCTTCGTGACATCTACATTCTACTATTCAATATATTTTTAAAAAATATTCAAAACATCTAATTATGATATCATATTAAATATTATTTTAATAAGCTCAAATCCATTGTTTTACATGTATATATATATACATCTAAATTAAATCAATTGATAATTACAAGAGGAGTATATATATTTAAAATATTTTGATTGCATTTGTCGTTTTTTATTTTATGTTTTCATTTTATTCTCTTGCTTCTTCTTCTTTTTTTTTTTTTTTTTTCCCCAAAAACATTACATCTAATATATATTTATCTTGCAAAACATGATCACAACTATCCATTATTACCAGCTTAAAATATTTTTAAAACAAAAACAACTACCCAAATGACACCCTTTGTAATTCTTACACATAGTTTTTATTATTGTTTTTTAACATGATATATAATTTAAATAAATATTATTCCAAAAAATAAAATTAAGAATAACATAGTCCAAAAATTGTGATACGTTCATCCTAATCAATCTATCCATTTTAAAAATTTAATTTGTCTTAAATCAATCCATTTGTTTCCTTTTTAAGTAATTATAGTTTCAATAATACAATCAATTTATGTTTTACTAAATTTCAAAACAAACACATCCTATTCAAGGATATAAGTAATAGGTGTAGATAAAATACACAGCAAAAGATAAATGAATATATTAATTACAAACGCACAAAGTATTTTATTTACCATTTTGCCCGTGCTTTTTGTTTAATATTTAATAATTTTTATTTTAATTTAGGAGAAAAATAAAAAGAAAATGTAAAAAATATATATATATTATGAAGTAAAAATAATATACACACTATTTAAGACAAGTGGGAGGCCCATTAACTGCAATAGAATGGGCTTACCGATCCAAATATAACAACAGCCCATAGATTGGGCTGAAAGTAAAAATCAATTATATAAGTAAATTGAATTTGTTTGGTTCATATTTCAAATTTATAATTTCACTATTCAATCCTATACAGACATTTTATTATTATTATTATTTGTAAAACATTTTTAAAAAAAAACAACAAATATTCTAAGATAATTCTTTTTCTTTCAATTTTTAATAACTAAAAACAAAATGTTCAAAATTCCGGGTGTGTTCTTTTAAAAAAAATATATACACACAATGTTTCAAAAAATATTAATATATCAAACACATTTATTATTTTTATATTACTTATCCAATTCTTCATATTTCACAATAAAAAAAATATATATACTAACGCAAATGAAATAAATAAATACACGAACACAATATATAATTTAACAATATTATTGACAAGGTGACAACATATGCTTTCTTTTTAATTTTCTTATATATATATATATATATATATAGTTTTTATTTATTTTTTATTTACTACTCAATCCATTGTGTTCCCACAACTTAACATTATACCAAACACATTCATGAATTTTATTATTATTATTATTTTTTTTGAAATTAAAAATAAAAATCTTCTCATAAGCTGCTTGATTCTTCTAACTTACGGCGGATGAGAAGCCGAACACTTGCAATTTTCTCGATCATTGCTCAATGCCTGTCGTCACATTTCAATTAAATAAAATATTTAAACTTTATATTCTTCTCGTAATATATTATATTAAAATATTATCTAAATCAAAACTGAAATAAATAAAAACCTTAAATTCAAATCAAAACAAAACAAGCTATACAGAGGCATGTAAAATTTAATTAAATATTAGTATGTTATTATTGTAGAATTATAATTTAATTTAATTTAATTATTTTTGTTGATACCTTGTACTGATTCTGGAGGCTTCTTATATGCTCCACAGCCAAATCTAACATGTCTGCTGTATTGGTTTGCTGCATGCACCACATGCAATATTATAAAATTTTCTATATATAATTAAATTAATTAGTTACTTTTAATGTTAATATATAATTATTTGTATTAATATATTTTAAATTATTTACTAATTATTTTATTATCTAAATTCTCGTATCTATAAGAAACCGGACAAATAAAATAAAGCGGAGGGAATAAATGAGATTTCCAAAAATATATTATTTGAAAATTACAATATATTGACATTGTTGAGATAGTTTAGATATTCAGTTTTAGATTTAGTAGATTTATATCTAAATTTGATCTTATTCATAGATTAGATTACTTAGATTTGAATCTATCGAGTCTGTTTTGTATTGCCTATATATAGGCTCTTTATTTTAACGATCAATAAGACAATCTCGTTATTTTTCCCCAAAATTTCTAACATGATATCAGAGCTTATTTTTCTTATGCTATAAATATAGCCAACATAATAATAAAAATACACAAAACTTGATTCTCTATCAATACTTTCACAATTATCCATAATATATTACAATAAAAATACCTAAAACTAACACTGAACAAACAGACTCAATGTTATTTGCTTTCGATTTTTTATTATGCACACTTGTCAATGAAAAATTAATACATCTTTTATTTCAACTCAATATATATTTTTTATTATTCTTTTATATTCTATTCAAAAATATTGTTTTCTATTATAATAAAAATAATTAGTATATAAATATTAAAATATTCTTAATTTTTATAAAAAAAAATACTTATTTCTTTTGTATCTATAAAGAAAAATATTAAAATTATCTTATATATTTTTAATTAATAAAATAATATTATTTTTTAATCTATTATTAAAAAAATATTAAATTAGAACGAAAGAAATATTTTTTTTAATAAAATATTTAAAAAGAATATAAACAAATATTTTAATAATCAACAATAAAAACCCCAAAATTTACACTTAAACCTAAGGATCTTTGTTTCTTTTCTATTTCTATATTGACTTTTACTATTTTAATTTTAGGTTTTCTAATTTATATATTGTCATAATGAAAAAAAATAAAGTCAAGAAAGTACACCTTATCCATATTTGGAACAAGTTCTTGCAATTTCCTCATCCTTTCACTTATTCTAGTCCTTCTAACCTGCAATAAATAATAAAATTAATTGTTTCGGGTAGCGATTGCGGGTTTTCCACGTCATTCAAATAAAAATAATAAAATTAATTGCTGTCAAAATTCGATCAATCCCATTTTGCCTAAAACAATTTTCGAAAGTTTTAAAGTTAAGAAAATTTTGAATAATAATAAAAATGCGACTATTTCATATGGTATTTTGTAAAATAAAATAAATGATAAAAACTTAATCCTCCTAAGAATATGTTCTTGAAAAAGTTAAGATGAATAGTCGAACAACTCTACCCTTTCGGCAATGCTCCGAGGATGAGTGGCGTAGCCGCGCTTAGCGCGGATCTTACAAGGAACCTTGTCCTGTAGCTGTAATAACTTCTCCATCGTAAGCGCATCCGATGTTGTCTTTGATAAGCTCAAGTGGTGTGACAAAGAACCGCAGCTCCATATATCCCCTGCCCGCCCATCCTGTTTTCGACCAACAATTAACAGTCAACACTTTGTCTATATACTTCCTCCGTCATTCAAATCTATACTCACTTTTCTTTTTGGGTTGTCATCGAAAAATATTCTTTTTTTCTTTTTAAATAAAAAATTATTTTCTTTTTGTAATATTTTTTACTATAAAAAGAAAAATTAACAATTATTACTCACTTTTATTAAAATTTGTGTTCGGTTGACCGAACACAAATTTGCATGACAGAAGGAGTACATTTTAAAACCAATTTTGACGTTATTTATTTATAGTACGTAATTATTTCTTTTATTTAAAAAATTATGCTACCTCTATTCCATCTAAATAATTTCGCCTTTTCATTTTAGATTGTTTTACCTAAATAATTCATTTCTATTTATAGTTTACATGGTCCTTAACTCCTTATTCCATTGCCCGTTTATCTTCTTAATTCTATTTACTCAAATATTATTGTACACTTCACTATCGACTCAGCTGAACCAAAATAAATTTTAGTTTTTCTATTTTTTACAAATTCACTCATAGTAGTTTCTCAGTTCAAACTTAAAGTATTATTTTTATCATTTTCGTCTATCGCATTTAAAAGTATTATTTTTCTATTTTAGAAAAAAAAAAAATCATCTAATAATATCACAATATCCTTAACTTTAACTTAAATTACAACTATATCATTACACATATAATTATTTTATATATAAAGTCAAATGGCACATTTGTCAAAATCTCTTGTACATTTTTACTTACCAATAAAATATTATTATTTTTTAACCTATTATAAAATCTCAAAGCACCTCTTAAAAAAAATTGTTATAAGATTGTTTTTAAGATTATTTCGGTGGAATAAATGTAGTATGAAATATTTAATTTTATTTCAAAAATATTAATTTTTACCGTTATAATATTTTTTTCTTCAAAGGTCTCTGAAAATAAGGATCGAATCTTACTTGTAATGTGGCGAAAAGCTTATGATCGCTATCCGGTTCGTGCTTGATCGTGTGGAAACTCCCTCCAAAGTGCGAGGAATCGTCCCAAGAATTGAATGCGGGCAATCCTGAAGCGAAAAATGATGTATCGAGGCTTCCGGAAGTCTCGATTTTGGCAACTCCATTTTCGGTTTGGACAGCCTCGGAGAAACGAGAAAATAGTCCTAAGGAAGAGGAGTTGAGGCGATTCTTGAGGCTAATAATGGAAGATTTAGCTATTACATCTCCAGCGGCGAGAATCTCCAAGTCAGAATATTTCGGGTTGAACGTATCTAAATAAATGTAGATATGATGATATATGTTATATTTTATAAGATTTCGAAAATGCATATATTAGTAATTATAAAATCATGCACACAATATATCGGATGAAATCTAATAAAAATTATAAATCAAATATCTATAGTATCACAACAAGAACCTTGCTAATTACATATTGACACCATAAAATATATATTAATAATATATAAATACGATATAAATAATTTTATTATTTTTTGCTTTCAAATTCGTAATTGTTACTATTTGAACTCTGTATTTTTTAAAATTTTTGATATATTTTTTTCTTTCACAAAAAATCTCGTTATACATTATTTTGAGATAAATTCAAATCAAATATTTATCAAACTCATCAAAAACAAATATATATATATAGAGATGAAAATGTTTACCTATATTAGAGCTGACAGTTTCAATTCCATTTGCATTGCACTGAAATCTGAAATTACTAAAGAACCCTTGTTCTTGTTCGTCTTCCTCCTCCATTTGCATTGACGGCATTATGAATTAATTCGAACAATTAATATATAGCCATAGCCATATATACTCCCACCCTCCCTCACTGACTGGTCTTTTTCAGACAGACAATTAATTTATTAATATATATATATATAAAACTGTGTCTCTAATTAACGCCTACGCCTTGTTGATCTTCAACTTCAACTTCAAGCTCTGCTCTGCTCTTATGACTTATCGGAACAAAAATTAGGAGTGACAGGGACAACAGCTTTGATGCTTTATTTATTTTTTATTTTTTATTCTTTTAATTTTAATTTAATGTTTTATTATTGTGATTTGCAGCTGGCTTTTTGGTGTCTGTCTGGCCACACACTTTTTTATGGGGACTACATACATGAAACTTGTAATGTACTAAGATTTTTGCCATTTAGGGATACAGTAAAATCATCTCCAACTCATTTTAAATACGTATTTTCAAACTCTATTTATTCAGTTTTAATTTTAAATATATAATTGTTTTAATAATTTTATTTCAATTATAATTTTATTTTTCACTATTATTCTTTAAATATTTAATTTTTTTTATTATTTTAAACAGTTTTTTATTTTTATAATTTAAAATATTTTTTAAAAAAAATTAGATAAATAAATTTATAAGTTTTTTGGCGTTGCTACTGTGCAACACTAAAAAATGGCGCAACCGACGCCAAATCAACTGTCCTAAATAGTATGGCTGCTTCCTATGTTTAGAACCATCTTTTCCCATTATTTTTAAGATTTTGAAAATTTTAAAATAATACTCCCTCAGTTCCGGTCAAGATGATCCCTTTATTAAAAACACAGTATTTTAGGCAGTGGAAATTAGTACGTTATTAATAATATATTATAATATTATTTTATTATTTTTTATGTGAATAGTGTTGTTGGTATTTTAAATATTTTTAGCATTATAGATCAATAAAATATATACAATATGAATATCATTTTGTAAAGAATAAAATTTTATATAATAAAAATAAATAAAAAATTTATTTATTTATTTCTAATTAACTTGAAACTAATTCTATTAAAACTAAGAAGTTTTAAAAATAAATAAAATTATTTATTTATTTAGGAGAAAGATAGAAATAAATGGATTTTTGAGTGGATCCTATGCGCAAGAGGTTAGATATTTAATTAACTTTGATTTATATTTGTTAAATATATTTAAAATCAATAAATTTACTAAAAATAGAAAAAAATAATCTTTAATGGGATGGACAAAAAAGAAAAAAAGGGTTATCGATCGCGGGAGGGATGGAGTATTAAGTATTTAATAGAATATTTGTTAATAGAAATAGATATTTGAAATGTTTTCTTTTCGAGAAAATAGTGTTAGCTATTTATTTTACTCCCTCCGTTCCGCATTCTTTGTCACTTTCTTTTTTTTAAAAAAATGATTACACACTTTAATCTAATTTTAAACTTTTTAATTTTAATTAAATTAATTAGTTATCTTAATCTTAATTTATAATTATTTATATTATAGGATAATTATTTACTGATTATACCTCTCTTAAATATCGTGTTTACAGTGTAGCAGACACGTAGGATGGAGGAAGTATTTTATATATATATATATATATATATTTGACATTAGACGAAACTATTGCTTAAAATATTATTTCCATCCACAACACAGCCACCAATACAGAAGAATAAAAGAGGGGAAATAGAGATGATGGTTTAAGACTTTTTATATAAATATTGGGTGTGTTATATATATATATTTAAAAAATTAATATATCACATACATACGTCAATTTTATATTACTTATACGATCATCTATATTTTAGATAAAAAAAATAGTTTTTCAAATCATTTTATTAAACAAACAAACCCATTAAATTTAAATATAAGTTGGTGATATTTATGAAGATTTTTTTAATTTTGTATTTTCATTTAATGCAATTATATTGATATAAATAAATCATAATAAAGATATTCATAATAAATCATCACATCATAAAGAATTTGGTTATTATTGTTATTATTACACCATTTAAATAAATTATTTTTTCATTCAAATTTATATCTACTTTTTATTGTTATAAAAAAATATAATCGATTCATTTTAAGTAAAACATACTCCATCCGTCCCACGAAAGATGAAGCTTTTTGTTAGGGACATGATATTTTAGGTAACGTAGATTACTAAGTTATTAATAATAAGTTAAAATAATATTTTATTATTTTTTATATGTATAATATTGTTGGAATATTGGGTTGGAATCATTTAAATTACAAATTATTTTTAAATTTTGATTATAATATATTAATATTGCCGTTTTCTAAAAAGAATATGTCTCGATTCCAAAATGATGTAATCTTATTCTTGATAAGTATATGAAGAATTGTTTTCTTATTTTTTTTCAAAAGGAAGATATATATATATATATATATTTCTTTTTCATTATAAAACCCTTTTAAATTTATTTAAACATTAATGTTTTATTTATTTATTTATATTACGTTCCACACATTTTTAGTAAATATATAATTATTTATGTTTATTAGTTTTAGTTTGAAATGTGACCTTTTTGCATAGTATAATTTTGATTTTTTTTTTTCATTATTTTGTATTTATTTTTTATTTAAAAATAAATTTAAAAATTATTTGATAAGAATAAAAAGATAATTTTGTATATAAATAAAATATTTCAAATATTTATAATATTCTAAATTTAAATTAATAAATATATTGGAATGAAGGGACGTTATTATAGATATATTAATTTATATACACATCCTTAATAATAGTAGTAATAAATAAAAACAAGGATAAATGTTTCCATAATTATTTTTGTTCATGTTTTTTCTAAAGATTACTTTTTTAAAAAATAATGTGATTTTTTATTTTTTAAAAATAACTTTTTTATATAATTAATAATTTTAGAAATTATTACTAAAAAAAACAAAAAAAACTTCTTGAACCAAAACATTTTTTCTTTTAATTGGAAAGGAGAAAAGTAAAGAAATTATTATGGAATAAGGGGGACAGAACAGTGAATTATTGACCTCTTGATATGGACTATGTACTTGAAAATGAAACAATGTGTTATCTAGAATAATGGAATAAAATAGTTTAAATTTAAAAAATATATATATTTTTCAATAAAATACATAATTAAATAATAAAGTATATTATTTGACAATGCTTAATTATATAATTAACTTTCTCTAGAACTTAATTTATTTAATTGTAGTTTAAAATTGATTTAGAATGTGTGTTGATTTGAGTTTTATTTAAAAAATATTTTAATTTGATATTTTGTGTGGAAAAATATTATGTTTTTATTTAAAATTGTGCAAAAATAAATAATACTATTAATTTTAGTTTAAAATAGCTAAAACAACAAACTCGAAATAAAGTTGGTCATTGATTATGTGATTTGATTTCAGATAATTCTATAAAACTTGCTAACAAAATATTATTCTATTCAAATTATTATTTAATTTTTTATTTTTTATTTTTAAATAATTGGATTCAAGAATTTATGCATAATTAGATTTATACTCTAATTCAAGTTTATACTTTCAATGGAATACTTTTATTCTTAGATAAAAGAGAATAACATATATTCCAGTTATGATATTAATTAAAGAGAATATTATACACACATGAACATATACACCAATCTCAAAACATCGAGTTATTTTGTTATAATATACAATTAAAACAAATTAAATTATCAATATTAACATGACTTATGCTCGGTTTTGACAGGATTTTTTAAGTTTTAAAGTTCTGAAAATTTTATTTTTTTTAAAAAAAATATTTAATATTTAATAATATTTTGAAGAAAATTGTTAAAAATTTTAGAATTGTTTGTGCAAGCACAACATTAACATTTTTTTTTTTTTTTTTTTTTGTAAATATTATCCAATAAAAAAAAAAACGACTCAATTCTAAATAAATAGGTTAGTCTTGACCCATAAAAATTCCTCTACGTACCAAATATTTTGGATTAATCAAAATTTTGGATTCAAAAACAATTTACAATTTTGAGTATTTACTCTATTAAAATATCAAATACTTGTATATTTACAAATAATTCCTACTCACAATTATAATAATTCTACGTAATTTGTTTAATATTTTTATTTCTATACATTTTTACGAAATGCTTTATTTTTTTTAAATAAAAAATTATATATTTTAATCTTATTTTAAAAATTTTATAGTAAATTCTTGTATCTATAAAAACAAACAGCTTGAACCAAACACATTTACTAATTTTATAGATACAAGACAGTAGGTTTGCTCTTTTTCTTAAAATCTTTATATATTTCTTCAATATACTGCACACATTTACTAATTTTATATTCCTTGAACCAGTTTTTTATTCCTAATATAAAAAATTATTCCTTCAAAATATTTCACAAAATAAAGGCATGGGGCTATTTTCAGCATTATTTTCAAATGCTGAACTAATATCATCATATCATTCATGTCATATATCCGTCCAATTGCCAAAACATTCACTACACTACACTACACAACATCGATTTCATACAGACAAAACACCAACCAACGGTTAGTTAGTTCCTGCATTGCATACGACGTCGTACTACTCACTGCAACTTCAGCCCGTCGAGGTTGTCCGACACCGTCCTCATCTTCGGCCGCGCCTCCGCCTCCGTCTCCGTACAGCTCAGCGCAATATGAAACATTCCGACCACCTGTTTCTTCGCGCGCACCTCGTGTAAGAGATTGGGGTCGATAATCTCCGACAACGGCCGTTCTTCCCGAAAGGCTGTCCTAACGGCGTCCTTCAAACCCTTCCCGTCCCTGTCCGGCAACCGCCCTGTAAGAATTTCCGAAAGCAAGATCCCGAACGAATACACGTCGCATTTTTGTGTCATCGTCGGCGCAGCAGCTCGAGCTTCGGGCGCGATAGCGTTCATCGACGACGATGACGGGACAAGACGGGACAGACCGAACCCAGATAAATACGGCTTGAGATTCTCGTCAAGTAGGATTTTCGTTGATTTGACGCTGCCGTGGACGTGTTTCCGAGGACCGCAATCGTGGATGTGTGCAAGAGCCCGGGCAACATCTTGCGCGATTCTTAGACGGGCTGCCCATGACAATGGTGGCAACGTATTCCCGGGACCTCCTGCGATGCAATGTCCAAATTATTACACAAACAACTATAGCTCGCGGCAATTTTCTAAAAATATTACTTAAAATTTGTTATATATAATATGCAATAAATACACATAATAATAAAAATCTACATTGAACCATCCTTTCTTATAATACTTTCATATAGTTTAGTGACACACAGTAGCTCATGGTAATATTAGTGACAACATATAATAATATTAGCGACAACACATCATTCATATTAATATAATACAAACACAGCACATGAACTAACAGCACATGATATACACTTATACAACACATAATTATAAACAAACACATGCCATTATTACAAACACATATTGTTTCTAATAAAGACTTATGTTGTTTCTATATTATATGGATGGATGCTAATTTTGAAAATCAGCACTGTAATCTTTCCCACTAGACAGACATTTTGTGTCTTAAATATCCACAAAAGACGATTCGAATGAAAAGACAAACTAGTATAACGGATCGATTCGTATGAATCCAATGTAGTATTGCGATCCAAATTCCATCCGTTTTCATTTTCATACAATGTAATTTATCACGCATTTCTATTGAACGACCATTTTCACCTCAAAAAAATTCAAAACCTAAAGACAACAAATCCTCGTATTCTAAACATTATGCCTACATTATCGTGATCAGTTCTAAACAAGAATTCTCACAGGGAATCGACCTCTCAATATCTTTAAAGATAGGTATCAAATATATACACGAACAACACATAACAAATAGAAAGACAATACAATTTATGTTAACATAATAAATACAACAGATTGACGGACAGCACATGGCAATAATCCACAAAGCACACATCACCGTTGATCTCAATACACATCACATATTAACACAACACATACATAATACACAATTTATATAATTACAACGTTTTGATTAAATTTAATCGTAGGCGGCAGCTACAGTACTGAGTTTAGTACTGAAAAACACATTATGTGCTGTCTAGTAGCACATAGTACTATTACAAAACAGTAATATATTGGCATATACAAGACATGCTATAGTCTCATACAAAACATAGTATATAATTTTACTACATGATATATTCTTATGCAGCATACATATAATCATAAACAAAAAAACCCACTTATCTTTATTACACACAACTTGTGTTTGGTGTAATAAGAACAGTGTGCTATTTGTATATATTATGACTGCTTACTTAGATCAACATCATACATTTTTTTACAAAATAAAAAAATAAATCAAATCAAACAACTATTTTCTATTTTTTATATTACATAGGAAAATAATTTGTTTTGGTTTCTTTTCTTCAATTCCCAAATTATTTTCTTTAAAAATATCAAATCAAATATTAATTTTTAACTTTTTTATATTACACATAAAAATTAAATTCACGTTCGAAACAAAATAAAAAAACAAGACGAAAGAGATTCAAATTCTTACCATGCAAGGCCGTATACAAGCTACCATTTCTGACAAAATCCGAAACCAGAAGCTTCTCATCAATGGCGTAATAGAATGCCCTAAGCCTAACAATGTTAGGATGCTGCACCTTCGCAATCGCCTCCACCTCCGCCTCAAACTCCTTCAACCTCCACTTCCCATCTCCCTCACTCAGCCGCCGCACCGCCACCGCGCCACCACCTCCGGCCTCCGCCGCCGCCGCTCCACCTCCGACCACCACTTTATACACAATCCCACTCCTACTCTTCCCGACAACATAAGCAGAAGCTCTCAACAAATCCTCCAATTCCAATCCAAACCCTTCGTCCAACACAACAAACTTCCCATCCATTCCGACAACCTCCGCTCCGCCGCCGCCGACGCCATTGTTGCTGCCCTTTCCGAGCTTCTCCGCCGCCACTCTCTTCCACCTTGTCCGAACCACCCAAACAAAAACAAAAACCACTCCGATCACCAATAAAGCCCCCGAAATTACAGAAACCGTCACGACCCCATTTCTGATCCTTCTATTCTGCACAACCCCATTCGAAGAAACCCCAATATTTACAGGCTTTTGGGGGTTGCCGCTTAACAGAGTTGGACTCTGCGCTTCGAGAGTTGTACCACACTGAAACCCTAATGGGAACCCACACAAATTAGGGTTTCCAGAAAACGCAGTTGGGCCTTGGTTCAAAAGTGAGCCCACCTGAGGAATCTTCCCGGAGAGATTATTATGCCTTAAATCGAGGCTAACCATCACCGGAAACCGGCCAAAGCTCGCCGGAATCTCGCCGGAGAATGAATTGTAGGAAAGATTCAATGTCCCCTTCAAATTTGTCAGATTGCTTAGGGTTTCAGGGAGGGTGCCATTGAAGCCATTAGAGGATAAATCAAGATGAGTTAGGGTTTGCAGGAAAGCTATGGAGAGTGGCAAAGGGCCACTGAAAAAGTTTTCGGAAAGGTCGAGGAAAGTTAAGGATAAGAGAGCCCCGATTTCTGAAGGAATGTAGCCTGTGAGATTCTTGTTAGAGAGAGAAATGGAGGTGATTCTACGGCGGGCATCGTCGCAGGTGATTCCATCCCATTTGCAAGGGGTTATGTCGGAATCGGACCAAGAAATGAGGGCTTTTGTCGGGTCATTTGTTATGGCTGCTTTGATGGCCAAGAGAGAGAGCCCGTCTGCGTTTAGAGAGAGAGTGAACTTAAAGAAGAAGAAGAGGATGAAGAAGGACGCCATTACAGGTGCTGTAACAAAGCTTGATGAACCCTCCATATGTGATTTCACAATTCTTTCGGAGAACCTCAGAATTGGGTCATGATTTGGACAAAGATTCGAGCTTTGATTCAACAATGTGATGTAAGAATACGAATTTCGGGTCAGGATTTGCAGTGCAGGAGGAATGTGCGCTCGATGGACAGGATGGGTGATAATGGCGGACTCCACTGTAGTTGAAATTCTTTTGGGATTTCAATTTGAATCAGGGCAATGATTTTATTTTTATTTTATTGTAGGATTGAATTGGATTGGAATTTCGAGGCTACTTTGGAGCAACTAATGTGTTAATGAATTTGAATTTTCTTGAAATAAGGCTGCTTCTGTTGGCTTCTTGCACTTTGATTTACAGTTCTTGTTGGGATGCGGGTGGATTTGTTTTCTATTTCTTTTTTAAATTTCTGCATATACATATATTAAGCAAGTTTTTATTTTTTATTTATATTTGAAATTAAAAAAAAAAATTAGAACTGTTTTTTTTTTTTTCTTTTTTTCCCGCATGTGATGAGATTTAGCAGTGTCCTGTTTCACAGAGGACTTGGTTCAGGCTGTCACTGAAATGAGAAGGTTTTGGAAGTTTCTGGTTGTGGTGATTAATTTACTTTTGAAATTTATAGAAAGAAATTAACAAATACAATTACCAGAAATGTAAAAAATTAAAAAAATATATATAACTAAAAAGTTAATGGGGGCCAAGTGCATTGAGCCTGGTCGGGGAAAATAATGAAGGATGCAGCCAAGTGCAGAGGCAGACTTTTTACAGAATCTGAGAGCAATGAATGGTATCCGACCATATGTGTACTGTAGGGGCATTCTTGTAATTAAATGGGATGTGTGTTTGTATACTGATTTTAGAATTGAATGTGCCATTTTTATTTATTTACAAAGCTATTATTTTCTAATTTAGTAATTGTACTGTCTACTTAAAATAATAAATATTTTTCAATTTATAATATATTATACAAATACAATTACTTTTATATTACACAATAAGTATTTTTATCTTTTTTTATTATAATTTAATATAATACTAATATTAAAAAATTTACGTGAAAAACTAAATATCATTCTTTCAATGGGATGGATAGAGTATTATTTTTTTGATAATTTAGAAATTTACGGTAGCTACTCGTCGTAAGCTTCTAGAATATGACATTTTGAATTTATATCCTCTTGTCTTCCTATTATAATGTATACATATATATTTTCATGAAAAATTAAGAAATATTGGTAAAAAAATGTACTTTGTAAGCCTTTGGAATACAACATTTTGAATTTAAATTATCTTCACAATTATAATTATTTTTTTCTATTTTTTTGGAATTATATATATATTTCAGTAGTTTATAAAATAATTTTTACTTAAATGTTATGATTTATATTACATACGATTCCATCTACCATATTTTATTTACTTTTATTTATATAGTATAAAAATAATTTGATTATATATATTTATTTCATAAATTATAAATAAATCATATATGCGAAATTTATCAAATATATAATTACATTACAATATTATTTTAAACATATTTTAATTATATACACTTGTGCATAGCACGGGTTTAAATGCTAGTTATAATGTGTACATATTATTTGATGAAAAATTAAGAAATATTGGTAAAAATATAAGGTTTATTTATTTAGTTAGTTATTTAATTTAAATTTTTTTTATATAAATATATAAAATTGTGTCGATAATATAGAAAATAATTTTAATTTTTTTTAATATTAAGTATTGATTTTGATGAAAAATGATAAAATATACTATTTTCGTTCCAATTCAAAATACCATTTTTACTTCATACGTCTCACTTCAAATTTTTTTTTTTTAATAAAAATAATTATACACGAATACTAAAATATCATCAATTTTTACCTAAATTATAAATATACAATTACATAAATAAAATACTATTACTCCCTTCGTCCCATAATTAGATATCCATTTGTTTTTTGCACCTAATTTTAGAAATATTAGTATTATATTGGGATGTAGTAGGAATAAAATAGAATGGACTAAAATAATTAGTATGTGTGCTATAAAGGTAATGACAATTATACAATATATTATAAGTTATAAGGGTATTTATAATGTTATTTAGATAGTACCGTTATTAAAAAAAAAATTGATACTTTGTTATGAGACAATCTAAAATGAAAAATAAATAATTTATTATAAGAAGGAGATAATATTTCTTAATCTCCTACAATAACTCCAAAAAAAACTTTTGATAAGAAATACTACATTATTATTTATTAATCTCCTACGAGAACTCCAAAGAGCTTTTGATAATGAACGGATAAAGTATATTTTATTTATTAATACTATCTAAATATTTTATTGATGTTATTTGAAAAAATAAATACAACATTAATTTCTTCAAATTAATATTTTAACCAAAATAATTTTAAACTCATAATTTGATTGTGACAAATTGGCGGGTACCCTTACATGACAATATTATTATTATTTTATTGTTAAAACAAGCACGATTATATATTCTTTTAGTTATTGAAGTTAAGCCGCCATAAAGAATACTATTCATTATATGTACGTTAGAATTCCAATTTGGTCTTCTCCCCCAATCATAGCCATGAAATTATTCATTCCAGCCATTTCCCACGCTCTTTTAACGTGGACCATTTTCTACCAATTATATTCCGCCACGTCATCCTTCTCCATTATCCAATCCGACGGCGATCCGCACTTCTCCGCCTCCATCTCCGTCGCCGATTACGGCGCCACCGCCACCGGCGTTCAGTACGACACTGCCGCAATCCAATCCGCCATCGATGCTTGCTCCTCCGCCTACTCTCTAGACCGCCGTCTCTGCCAGGTCATCTTTCCGCCGGGGAAGTACCTCACCGCGACTCTACACCTAAAATCCGGCGTCGTACTGAACGTATCCAAAAACGCGACGATCCTCGGCGGAACGAAGCTTGAAGACTACTCTGAGAAGCAGGAGAAATGGTACGTGGTGGTGGCGGAGAACGCGGCGGATCTGGGGATCACCGGCGGAGGAGAGATCAACGGTCAAGGGCTGGAGTTCGTGGAGCGATTCGACGAGAGGAAGAACGTGATGGTGAGCTGGAACAAGACCGGCGCGTGCGCCGGCGACGAGTGCAGGCCGCGATTGGTCGGATTCATCGGCTGCCGGAATGTTAGGGTTTGGGACGTCCACTTCGAACAGCCCGCTTATTGGTGGTACGTTGTGCTCTGCGTGTTGTACCCTCATTGGATCTACGGTACTTTGATTTTTTTTTTTTTTTTAAACATTCACCGGAAAAAAAAAAAGTGAACTGAGGTTTGCGGAAATGGCAGTTTGCACATAGTCCGGTGTCAGAACACGACGATCGACAGAATATCGATCCATGGCGACTTCAACACGCCAAACAACGACGGGATCGACATTGAAGATTCGAACAACACCTTGATAACGAGGAGCATCATCGACACCGGAGATGACGCGATCTGCCCCAAGACCTACAATGCTCCCCTCTACAATCTCACCGCCGCCGGCTGCTGGATTAGAACTAAGTCTTCCGCCATTAAATTGGGGAGCGCGAGCTCCTACGCCTTCCGTAGCTTGCTATTCGATAATATAACCATTGTCGAGTCCCACAGAGGCCTTGGATTACAAATCCGTGATGGAGGTACACTGTACACGAAACTTGCTATTTCTCCATTGAGCATATATGAAACTTAGGAATAATACTAACTTTTATTTAACACAGCACAATCATAGTTCAACACAATCTACAATTGATTTCATGCGTGCATTATTTTTATTTAACAACATAATCTGCAGTTAGATTTCAGCAAAGCAAATGACGTGCATTCATACAATACAACTATACCATGTGTTGCATGTCTCTTTACTATCTGAAGTGTGCTGAATTTTTAAAATCTATATAGTAACCGCCGCCGTTTATTTATATGTGCATATACTATTGTAACAAGTTTCCGGTTTGGGTTGTTGGGGTGCAGGGGATGTGAATGGGGTTATGTTTTCGAACATCAACATCAGCACGAGATACTATGACGAGTCATGGTGGGGCAGAGCTGAGCCAATATACATCACAACATGTGCACGAGATAGAGGATCGAAGGCAGGGACAATCTCCAACCTGCAATTCATAAACATCTCTGCAACATCTGAAAATGGGGTGTTCTTGTCTGGGTCGGAGAATGGTATTTTGAAAAACATAAGGTTTCACAATATGAACCTCACTTACAAGAGATGGACAAATTACGCCGGTGGGCTGGTCGACTACAGGCCAGGTTGCCAGGGGCTGGTGAACCGCAGCAGAGGAGGGTTCATGATGGAGCATGTCGATGGCTTGGAGGTTGAAAATGTGAACATGAGATGGGACGAGGGGACGACAGGTCAGTGGAATAACCCTCTCGATTTTCACCCTTCAACTGTGAATAATATATATATTCGAAACTTCTATTCTGGTTTGTACAACCAATGAGAGAGGCTTCGATGCGAGGATTTGATTTTTGTCTTCATGGTTTGTTTACTCTCGAGGTTTATTCGATTATCTGTTATTCAAGCATTTGTCGGAATTTGGAGTTATGTTTTTAGTTTGGTTGCTATCAATGTTGTATCAAGTAGTCTTTACAAAAGTAGCATGATTGGACTTCACTTTTGTTAATGACAAGCTTCATGTGTTTCACATTCACTTCAGAAAATGAGAAGTTTTAGAGATCCCCAACAATATAGGAAAGCAAATTAGATTGTCCATAAACTGTGAGAGATCTGATTCATTTAAACTCAAAGTTTGATTGTCCTTTAGTTGCTCAACCTGCATTTTTGAAGAAATGAGATATGCAGATTTTTGGTAGTGGAGTAGCTCAAAGCTTGGCTTCAATGCTTTGTGTTAGTTAATTTCATAATATATAAATAAATAAATGATCCATGTCTCTTCCTTTAGACTTAAAATTTTAGGTGAGATAGTCATATTTTCGAGTCGAACACCATGCTTGTAATGAAAACAGGGGATGGCAAGGTATACTTTGTCTATTGAAAGCAACCTGTTCATTGCAAAAGTGTTGTATGATTGTGATTTGAATTGGTCTTTTATCTCTAGACACTGTGCCCTTTTCCTTTTTGTGAATAAATCATCGTGCTGTTGCTCACAAAAGTAGATACTAAAATAAAATATTGATTCTTGACTTGCTTGAGTTATTCAGGAATTATTTTTTAATCTCATATATTGCTTCCCAAGCACTATATATATACACACACACACACACACAATCTATTCAGGCATTGTCAGCAACAGCAGTATACTGAAGGATCTCATTTGGATTTTCAGGTTCTTCACTTCACTTCCCTTAATAATCTCTCTCTTTTCATCTTAGTCAACATTAATGCTTATCTATTATTTTCTCTCAAGTGATGGCTGGAAGTACTGAAGGGGATGCTGGTGAGCTGAAAATTGATGCGTTTTTGGAGAAAATGAACGAGCATGCTGATCTGGACAAATGTTTTGAGGCTCTTACTCAGAGCAGCTCTGCTGTTCGTATCAGCATTGATTTGCTGAATGCGCTTCGTCTGGCAATGGAAAGTTCTCGTAAAATGAAGTTGCTGGACTGTGAGGATGTTGCTGAGATTGTTGTTGAGGTGAAGAAACATAGGAAGAATTGTAGCTACATTATCAAGTAAGTACTGAAAAGCTCAAAATAGTGTGTTTGTTTGTGGGTTCGGATATTTTAATAATAAAATTTTGAATTTGAATAGTTGTATAAGTAGGTGTTCATGTTCAGTTTTGAATGTAAAATTAATTTTTAATAGTTTGTTTGAATAATAAGAGATCTCTAAAAATCTACAAAGAATAGTCATTTGTTTGTTTGATGGTTTAAATTTTGCATTTGGATTTTTTAATAATAAACTTTTAGATTTGAACAGTTGTTTGATATGATATAAATAAGTGTTTAATGTGATGTTTTGAATTTAATTTTAAAAAAGAAATAAAAATAAATGTTTGATTTTCGTGTGTTTACTTTACTGGAATGACTAGGAATGGAGATGAGCTTACCTGTAAGGAATTTGAAGAGATTGTCAAGTAAGTATTTAAAAGCTCAACACTTATTGAATTTTTCACTCTTATTTATTTTGTGTGTTTATTGGAATGAGTAGGAATGGAGACAATATTAACTGTGAGGAATTCAGAGACATTGTCAAGTAAGTATTCTAAAACTCACTCCTTTTCAGATTTATTTATTATAATATTTTGTGTTTATCACATGGCTAATTACATAGAAATGATTTGAGATAAGTTACACAGGGGTAGGGGTAGGGGTAGGGGTAGGGGTACACAATAGAAAACTACTTTCTCGATCTTATGTTGGGGAAACCAAAATGACTAAACAACAACAAAGACATTGAAATTAGAAACTACAAATTCGACTCATTTCGGGTGAAGGCTAAATTGCTTGATACCTTATTACGTCAAATTTCTTATGCTATATTTATATTAAAATATGCACAAAATATATTCTCCATCCAAAATCTAAGGTTGTTTGTAAATACACTTCTAATCATGAAAAACTATATCATCTCACACCTATGTCCATTTTCTTTAAGTGTGTGTTTGTTTGGGGGATTGGATTTTGAGTTGGGATTTGAATAGTAAAAAATTTGAATTTGAATAGTTGTATGATGTGATATAAATAGGTGTTGATGTGATGTTTTGAATGTAAAATTGATTTTTTGTATAATATAAAAAATGAAAAATAGGGGTTTGATTTGATGTTTTGGGGGGGGGGGGGGGGAATTTTGGATGAATAGTAAAATTTTGATAAAATTCAACAACCGAACACACCCTAACTGTAATTCTGTGTAATCTCGTAAAACTGTAAAAAAATCAAAATCAATAAAATTTCAAAATTATGAGATTGCAGGATTGCAGAATTTTACAAAATGTAGGGTCCACCCTTGAGCCCTTTTATATATAAACTAGCCTGTAAACCATGTTCGTATAAATTGTTAAAATAATATTAAACAAATAATTAATTATATTGGTGAATATCTTATAGAATGATACAAATGTTTTTAAGACTTCAACAATTTATACTAAATTTACTATGTGACGAATTCTTCTTAGGGTGTGTTTGTTTGGGGGATTGGATTTTCAATCCACTATTCATCTTATTTTTTTCCCAAAAAATATCAAATCAAACATTTATTTTTCATTTTTTATATTATACTAAAAATCAATTTTACATTCAAAACATCACATCAACGCCTATTTATATCACTATCGTACAAATATTCAAATTCAAAATTTTTACTATTAAAATATCAACTCAAAATCCAAACCCCCAAACAAATACAATTTATAAAAATGTTAATAAACTATTGTACTAATTATATATCATTTTCTGTTATATATTTAAAAAATATATTAGTATGCTAAAATAATTAACAATGAAATAATATATATGTATATTTATATGTGTAAAATATTTCTTATTTTGTAAATTTTTGAAATAGAATAGTTGACATCGAAAGATAAATTGAAATTGTTTGTGTGACAATTTTAAATTCATACTTACGGTATCGTCTTTTATTGTCTAATTAGCCTTATATCTACACTAAAGATTGTATATAAAATATAACTAAAAATTTACAATGTATTTATAGTTATATAAATATACAATCTTTGTAAAATTAGTTTCACTTCAAATATTTTTAACATCAATATGGTCAATTCGTCCAATAATACGACAAAATTTAACATTCATATAAAAAAAATAAAAAAAATAAAAATTATAAGTTGAAAAATTAATTATAAAATTAGTATATATTGTATAATAATTATGTAACAATTTTTAATATAATTATTATATAAAAAATATATGACATAATTAAACTATATATATAAATTAGAACAACTACTAAAGTAAAATAGATAATTTGATTTAAAAACTAACTTTTATTTTTTAAAAAAAAAAAATTAATATATAATTTTTTATCTTAATTTTTTATTACCAATTTAATAAATAAGCAAAAAATAATGTAATTCAATAATTAGTATTTATAGTTACTGAAATATCAACTATAATTACTCAAATTTATTTTTTAAAATAAGATTAGACACTAACTTATAAATAAAAATATTATATTAAAAAAAAAAACAAATTATTTAAAATTTTGAAAATTGACTAATTTTTTTTTTTTTAAATGATTCAAATATATATTAATTGAATATGATATATCTGGTAGATAAAAGCTAACAATAAATTTACATATTAAATACAAATCAATCATTAGTCCCTCGTGTAAGATCCATTTTCCTTTCTTGTGATATTTTTCTATTTTTAAGTAAATTTATCAATCTTAAATACACTTGACAAATATAAATCAATTTAATTAAATTTCTAATATACCCCCTCAAAACCCTTTATTTCTATATGTCTTTCCAACTAACAAATATTTTATTATTTTTAAAACTCTCTATTTTCTTAGAAAAATAATTTATGGTAATGATAAATAAATAAATATTTTTTTTATTTGTATTATAAAATTTTATTCTCTAAAAAATAGTATTCATATTGTATATATATTTTATTGAGATATATAATATTAAAAATATTCAAACACATTTTAAATTTGTTTTAATCATTAAATAATAATACCCACTATTTAAATAACTAATTTATACTATATTAATTCCCATGTCCAAACAAAATGTTGCATCTTTGTCGGGACGGAGGGGGTATATTTTAATACTTATCGAATTCGGGTATATTTTAATACTTATCGAATTCAATATTTTTTTAAACGCGATAAAATAAAAAATTCATGAAAAAAAAAACTAATATATGAATAGAAAATAAAATTTAAATAATTTAGAAATTATCAATTACAAATATTATTAAGTTTACCAAGAAAAAACAAATAACTGTAAAATAAATAAGATCTTGCAAAATATAAATAAATATCATGTTAAATTATTTATACAATATAAATACAATATGAGATTTCAATGCTTCCGAAATTGACACTAAAATCAATACAGATCAAATAAAATAAATATAAAATATAATCTATAGTATTAATGATTTTTTTAACTTTGAAAAAAAAAATCAAAACTGTGAAAATTTAATTCTTCTGTATCTTCGTCTTTTTCTTAAATCAAAATAAATATAAAAGTAAAATTTGTTGAGAAATATGCAAAAAAAAATGAGAATATGAGTTTTAAAAAAATAAATAAAAATAAACTTTATAAAATTTAAAAAGTTTATATATATCCATTAACACTATAAAAAAATTGTAAAAATTATATAAATTTTAAATAGCCTACTATCATGATAAAAAACTGTAAAACAAAAAGAAATAAAAAATCAGAAAAATCCCAAAAATGTCAGCATGGAGGAATTAGAGACTGATCTCAAATGCATAATATATAAACTAGCGGAATACCCGTGCTACGATGAAATCAACACAAAAAAAAATTATATTTTTTTGTTTAATAATAATTTCTTTATATTATATATATATTTTTAATCAATATACAAAAAATAAAATAATATCAATGAATTATACTATCTCCGTCCAATTATAAAGTAAATATTTAATTTTATAGCATTTCACTTTTATTTCTTAATTGAATATAAGATTATAATATAATAATATTATTTAAAATAATTTTGAATGGAAAATAAATTACATTTAAAAAATTTTAATATAATTTTTTTATATTTTCTTTATAATAGTAGGTAATTTTAGAATAAATTTAAAACCTAAGTCTATGTTTTATTTTAACATATATATGTGTTTACATAATTATTTTAAAAATTAATAAAATATATGCATTTACTTTTGGATAGTACTATGTATTTATTTTAAATTTATTTTATCATTTTTAAATACAAATATATTACAAAGTTAATTGATAAAAAATATAGCCAAAATCTACACAATCATCATCTTTCTACTAAATATCATACAATGAATTAACAAATAAAAATATATAATTCAACAATACTCTACAAAAACAAATTTCTCATTCTACTATTTAAAAAACAAAAGAAAAACAAACAAAATCTTCAATATACTCATAACAACAATTTTAATACATCTTCTGATTTGAGAAGCTGCCGTCGGATCTTCTGCAAGTTCGAACTAAAAACATCATTATCATCGTCTACCATCATTCACTATTTCTCGGCCAAACACACGCACCAAATAGAGCCGGCATCAGTCTACCTCTGCAGACATCCACATCAGCCACGATTGTTCGAGCACAAACTTTTTCGGAAAAAAATATGTAATATAAATTATGATTTATATTATAAATTTGGAATAAAATATGCAATATAACTAAAATAATTAATATTAAAATAACAATTTAATTTATTATGAACAAAATCAATTAAAAAATATATAAAAACAATACATATATTTGAATGTATTTAAAACTTGATTGATTATGAAAATAAAATTATTATTCATATACATATAATAATTTCTGTTTTTTACAACTTAACAAATAAAATCAATTTTTCGGGTAACTTAATTATAATATTGCAACTCTTTATGATATGATAAGGGACAACTGATTTTGGCGAAGACTTTTTAGAATAGAATGTTTTTATTATCATAAAATAGAGAATATTAATATTATAAAAATTCTCTTTCATATATTTTTTTGAGTTCATTGCTTTTTTGCTTCTTTCTTTGAACTTGTTTTCATGTGTTTTTTTCCACAAAATTCTCTTTCATTGTTTTTGGATTTCATTACTTCTTTTGCTTCTTTATTTGAACTTGTTTGCATGTGTTTTTTTCCACAAGTTTCATTTTTCAGCTACAACTTTCAACTAAGGATCCTTTGGAATGGCTTAAATAATACTTCCTCCATTCCAATACAATAGTTTTGTTTACTATTTTTGTCCGTCCCAAAACAATAGTCTTATTTCCATAAATAACCATATCACCATAAAATTATCCTTATTTTTTTATTTTTATTACACAATTGTCACTATTTTTTACACTAATACAGTCACCCGGGCAAAAAAATCTTTTATTCATACTTTTCATCCATTACTAATATAATATCAATATTTCTTAAATCTTATGCGCAACTCAATTATGACAATATATATGGGATGAAGGGAGTAGTTATAAGTAAAAAAAAAAAAAAAAAAAAGGCATAAGCCAAGTAGAAACATTTTGATTGTGTATTTCCTTGGGGGTTTGGATTTTGAATTTAGGTTTTGAAAAGTAAAATTTTGAATTGAAATAATTGTATAATATAATATAAATAAATGTTAATGTAATTTTTTAAATACAAATTATTTTTTAGTATAATATAAAAAATAAAATTATGGTATTTAATTTGAAGTTTTTAGAGAAAAAAATTTAATAAATAGTAAAAATTTTAAAAAATTCTTCAAACAAATCCAAAAGATTTTTCTATAATTTTGTATGTATACAATGAGTTTGTTTGTTTAGTATTTTAGTTTGAAATGCTTTTTTTAGTGTGGGATATGAGAAATTGTAGGTAATATAAAAAATAAGATTTTGTATTGAATTGTTAACTCGTGAGAGAATATAATTTATATTCAGAATCGTGTAACCAAAAAAAATTGATTGGGTGAGCAAATCTAATATCCTTAATACATATATTATGAATTTTTTAAATATGGTCATTGTCCCGTTACAGTGTTTTAAGAGTCAACTGCTATCGCACATTTACTTGTATTCATGTTCTTACCATATATATATATATTCATTCCATCTTGCATGGTTACATCCTAAAACAACCTGATGATTTTGAACTTGTCAGAAAGCTCGAGGCACGCACTGTAGTGAGCCGGCTGAAAGAAATCGGCAGTGCTATTAAGGAAAAAGAAGCTTCTGAGCATGTTGTCCTGTACGGTCCATCAGGTGTGGGGAAAACCTGGATGGCCAAAAAAGTTGCTGATCATGCTGTCCGAAGCAACCACTTTGATTTTGCTGTCTGGATATATCCGGAGAGAATCTACAGTGGAGGATTCACTCGTCATGAAAGCATTGCTCATCAGCTGTTTCTGACGTTGGATTTTCAGAAGGATGAAGCTGAAGCAGCCAGGCATGGGATACAGAAAGAGAAGCAAAAGAAACTTGGGGAGATGATTGCTCTTGCAATTGTGGATAAGAAGATTCTGTTGATATGTGAGGAGCTTGAAGTCCCCAACAAATGGGATTTGAAGAGACTCTTTGACACCGATGAGGTGAAGCCTGAAAACTTCATGATTTTAGTCACTAAAAAGAATTTGGGTGAGAATGAAAAAGGAATCGAGGTGAAGCCATGGACTTGGGGTGAGGCTCGGGCAGTTGTTGGAGTTGGTCAGGAGTTGAGAAAGAAACAATTGGCTGATTTTTTCATTAGCAAGAGCAGAAGGCTTCCTGCGGATATTCTTATCATAGCAAAAACCATGTCCTGTTTAGGGAAAGATGACTCTGGATTGCAGAAGATGGAATCAATCAGGCAAAGAACGGAAGGGGAAGAAGACAACAACAAGATTACTCAGATGCTTATCACTGCAAGTGATCTGATCCCCAAAAGCATTCTGATCGACTGTTACAGTTCCATAACTAGTGATGCGGAAGACAAGCACTTCTTGAACAAAGGCAAACGCGGCATGGTGAATCTCAATGAACTGATAAGCTACTGGATAGTGGAGGGACACTTGGGCCAGTTTGATTGCATTCAGGATGCATATGATAAGGGGTACCAGGTGGTAATGGATCTTTTAGATTGTGGGCTCTTGAGAAAGCTGGAAAACAGCTATGTCATGTCAAGTGGGCGGATGTTCAGCTATGACACTCTCGACTATTACAATTTTTTCGGAGAGGTTCGTCTGGGAATGGGGAACACATTTGACTGTAAGCTGGGGAAGATCGCGTTGGCAGATGGAATAATGAGAACAGTGGCTGGTAGGCAGGAAGAGGAGAAAGTGCAGGCAGGGGAGAAGAAGTTTGCAGGGGAGGAAATGGTGACACTGATGCTGGATGGAAGATATTTTGAGCTTCCAGGAAACAGTTTATTCGATAAGCCTGGTAGTGAACTTGGTTACCTGATGCCCCAGCTTGAGGTTCTCGTTGTCTTCAATCCCACCAATAAGCCATTTCCACTTCCCATCCAGAAATTGAAAGAGCTTCGACTGCTGGTTCTCCGAGGCTGCAAGTATTTGAAGAATTTCGATGAGATCTTTTCCGGACCGTTCCCAAATACTGCTGGGAAATCCAAAACAGATAATCATTCTCTCAGTAGATCTCAATCTTCGCCTGCCCTTCTCCATTCACCTATGACTCTCAAAGTCCTCGAGATATCCGGACCTAGTCCCCTGAATATGTTTCCTGAATCTTTCTTCAGTAGCTTGCCTGAACTGAGAAGTGTCAACCTTTCATATCTCAGTATGACTTCCTTGCCTAACTCATTTTACAAGCTTAAGAAAGTAGAATACCTCATCCTTAAGGGTACCAAATTGGTAGTTCTAGAAGGTTTGGAAAAGTTTACAGAACTTCAGTTGCTAGATGTGTCTGATTCAGAAGCTCTATATAGATTTAAGCAGAAGAGCTTTCGGCCAAATCCGAAGCTTGAGGTCATTAACTTTTCCAATACTATGATAGATAGAATTCCCTTGATCCGCTCTCTTAAAAACCTGAGAACTCTCACACTAAGCCGTTGTAAGGACTTGCGTGGAATACGCAAGATTGATGGGCTAAACAAACTCCAGATTCTCAACATTTCAGGTGCCAAAATGGTTGATGAGTTGCTCGATCCAATCATCAATCAGCTTTATGGTATTGAGCTTTTTGATGTTTCGGGAACATCAATCAGTCGGTTACCAGGCCGTATTGGGAATCCTCGTTTTCTTCATATGAGGGATTGCTCAAATCTCTGTTACCTCCTGCCTATAGCATCCTTGTCCAAGATTGAAGTCTTTGATGTCTCAGGTTCTTGCAACCTGGGAGAGATAAGAGATGAGTTCCTGAAAGAAATGACTTCCCTCAGAGTGCTGAACCTGTCGAAAACAGGCATTGAGCGTCTTCCATCCCTCTCTTCTCCTCTTAGTCTCCATCGTTTATGGCTGTCACATTGTCGATCCCTGACGAATCTTGACAGCTTGAGATCTATGGAAGAACTGGAAGAGCTTGACATTTCAGATTGTTGGTCTTTGGATCAACTGCCATCGCTGGAAAAGCTCCGGAAACTTAAAAAATTCTATGTGATGGACTGTCCAAATTTAACTGCTCTGCCAGATGATATTAAAGTTCTTGAAATTCTGGATCATTCTGGAACTACTTTAAGAGCTCCACCTTCTTGTTGCAGTGCTGTTGTAAAAGGACCAATTGCTTCAACATTGGATGGTTTAGATCCACAACTGCTGCTTCGGAAATTGGGAGCAACTGATTACGTGCAATCGATTTCTCGGCCATATGAGCAACTGAAAGCAGATGTTCAGAATCAGTGCAACTGGCAGATCTCTGGTTGGAAAGTCCAACAGAATGCTAGTCCGGAGATGCTGATCTATTCACCCGGCGTTCATTTCCTTCAACTCTTGGAGATGAATCAGCCGTTGAAGGAAAGCCTCAGCAAATTCCATATCCTGCTAGTCCCCACTGATGTACGAATAGAACTGCCGCAACCATCTTCCTATAAAGATGAGCTCAGATTAAGAGACTTCCATTTCAGACACTTGTTGTCAACAGACACGCTGCAAGGATGCCTGGAAATTCGTGGATTCATCCGCGCCCCCGAATGTGCTCAACCAGTGCTGGAAAGAGCTGAGTCTATTGTGCTGATTGATAATCCCTTTTTGAGTTGCTTGTCTGATACTGACCACAACAGTTTGGAGTGCCTTAGGGCTATGAAGGTATGCTGGATCGAGAGGTGCAATGAAATGAAGCATCTCATCGAGGGGAGCATTCCGGCTGACAGCCTCCAGAACCTACAGTTTTTATGGTTTTCACATTTGATGAACATGACCAAAGTATCCAGCGACCACAGTCAGGGATTCAGCTTTAAAAGCCTGGAAGGAATGTACCTGGAATTCTGTCCAAACCTCTCATCCATTTGCTCGTCATTTTCACAGTTTAAAGTCCTAAAAACTCTTCACATCAGATACTGTAAGAATCTGAAGACCCTTTCAGAAGAGACATCACCTGAACTGGTAAGTTTAACTGAACTTCATCTTTGGGGACTGCCAAACTTAGAGGGAATTAGTTTAAAGTCGCCATGTTTGAAAATATTGAGAGTCGGGGATTGCTGTTTGCTAGAGCATGTTCTGTCTTCAGTCAAACGCAGCTATGAACATCTGGAAATTCTTCAAATCAAGTCATGTGATAATTTGAAGACAATTTGTGAATCTCCTGATGAACCCATTTCGCCAAAGCTCCGTGAATTGGAGCTGTGGGCGCTACCGAAGCTACAAACAGTTGCAAGGTCAATACCAAGCCTGGAAACTCTCAGAGTTGGAGAGTGCCACTCCCTGGAAACTCTTGTGGATCGTCCTGGAAATCTAAAGAACCTGGAAATCAAATCTTGCAACAAATTGAGGACAATTTTCCAACATGATCTACCAGAGGAGTTTGATGTCAAAATGGAATTATTATGTTTACCAGAGCTGAAGAGCATTGGAGCCAACCGATCTCCTTTCAAAGCAACGGATAAGATTTGGGGTTGTCCTAAGCTGAAGCTGGATGATGCACAAGGAAATGATGGAAGAAATCCATGATGATCGATGTGAGGTCAGTAATAAGTTCTTGCAGTGGTTATGATTTTATGTTGTTAAAACTTCCATAGGGTTAATTGCTAATTTGCTTTTCTTTTTTGTGCCTGCAAGGAACCATTAGAGATATACATTGTTGCTGTAGGATGTATTGAATCAATCTTCTTTAGGATTTAAATGGAAACCGATTTCTGCCATTTTTAGACATCTTCATGTTGCTGTAAGAAGTGGTTTGTTTATGTTAGAACTTGTGTAGTTAATGAACAACTGATTGAAGATTAGCTTGTGTTTCTTTTGTGTGAGTTTGGGAAAAATTTGATATTAAAATAATATTTAATGAAATGTTTTGTGAAAAAAAAAATTTAAAAAAAAAAAAAACATAAAGTCTAAATAATGAAATTTGGGCTTTGAAAGAAGTGATGTGTTTGTTTTGTGAGATTGTTGAAAAAAAAAAATTATATGAAATATAAAAAATTGTATAGAGAATTTTAAAATAATGAATATGCAGTGTATTAATTTTTCTGAAAAAAATGTGTTGAGAAAGATAGTAAAAGAACAAAGCCTAATTCTTGAAGTGGTACTTTGTTGATGGTAAGTTCTGAAAATGCATTTTCTTGTTGGGCGGTTTAAAGTCATACGTAGGTAGTTCACATTTTAAGGTGCTTTATAAATATATTTTAAGTGCTGTCAATTTATTATGTTATTTGTATTATATTAATATAAATTATTATCTTTGTCTTGGTTGGCTTTAAGGATTTTATTTATTTTTCTAATTTGAATATTAACTATTATATAAAAAATATAATCCAAATTAAAAAAAAAATGACAAAAATATTTATATGTCTTATATATTATTATAACGACATTTATGCAAAAAATTATACAAATATAAAAATACGTTTAAGTACGATAATGCAAAAAATAATAGAATCTTTAGAGTCGAACAAAGGTATATTTGTATAATTTTTTGTGGTGTTTTGTGCAATAATGGTCTCTCTTGTAAGGATGACTAATATCATTTGTGGTGTTTTGTGCAATAATGGTCTCTCTCTTATAAGGATGACTAATATCAATTGATTCCAAATAAAATATTTATGCTATCATCTCGATGATTAGGCAGGCGAACTCGAAAACTGATGTTAAGGCTCTGTTTGGATGTGATTATTTTGATGGTTCAAGCCTCCAAACAGGAGATGGCAATTCACCAACAGCTTGTCATAAACCCACAGGTATGCATATCTATATATATAAATATACATATATTGCTTGCATTCCTGTCCTCCTTTAATTATTTGAGGTTTTTTTTTTTTTTAAAAAAAAAAAATGTACTATAATTTTCATAATTTTTCTTATAAAATAGTAAAGCAGATCAGATCTGAGTCTGGAAGGTGACATGAATCAGATGATGATCATCACTCAGAAGCTTCCTTTGCATCAACTTGCACCAACAAAAAAATATATATATATATATTAAATATTAAATAATAGTATTCCTACCGTCCACTAAAAATAGTCTATTTGGCTCTGACACAGAGTTTAAAAAAATAATATTTTATTAAAACAAATGATAGATAATTTAGGGTATTTTGAAATTTTAGTTAAAAATGAAAGTAAGTGAAAAGAGATAATATAATAAAATTAGTGGTATTTTTTATAAATAAGTGTTGAATGAAGGTAATAATTAAATATTATTTGTTGACTTTGCCAAAATTAGTAATGTGATAAATTTAATTTATGACTAAAAAAGAAATTGAGAATAAATATTATGGACGGAGGGAGTAATACTTAATACTCCGTCCGTCCCACTTCTCATGTCCACATTTTCATTTTCGTCTATCCCACTTATTTTGTCATTTTTTAAAAAAATAATTATACGCTTTAATCTTATTTTAAAAAATTTAATTTATAATTTTTAAAATTTTAATTATATTAATCAATTATCTTAATTTTAATCTATAATTATTTTTACTAGTATATTTTTAAATATTTAAAAATTATACTTCCTTTAAATTCTCTTGTCTAAGATGAAATAAACAAAATATCCTGAGCGAATTGAGTAATAAAAAAGTTCTTTGCTTGTGTACTATTAGGATAATCTTCTCATTGCTTTAAATAATTTTTAATTAAAATATATTATTCCCTCATCGCTCCTAGGAAATATGAACCTATTAATATAGATACTAAAATTTAGATAATATATAATTAAAAAATATATTAATAAAAATAATTATGATATAATAAAATTAATTATATAATAATATTATTTTATCAATATTAAATTAAAATAATATTTAAATGAAAAAAAAATAATAACTTTAATTAAAACGATACAAACTCAAGTTGTACGGTTGTAATGATTATTTTTTCATTGTAATTATTGCATAGGCTCTTAAATAAGGCCAATGCTAATGAATGAATTGGTCCCACTTTTGTACGAAAATCCCATTTTCACTTAACCCACTCTTCTTCTTCTTCTTATCCCTCTCCTATTTCGTCCCTTGTTAGGAATAGAACCCACCCAACCACCCATTATCATTTATCAACACTATCTACTCATTTGAATTTCTCGGTTAAAATTAATGATTTATTGTCCGATTATCTCGCGTGGACAACGAACGTGTGATCGTGGAATTATGAATTCAAAATTCGAAAAAATTAATAATACAATACTACAAGGATATTTATACAAAATATTATACTCCCTTTATTTTATAATTAGGTATTTATTTATTTTTTTGCACGTAATTTTAGAAATATTAGTATTATATTAGGGTACAGTAAAAATAACATAAAAATGACTAAAATAACTTTATTACTATGTTGTGATATAAAAATAATAATATTTGTGTAATATCTTGTAAATTGTAAAGGTATCTATAATATTAGATAGATAGTATAGTTATTAAACAAAATGAATACTTAAAATAAAAAAATAAATATTTATTATGGGACGAAAGAACGGAAGAAATATTTTTTAACATTATAATAGTATTATATATATTTTTTTTAATGTGAATAGTGGTGACGGTGGTATTATTTTTAAAATAAAAATTAATATATAATTATTTTTTTACATATATATTTAAATATAATAACTCAATAAAATATATATAATAAATAAAATATAATAGGGATAAATAAAATATATATTTATTTATTATTAATGTAACTTAACAGTTTTGAATATAAATTAAAATGTTTATTTGTTACGGGGATAGAGGATTTATTTATACAACAATCTATTTTTATTATAAAATATTATTTTATATCACTGACATAATTTTATATACTTTCATATTAGAAAAAGATTAACAAACAAACTCATAGAAATAATTTTTTTTTAAAATCTCCATGTAAAATATTAAAAAAAATTATTTAATTAATTTATATTTTATTAAATATATTTAAGATTGATGAATTTATTAAAAATAAAATAAGTGTGAACGAACCATTCATATAAAAAATACCAAAAAAATATAATTTATTTATAAATAAAAAATATTTATTCATAATTTTGAGTCTGTTTCTTTAGTCAGAGTTTTTCAAAATTTACTATTTAGATTCTGTTTTTTTCGAAAATAAAAATTTATATTTTTTTCTCACAAAATATTATATCAAATATTATTTTAATATCAGACTAAATTAAATCTTTTTCAAACTCAACCAAAAAAACACACCATTTATTACTTATATTTCATTTTATAATAATTAATTTGTCATCATAATAAAATCATAGTTGTACTTTTTAATGATTTTTCTATTATATCTCACGCCAGCTCTTAGCAGCAGCAGGAGGATGAGCAACTGCTCAGGGTTCTTCAATAATAGAGGGCCCAAATTTAAAATATTATCCATTATTATTATTAAATTTTAATTGGTAATTTATATATATATATTTTATAATTATCCAAATAAATTTTAAAATTTTAATTATATATTTTTTTTTCTCTTCTTTCTAATCGGTCTCATCTATTTTTTTTAATTCAATCGTCGTCTAGAATTTTCTACATCACACGCACTGTGTCTACCCACTCAGACCAAACTCGCTCACCTTCTCTCTTTAGCCCTCGTTCAGTCCTTCTCATTTTTCGAACTTTTGGACAGTTCATCTTTCATCTTTTTTTTCTCAAATCTACTAGTCAAGTTAAAATTTCTGGTCGAATCGATGTTAATCAGTGATATTATTTTAAAAATATATTTTAATCATGTGTTTTAAAGGCCTATAATTTATTTTTGTTCAAAGTCCCAAAAAAGTCCGAGACGCCGTGATCTCAATTTACTTTTACTCATTTAAATTTATATTTATATTAAAATTTGTTGGCAATTTTTGTTTGCAAATAAATTATTAACAGTTGCATTTTCTTAAAAATTCAAAGTTTTACTTATGACATGATCATGATCATTCTGTATCCCACATAAATATTATTATTTTTTAATTTTTGTTGTCATATATAATTGTTTTTGTTATTTACATTTGTATTTAAATATGAATTTTAATAAGTATAAGATATAATTATCATTTTTTATATTTTATAGTAAAAAAATATAAAAATTTTATTTAAAAAACAAATATATATTTTCTTACGACAATTTAAACAAAATAAAAAAAACTTAAATGGCATAAAAGTATTTTGATAGACAAAAGGAGTAACAAGATTAAATAAAGAAGTAAATAATTTAAAGTATTGTATATATAAATATAGTAATAATACAAGGCATGCATGAAGGATCCAGCTATGGCGTAAGTGGAATATACTCACGGAGTTCCCTGGACTTCTGATCCAGATCGATCCGCCTCATGCAGCGCGACTGGCGTGGATCTCAAGTCCCAGGGCTCTCACCGCTCTCGAACTTCACTGTCGGTGAATTTTACACTGTTGACTGACAATATACGCTAAGAAAGTCATTTTCATAATTTCATTCCCTTTTATTTATTCACAATTCAAAATCCAATTTCCAGTAACGTTTTTCAAATAATCTTATAATATACACTTAATTAATTAATTAATAATGATTATATATATATATATAATTTGCTCAATCAGTAGCATCTGCTTCTGTCCGCCATTAATCTCAACCGCACATTTCCTCAACGTGACTGTATCTATATATATAATAGATATAATGGTATGTATCTAACTCTGCTGTAGTGTGTACATTGGAAGTTACTCATTTGCAGGTTTTAGAGAGAGAGACGTGGAGAGCTTGGTCGGCCGCCGGGGAAGAATCGCCGGCGATCTCTGCTGCTTCAACTCCGATGCTGCTGCTTTCCGCGGAAGATCCGGTAAAATGCTGAATCCAGAACTTTTTTACCGTTTTTTTGAACTTTTTCTGATAACAAATCGCTTTCGCTGCTTTCAATGCACGTTTTCCCCAATGTTTCATGTTAGCTTTGTTTGCTGTAGATCTTGTCGTCTTTTGGATTCGCCGCTGATTTGTTAATCCCTATCTATCTGTTTCCTGACTTCTTCTAGATTATGGATCTTCTTAATTCTCTGTGTGTATAAAGAGCTCAGTGTAATTAAATTTTGATTGCTCTCTGCTAAGGATTTGAATTTTATGTGAAAATAGCGCCATTTCAGTGCGACAGTTTGTTATTGCTATGGCGTTTGTCACTGTTGATAACCCTCGCGCATTTTCCTGGCAATCTGGCTTTCATTTTTGGTGTATTTTTACTCTTATTATAACTTGTAATGGTGTTTTGGGTGAAGGAATTGAGGTTTTGCTAGTAACGTTTTACAGCTTTGTTGCTGTCTGCCATTGCTAAACTGACAAGCAAAGCTTCAGATTGTATTTTAAGGAAGCTCTCCTTTCTTGTGTTTGATGCGTTGACAATCATATTGTCTTGACTGTAGAGATCATCGGTTTCATAGTTTCTACTCTCTCTCTCTCTCTCTCTGTAAGTTGCTATTCCCTTTTTTTTTTTTTTTTCAGTTTTCTTTCAACAGGAACTCTGGTTTAATGTCAAGTTATAACCAAAACAAGATTGTTGTTAGAATTTTCCTTCTCATGACTGGAATTTTTCTCAAGAGGCTTTTTTTCTTCAAGAATTGCTTTTCAATTGAAAATATAAACAGCTGTGTAAGTTTTATGTATTTCAGTTTTCCTTAACAATCAAATTGCAGACACAGAGGTATATTCAAAAGGATCCAACTTTTTTGTAAGTGGAGCTTCCAACTGTTTTGGTCATCAGCTGAGCTCTCATGGATTGATTCTTTTCTGTTGTTCAGTGAAAAGAGAGGGTAATAGTGAGCATGAAAGCTGCTGAGAGGCGACGAGGTTCCGACAGCAAAGAAAGAAACCGGGCAGCAAGAACTGATCCTAGGGACCATAAGCTGCAAGTAAAGAATGGTGGCAGAAACTTGAAACCCAAAGAGATTGATGCTAAACCAACATCAACTGACAAACCGCGTACCAATGCATTGGCAAGTGATTTGAAAACTGGTGTAGATCCCTCGAAAATTCATGAAAATATGGCCAAAGATCATTCGGGAGATGCATACAGTCCAGATGACAATGAAAACCACAAGAATACATCAAGTGCCATGGTGATCACTGGTGAATCTGATCCAGAGGATAATAATTATTCCACCTCTTCTCAAGGGGATTCTCAAGCTTCTGATGAGGAGAAAACAGAAAACCAAGCCAAGGTTCCTAAAAAGGGAATTTCAAATTCCACCAGAAAGAATTCGACAGATAATTTGAAAAATATGAAAGTCCATCCAAAACCTTTATCTGATTCCTCAGAAGGGGCTGATAGCCAAACTATTGAAGGGATTAATACACCCGAAGATGCATCGAGTGATGGAATAGTCCATTCTGAGGAAATTAATGACCAAGACCAGGTTGCACTGGTTCGAAAGATTGAGGAAATGGAGGCCAGAATTGAAGACCTTGAGAGTGAACTAACAGAAGTGGCAGCTCTTGAAATTGCACTATATTCTGTTGTACCCGAGCACGGTTCCTCTGCACACAAGGTCCATACACCTGCAAGGCGTCTTTCAAGGATATATGTCTACGCTTGCAAACACACGCCTCGAGAGAAACGAGCAACTGTTGCTAGGAACATTGTTTCTGGACTAGTTTTAGTCTCCAAATCCTGCAGCAATGATGTTTCCAGGTTATTAATGGTTTCTTTTCTTCATTTCATTCTTTGTTGTGTAGTTCGAATTCGTAAATCTTATATATCTATGTCTTGTTAGGTTAACCTTTTGGTTGTCGAACACTGTTGTTCTGAGGGAAATCATATCTCAAGCATTCGAAACTTCCTGCCAATCCAATGAAGTTGAAACCAAAACTTCATCCCTGAAATGGAAGAATCATGACTGGCAAGAAACAAGAACCTTCGCTTCTGCCTTGGAGAAAGTCGAGTCGTGGATATTCTCACGGATTGTCGAATCCATATGGTGGCAGGTATATATTCAAATCTTACATCATCTTCATATCAATATTCTGCTAAAAGTTCTTAACACTCTACTCATTTGGTTCAGACTCTGACTCCGAACATGCAATTGCCTGTCAATTCTTCTACAAAAACGGGTACGAAAAAGTTATCGGGTCCATCCCTTTGCGATCAAGAACAAGGCAATCTTTCCATTAGCCTTTGGAAAAACGCCTTCCACGATTCGCTGAAAAGACTCTGCCCCGTTCGAGCTGGAGGCCATGAATGTGGCTGCTTACCAGTTCTTGCACGAAAGGTTTACAATACATATTCGATTACATGAAACTTAAGCTTCTTTTGTGATTTGTGTTTCTTTTTCTTTTTTTTTTAACACAATGTGATTTCTAGTTCTACGTATTTGTTCAAATATATTTTAGAAAATATATATATCATGGTAGTTATCTTATTTTATTTAAAGATTTGTAAGATTCTTGTCTTATTTAAATAATTTATACTTCATTATTTAATCTTGATTAGGTCATGGGACAATGCGTCGGCAGACTAGACGTAGCCATGTTCAATGCTATTCTCCGCGAGTCAGTCCACGAGATTCCTACTGATCCCGTGTCTGATCCCATTCTTGATTCCAAAGTTTTGCCGATTCCTGCAGGAGATTTGAGTTTCGGATCCGGTGCTCGACTTAAAAATGCTGTGAGCCTCGACTATTACTTGTCGATCGATATACTTTTGTTGTTTTCTTACCAAGGTTTCATTTCCTAACACTGTCTTAACTCTACCTCAGGTTGGCAATTGGGAAAGATGGCTGTCGGATTTTCTAGGCATGGATACCGACACTTTCGCCGAAGATGAAAATAACAACTACGATTCTAAGGAACCGAAAATCTTCCCTCTTCTTAATGCCTTGAGTGATCTTCTAATGCTCCCGAAGGACATGCTCGTTGACAATACAATAAGAATGGAGGTCTCTATCCATATACACACTTTCGAAACTTTGGACATTATTCATTAATCTCCGACTTTATTTGCAGGTTTGTCCATCGATTAGTCTTCCATTGCTTAAACGAATACTTTGCAACTTCTCTCCGGATGAATTCTTCCCCGAGCCCGTTCCCGGATCGGTTCTAGAAGCCCTAAATGTTGAGGTACACACAATTTATATTAATAAAATACAAATACAGTAAATCAATAAGCATACCTACAAGTAGAACTGTTAAACAAGACGAGCAAGTTTGACTATCGCTTGTTCGCGCTCGACTCAAACTTGTCGAGTTCACACAATTTATATTAATACAATACAAATACTGTATATGAATAAGCATAACTACAAGTAGAGCTGTTAAACGAGATGAGCAAGTTCAAGTATTGTTTGTTCCAGCTCGACTCGAACTTCTTAACGGTATAAGTTCGGTTTGACTCGTTAAAAATTCGAGCCAAAATAGTAGCTCGATCTTGGTTCGTTAGGCTCAAATTCAAGCTCCTCGGCTATATTTTTTAATATATAAATTAAATATATTTAATTTTATTCATATTTTTTAATAATAAAATATTCAAATTTTAATAATAAATATAAATTTTAATATAAAAATTATATCTGTCCCTAGTTTCTATTTTTATCGTTTTCTCGTAATTGTCTTTTTTTTTTTTTTTTTTGCTAATATGATTATACACTTTAATTACACGTTAAATTTTATATTTTATAATTTTTTTAATTTTAATTAAATTTTTTAGTTATTTTAATTTTAATTTATAATTAATTTTACTAATAGACCCAAATAATATGGGATGGAGGGAGTGTATTAAATATAAATAATATCTTGGCTCGAGCTCGGCTTGTTTTCTTAAAAAATAATTTTTCAGCTCGTCCGTTTATCTCTATAAACGAGCGTCGAGGTGTTAATGCGCGGAGTTGAGTTTGGCTTGTGAGCTACTCGATTCATTTAACAATTGTACCTACAAGTATGAGCTGACGACATCAGATTTTGTGTGTAATAAAATAATGTGTTGTCTAACATTGTACGTATTAACAGTGGATTAGTCTTTCGGGAGAGTCGTTGAGCGACAACAGCTTCCCACACACTGCTCCTCCCGTCGTGTACGCTTTGCCGTCCCCTTGGGAGATTGCAGAAAAAGTTGCGGAGGCAGGCGTGGGAGGAGTCGAGCATTCTCATTTCTCGAGAAGTGCTTCGACGGTGCAGAGGAAGGGATACACGAGCGATGAAGAGCTCGACGAACTGGAGTCGTGTCTTACATCTGTCGTCGACATAACACCACCGTCGTCGTTGTCGTCGAAAAATGGAGGTAATGGCAATGCCAGGTATGATCTCCTTCGCCAAGTCTGGAAAGCTTAGCTTCATGGTAGATTTTGAATTCATACACAGTATACATATATACATATTTATACACACACATACCTCATCGTAAACTATCATCAATTTCATATGTTGTGTAAATTTTGGGTTCATTGTAGTTTATGCCTCGATCATCATTATATGTTTCTGAAAAATAGAATTACAAAATATTATATTAAATAAAAAAAACTATTTAAATTCTCTTCGATCCAAATTGAAAGAACACATTCATACAATTAAAAATGTTTGAAAACACAATTAAGATATTATAAGGCCATCTCCAACCATCTAGTTTTAATTCCAAATATACAGTTGTTACAATAATTTTACTTCAACCACAACTCTATTTTTTACTTTTATTCTTTCAATATTCAATTTTTCATATTATTTTAAAAAAAAAAATTTATTTTTATAATTTAAAATAAAATTTTAAAAAATAAAAATTAAATTTATAATTTTAAAAATTTAAAGAAAAACAAAAATTAAAAAAACAAAACAACACCAAAAAATTGGCGTTGGACTGTAACAACGTCAACCTAACGGCGCTGGGTTAGAGATGTACTAAATGACATCCAAATAGAGTAGAGTAGACTCTGTTGTTCGTATTTGGGCTTTTTAAGGGACCGTGTTCATATTCAATTTCAATGAGATGCAACCATCCACTTCAAAAAGACATGCTAAAAAACAATATATATATATACATATATATATTGTTTTGATTTAAAATTATTTTTTTATTTAATGTAATATTTTATGAGAAAAAATTATTAATATATTTTTATCGTATGCAAACTCAATAATATTTATTTTAATTTGTATTTTTTTAAAAAAAAAAACAAACTAATCTTATACATATGATCTTTACTTCAGGCACTCGGTTGTTTTTATTTCTCTCTTTATTCGCTTTTGATCTTTAACCCCAAAATAAATAAATAAAGCGTTACACCGCTCATCATGGCGCTCCAAATTATGCTATGCTAATAAATTATACAATAGATGTTGTAGAGATATGCTTATCTGTTTTATTTTACATGTGTATTGTGTTATTATAGAAATCAATTATAATATATGTTACGTGGATTATTGTCATATGATTCATTTATTGTATTTATATTATATCAATATATATATATATCATGTTACAATTAAGTTTATACTTCATGCATGTGTTCTTGGTATATGTATTGTGCATCATACACAATCATAATGTATAACAACAATATTACATATATTTGATCACCAATTGATCCAACTCATATTTAGATTATATTCAAATATGTTTTTTTTTAGCTTTGAAATTTTATTATAATAGTAAAAAAATTAATATTTGATGTGATATCTTATAAAAAATAATAAGTATTTGTTGAAATATTTTTTTAAAAAAAATTACTGTCAATAAATAACATCAAATAGACATACGCATATATATATATATATATACCCATTCCATACATGATATAAAAATTGAATAATTTCTTATATATTTCAATATTTATTTGGATATATTACTTTTATGATGTGTGTTTTGTTGATTATATATTCTCCTTCTTTGTATTTTTATGAATATTTTTTTCATATTTCAAAATTTTTTAAAATTGTGTATTTTTAATACTTAAATTATGTACAAAAGTATTACTATATTAAATTACTATTGTTCGATCAAGAAAAATTCAAATGAAAAACACATCCTAACATATAATTTGTAATTGGTAACCTTTTTCAAAGGTGATTTGATTGATTATATATCATGATGATGCATGAGTCAAAAAAAAAATTTGTTTTTGCCTTTTACCTCTTTATAGAATCTTTTCTCCAAAGGGACCTATAACATAACTAAAGGTGTTTTTTATTTTTATTTTAAGAGTATATTTAAAAAAAAAAAATCATAAATCGCAATACATGCAAGAAATGTTGACATTATCATCTTGTACTTGTGATTTTACAGTTATAAGTCCAATTTTCACATTACTAAGCTAATTTGGATTTTATTTGTTTTTTTAATATGCAACTCTTGCATTTTTTTATAAAAAGAAAATATATTATTATATAAAATTATTATATTCAAACTATTAGTCAATTAATAATTCTATATTATATCAAATTTGTTTTATATTTAATTTTTTGTTATTTTCAAACCAACCTTAAAACGCTTCTTAAAAATATACTCCCTCCGTCATGCAAATGTGTATTCATTTCACCGGGCACGAGTTTTAATAAAAGTGAATAATAATAGTTACTTTTTTATTTATAGTAAAAAAAAATACAAAAATGTAATAATTTTTTACTTAAAAAGGAAATGAGAATATTTTTCAATGACAACAAATGACGGATGAAGTATATAAATGCATTCTTGAAATTTTCTACTATTACCTTTGATTATATAAACATGAGGAAGAAGAAATTAGAGTTTGTTTGTTCAATTTATTTTTACCGACTTAATTTTTAATATATAACATATATTCTATTTTTTTACAAAAAAAATTAATATTCAATTCAAAATATTATTTTTTATATTAACGATGTAATTCATCGTACTTCACATAAAAAAATAATAATAATAATAAATACCTCAAACTAAAATATCAAATAAAAAAATAGTTATTGTGATTTTGTTTGCATCATATGTAAAATATATATATAATTTTTTGGTCCCTAGACCGTATGTCTCTATTTGTTTGTAGATTTTGCATCAAATTTGTATTATTCATAATTTCTTTTAAAAATATATATATATCAAATCAAATATATATTTTATTTTTTAAATTATTAAAAATTAATTTTACATTTTAAACATGTATTTATACTTATTTATATTATATTTAAAAATTTAAAATTCAAAATTTTATTATTAAACTCCAAACTCAACTTCCAAACCTACAAACAAACACAGGCATAAATTCGATCATTTTCCAAGACTTTTCTTTCATTAATTATTTGCTATATTATCTATAATAAAATAATCTTCACACGTGCACACACACGTGTGTACAGGGTAGTAGTGTTGGGATTTAAAAAAATGAATAAAATAAATTAAATAGTTAATAACTAATAAGCTCTATTTACATCATTTTTAAAATTTTATTTTTACACTATTTATTTAAAAAAATTAAATATCACATAAAATACTTGTTTTACTTACACAATTTTTCTATTGTTGAATGAGTTTGGAGAAAATTTATTTGAATTTTGATATTAAAATAATATTTGATGAGATATTTTAAAAGGAATAAATATATTTTTATTGAAAAATGTGGAATTCAAATACTCTTTCCGTCCCATAACTAGATATTCATTTATTTTTTGCACGTAATTTTAAAAATATTAGTATTATATTGAGATAAAGTAGAAATAACTAAATAACCTTATTAGTATGTGTGATATAAAAGTAATGACATTTGTGTAATATATTGTAAATTGTAAGAGTATTTGTAATGTTAAGTAGATTATACACTACAGTTATTAAAAAAGAAAATAGATATTTTGTTATGGAACGGACTAAAATGGAAAAATGAATATTTTGTTATGGGACGGAGGAAATAGTAAATTTAAAAAAAAAAAAAGTTGGCAAAAGAATTTACTTTTACAAAACATCACATCACATACTCAATTTTTACTATTTTACAAAAAAATTCAAATTAATCCAAAATTTTCTATCTAACCGGAGCAAAATATTGTATCATAAATTATTTTTATTTTTATTTTTATTTTTTACTTATTACTATTATATTTCCAATGATCCATAATTCCTTTCCTTTCTCAAGCCATCATTCCCACCAATATATTCTCCAATTAATGCTATATATTGTCCTTTAATTCCATCTCATTAAATTAAATTAAATTAAATGTTGGAAATTTTGTTGTCTACATATATGTATAAAGTAACATAAATATTAATTAATATGTAGCTAGCTATACCACAAACGTGCAAAATTAGTCAAGGCACAAAAAAAATTGCACCTAGTAAATTAAAATAATCCACACGAATGGTCACATTAATTTTTATTAATTATGGCTAGGAAAATAATATTTTATTAATAATAATGACGGTCAATTGAATTTTATAATAATGTCACTAACAATACAATGAGATATTTTTTAACATTTTATTTGAGGTTAATATATATATATATATATTCGATATGATCATATGAGATTTTAGTGTAAAGTTTACAAGACAATGCCATGTGGGACTTGGTTTAAAATATAATTCCTTCTAGCACAATTTAGTGTGTGGTTTTGATTTGAAGTTGAGTTTGATTTCAATAGTATTTTAATTTATTTTTTTATGAAAAAATATATATATTTTTATTGAAAATTATATAGAGTAAATAGCAATTTTTTATGTTTGAAATAAAAAAATGAACAAATCATCATATTTCGGAATTTAATCTACAATTGCTGAAAGCTAAAATCTCACTTTTGATTGAAGATTCAAATAAATTATTCTATGATTTTTAAAAGAAAAGAAAAAAACATGGACCCAATTTATTTTTTATATCATTTTCATTATTTTTCATAAAAATATATATATATATATTGTTTTATTTTTATTTTTTATTTTTTTTTTAAAAAAAAAAAACAGAGTAGGATTTGTTTGGTCTTATTAGAATTTGAATTTTTTTTGTTTGCGCGTTTTTTGAATTAAACAATATTATAATTTATGAAAATAAATAATATATTAATAATATTCATTTTAATTTGAAATTGAAACAAATATATTCCATCGATACATGCATACACAACTCCCTTAGATATATATAACACTATATTTGTTCGTTTGAGAATTATTTTTACTTTTTGTACCATTTACTTTTAACAAATTTTTATAAAAATATATATTATTTTCTCTAGGGAAAAAATGATATATATGTGATTATCATAAATTATTTCCTCTTAAATTAGAAATCAAGCATATCTTAACATAAGATTCACAAAAATTCAACAAACACAAACTTAAGAAACAAATTTGAAACCTTACATAAATATTAAATATATGAACTAATAAATTATAAAGTGTGTTTCTTTTGATTAAATTTAAAAAAAAATTGATTTAAATTTGGTATTAAAATAATATTTGATGAAATATTTTTTTTTGTATTTTAGAATCTAAATAATAAAATTTGAAATTTTTTTATTAAAGAAACATACCATAATAATTAGTAAACACACCTCAAACATTAAATTAAGTTTTAATGATCTTGATTTAATAAATCCACATATAATCCATAAATATTATATATATAAATATATATATAGTCAAAGGAAAATGAATGAATGGCTATCCATCAATTCTTAATTAGGGTTTCTTGAATTTGGCAGACCACTTTGCATTAACTCTCCTCATTTCATGGGGCTATGTTTCTCTGTCTACATATATATACATACATATATTTATATATATATGTGTCTCATTGTCCTCCATTGTCTCTATAAAGATTTTGCTGTATTTCTCTAATACCTAGAAATTGGATATTTGATCAAATGTTGTCCCACTTATTTCCAAAAAAACTAAATCATATCAAAGTGAAGACATAATTCACATAACTTGGAGACCATGCAACTTGACCCCTTAACCCCCCCCCCCCCCCCCCACCCCACCCCACCTCCCAAACACACATTTATACATACACACACATATATTTATATGTCCAAGAAATTATGCTAAAAGCCCTAAAAGCACAAAAAGGAAGAACACTAACCCTTATCCCCAATAATTGATCATCACCATCAACATGAAGCTTTTCAAAACCCTTAATTTAAATTCCAAAAATACCTATCGAAATTCCGACGCCGGCTCGTCGTCGTGGCGATTAAGGGCATGATCATAACAAGCAGCAGATCCATGGCCATTCCCAAATGCATTAATGTGGTCTTTGAGAGATCTTTTGTGCTTAAAATCAGATCCACAAAGACAATACCAAAGCTTGCCACAATTCTTTTCATGAGTCCTCCAATCTCCCCTCACTGCAAAGGCTTTCCCACACTTTCTGCACATGAATGGCTTTATTCCATGCTTCCTTTTGTAGTGTGTCTGTAGAGTTCTGAAGTCCTTCAATGGCTTAGCTCTCGGATGATCGATGTTGTTTCGACATCCCGGGGCACAGCAGTAGCAGGGAAGCTTGAGCATGGCTGTTGGCTGTGTGCCCCTTAGGGATTCTGGCCCTCTTCTGTACTGTGAGCCATGTCCCCACATATGCATCTGATCCATATATATGTATATATATATCATCAACAAATTCTTCAACAAGAATGAGATGATGTAAAGAAAAGATAGGAAATGAAGCCAAGGGAAGTAACAAAATGCCACATTTTATAAAGTTTCAGTTTATTACAATGTTGAATATCTCCATTTTTGCAGATATATTACAGTAGATATGATCTGTTCAATGAAAAAATCAAATTAGAAAAAATAAATAAAATAAGTGTAGTTTTCATATGGAGGAACAATTTCCAAAGTGAAGCTATTGATCAGTAGACTAAAGTCTTTTTTTTTTTTTTTAAAGGGTGGTATGATATGAAGGTTTAGGTATGGGCACAGCAAGTCTTTTAATACATACACATCATATATATATATATGTATATCTAAATATTGAGAGGCTGATTAAGTTAAACTTTATAATCTGAAAGTGAATACCACCCTGGAAACTGTTGACGTTTCAGTTTGTACACAATTACCAATTGGAAGAGCTCAGACTCCAAAGAGAACTATCCATAAAAGCATTATGAACATTGTCTGTGTTGTTCAATCACACAATAAATGAATTGAAATGACTATAAATACATACATAAACATATATATATCTGTGTGTATGTGTTCAATTCATCATCTACACTGATCTGATCAGTCAACAAGAAAAGTCAAAGAATGGGAAACTGCAACAACCTTAATTCAACCCATGCATAAAAATGAACTCAAATTTCCCATAAAATTGTGAATCTTAAGGATCAAAGTTTCAAGAAATTCTTGCAAATAGAAAGAAGGGTTGTGAGATTGAAATATATATATATATATATACCTGCATGTTGTTGTATCTATTGAAGGTTTTGCAGCAAACAGGACAAGAGAACTGTGTAGGGCCAATGAGAATCTGTGAAGGAGTTGGAATCCAATACTGTCCTTTATTAAGCCTGCTGAGAGGGAACTCAGACAACAATAGATCAGTCTCTTCATCTAATTTCTCAGCAGAAGAAGAAGAGCAAGAAGAAGATGATAGCACTGAAGCAAGATCAGCAGCACTAGGGTTTGGCAACCCTATACACAGTGCAACTGTGACACCATTATCATTATCATCATCTTCATCTTCATCATCATTATCATCATCACCTTCATCATCATCATCAATGTCTTCCTGATCAGCAGCAGAACCTGCAGTGAGTTTCTTGTTAAAAGCCACAACTGGAAAAGAAAATTCTTGATGAAGATGGTGGTCCTGTCTGCCATTTTTGGTTGGGGTCAGTGTGAGAAGTGGGAGGGCTTCTTTCAATGGTGGTGAAGAGGGTTGAGATTGAGTATGGCAGTTTTGAAAGTAGGGAGGATGATTATTGGGGATGGAGAATTGGGGGTTAGGGTTTGAAAAATTGAGGAATTTAGCATAGGGATTTGAGTGGGGATTATCAGTCATAGTGAAAAAACAGAAAGGTGGGAGATGATAGATAATATATCAGGAAAGTAGTGAGTGGAGAAAGAGGGTCATGGATTTATAGAGAGTAGAGAGAGAAAGAGTGGGAGACAAGATGTTATCATGCTGTAATATAATTAACAACCAGAAAACACAAAAGGTCTCTATACAAGAATATATAGAGAGAGAGAGGGAGATAATACACACATAACACACATGTTCACTACATGTATAATAAAATATAATTTTCAAGTTAAGATTATATAACAAAAATATATATTATTATTTCAAGGCCACATAATCAAAGTGATGCTATTTAGCAACTTATTTAATACATACTGTAAATAAATTAACTCTCTGTTAATGCAGCACTATTTCCCAAAGCCATATATGCATACAATGTAAATAAATTGCATTCATGATCTTCCAACTTCCTTTGAAAAATTAATTAACAAACACAATAAATCAACAAATTTCAGAATGCCCATTACTGCATATCATAGAACTACAACAATATCAAATAATATTATCAGTGTTCATAATTAAAACAGATTAAACAGAGATTAAGAATATCTGGTAATTCTGCAAAGTCAAGACATAAAAAAAAAAAAAAAAAAAAAGGTCTAATTCCACTAAAGGAAAGATCAGAACTTTTGAGCTTGCAATGAATCTCTTTGGAAAATGGAAAACACTATCATAACATAGCCTAAATCCAACCTAACCTAACCTTACATCACCAAACCTAATTAGGGATCAGAAGAACAATGAAACTAAAGCACTAATGATCAAAAACAGGCCATGTGATATAATATACAAAATAAGGTATACAGTAAGGATTCATTAAGGCTAACAAATGTGCCATGCTTGCAACTATTTAGGAACATTCACACCATATGGTGTGACATAAATAACACACAATGAAACAAACATTCAAAGCTTCAACCTAACTTATCCATTTCATAATGTGGCAATAATCAGATTCTGTAATCAATCATCAAAAGGATATTCCCACAAAAATATTTCTAAAGAAGGGGCTTACTATTACATACCAAACCACAGTAGTCAGGGAGTGAAATTCCACTAATACTACACTTAGGAATCTCAAGTGATGCATAAATCATGTTGAGAGGTTAGGAGTTTCAAGACATTCTTTACAACCTACAAACATTCTAGAGAAAGTAACAGATCACAAACTCATATTGAATGCAAATATTGTTTCGATGTAGTTAACTGAATGATTGGTGCGACTGCTTGTTGCTCTTGTAATGATGGATCGACTCACAAAATCCATACCAAACAAACTTTCCACTTCACCTGAATTTCAATTCCATGTGGCTTTGAATTCTTGTACACAACATATTAATGCATATAAAATAAAGTTGGAGAAAAGGAATAGAGTTCATAACAGAGATGAGTTACAAAACCATAGACTAAGATAGAAAAGAGTAAAATTCATCCAGAAAAGATTCAACCATCCAACAGAACCACTAGCATCCAGCCTCTACGGGATTTTGTTGTCTACATTCAGCCTGTAAAAAACCAACAAAGTGGCAACAAGGTGAGATTACAAACACAAACATGTAAATACAAGGATATATACGTGTAAGTAATGAAAAAAATGTGCCTAAGGCATGGCTTAAGAATTAAGAATCTTCCAAATGCACACATTCAATGAGTGACCAATGTTGCGACACTATAGTTTCAATGCATAGGCAAATAACTATAAAGTCATACAGAAACAACTTCCATTGATGCACTGTAAAAAATTAAGCAATGAGCACACAATATCCAATTCTGGATTTTCTTTGTGATCGAAAGTATGTATTGTTCTTTAAAACCCATGTTTATGGAACACCCTTTACTTAGGCTTACAATGGATTCTTGTATTTGTAGGTAGCAAACCATCCAAAAATAAAAAATCCCAATAGATTCGTGACGCTAAAGTTTCAACGCATAGCAAATCACTATAAAGCCATAAAGAAAGAAATTCCATTGCCACAATGTAGCAAATTAACCAATGCGCTCACAATATCCAATTCGGGATTTTCTTTATGATCAAAATTATGAATTGTTCTTTAAAAACTCACATAGAACACCCTTCACTCAGAATTACAATGGCTTCTTGTATTTATAGGTATCGAATCATCCAAAATTCATAAATTCCAATATCTTAATTTCTATAAAAAAAAATACACGTATTTCAACCCACAAACAGATACCTAAATTGCTCTGCCAGTTAAGAGCCCCAAACTCGTACCTGCTTACATACTAACTTTTGAAAGTTGTGGTCATCAACTCTAATTTTTTCAAAAAAGTTGACAAAATATCCCATCAAATTCCCAATTGTTACTATTTCCAAAATTTTCCAACACTAAAAAATATCAAAGAATTGGAGAAAGTTCAGCAAATTCAAATAATTTGAATAATTGCAAATAAATTTCATCGAGACAATTCATCAAACATCACAAAACATTCAGCACCCAAGCAAAAATTGCAAAACATGAAACTAAATTCAAATTATTTCCCCTCATTACCTATTATCACTCAGGCATCAGTCAGTCACTTCCCAGTATTCATCATCAGAGTGATATTGTCGCCCTTTAGCAAAATCCTCCCGAGTTGCTTCCTGCTGTTCTTCTTGATGCTGACCTCCTCCGCATCATCAAGAACCAGATTCATGTACTCGTCAAAGCCAATGATTCGGCCTTCAATCCTCAGATCCTTCTGCTCGAAAAGCCATATCTGAATTCGCGCTTTACTCTGAAGAAACCTGAAGATCAGGTTAATGGGCTGGGTCATAATCCGCTGTACTTTGGTGCTCGCCATGGCTCTTCCTCCTAGAATGCTCGCTCGCTGCCGCAGAGAATTCTTGCTCGATTGATTCCCCTGTTCCCGCTTGGCGCAGCTCTTCTACAAAAACCCTAGCAGAAATCCTACCCCCATTTTAAAAACAAAAAATAAAAGTAAAATCGTGTTTCCATAATCTGAAATCGTCGTTTCTCTTACACGATTTTATCACAGATAATGTAAAATACTAACCCTAGTTTTAAGAATTATGAGAAATAATAATAATAATAATAATAATAAAACTGAAAAAAAAAAAATAATAATAATAATAATAATAATAATAATAAATAGCGCATGTAACCTGCCTAGAGTTGCCCGTTCAGTTTCGGCAATTACGGTTCAAACCGAAATCGGGGAGAAATGGAACAGAAAATTATTTCTGCTCGAAATGGTTGTTCCAAGGATTTCGATTTAAATTAAAAAAAAAAAAAAAAGGAAGAGGATCGAATAAAAGAAAACCTGGTGCGGTACGGCAATGCCGATGTTGCAGATCTGCATGTGTAACTGATTAGAGTAAATGGCGTGTATTTTATAATAATAATATTATTTTTATATTTAATTAATTATATATTATTAAATTTTTATGGAAATAAAAATAATATTAATATACTAATATATATAAATAATTATTAATGATATGGAAATCAGTAGTATTGAAGTATAATATTATTTTTTATTTATATATTAAATTTTGTAATTTTTATTATATAGTTATATTTAATTTAAATTATTTTATTATATCATTTTTATAATATATTTTATTTATGTTTAACTTAAAATTTAATTTAATTATTTATTATTTTTATATTTTAATTATTTATTATTTTTATATTTTAATTATTTTTATTGTAATAATCTAATTAATTTACATAATAAATATATCTAAATAAAATTAATATCAAACTTAATTATTTTATTTTTAAAAAAAAATTAAATTTAGAAAAAAAAATTAAAATAAATATATATATATAAATTGGTAGTTCAAACAGTAACCGATGGTTTATTAACCGTAATCGAAATCATCGTTCGAAAAATTTAATTTCGATTTGATATTTTAACATAGAACCATAATGTTAAAAAATTTAAAACTGTCTATACAAAAGGAATAAAATATTTGAATTGAAGTAATTAACTAAATTCAATATATATTAAAAGAATAAACTCGTAACCTTAAAATATTAAAGAAAAAATATAACATAAAAAAGCTATGGTATTCACTTTGTTAATTTGAAGTATTTATATTTTTTATGTTAAATATAAAAAATTATATCAATAATATATATAATATTTCATTTGTATAAATTTAAATAAATCATTTAGAGTTTTATAATGAATTAAAAAGTAATATTTTATTAATTAATAAAACGTGTAAAATAATTTTATACTTTCATATTTTTATAATTTATATATTTATTTTACACTTTTATATTTTTATAATTTATAAATAAAATAATTATATTTGTAAAATTTTAAAATAATTATTTAGAGTTTTATAATAAATAAATAATTAATATTTTATTATTTTAATATTTATAAAATTCATGTCTAATTTAATTATATCTGTAATAATATATTTATAATTTATATAAAAATTAAATTAATATTTAGTAATAACCCCTATTTTTTTTAGTAAGCTTTTGGTTTGACAAACTTACAATAAAAGTTAGATACTTTTAAACAAAATAAACAAAAATAGCTAGTGTGTTTGTTGGAATGAAAATTCTCAGAGAGAGAATTGTGTATAAAATATAAATATAATGAACATTAATAGTGTATTAATTTTTCTGAAAAAATGTATGAGAAAAAATTATTGAAAGAGCAAAGTCAGTAAAAAAATTATTTTATATTTAATTGTTAACATTTTATGAGTAAATAAATTATATATTATATTAAAACTTAGATATATATTATATACTACATTTTTAATATTCGTAGGAAATATGCCATATACTGGGTAAATGTTCGCCTAATAAATAAAAATTCCATACATATTTCGATTAATATTATAAGAAATACAATATTTACTAAATATATTTTACTCCTACACAATATATTATTTTTTGTATTTCAGACAACACATTTTCCCATATTAACATAAAAAAACCCCAAACTCATAAGAAAACAAACACTCAAGTTCATTCATTCTAAGATATATATATATATATATTATATTCTTTAATTGTAATAAATCAATCACCAGCAGATGGAAAACTTTGTCAAATGAGATACAAAAATCTTCATTAAATACTGAAAATAAGATATGATAATAATTCCACACCAGAAACAGATCCATCTTCTACACCTAGTAAATAAATAAATATCGACCTCGAATAGAACAGACTTACATCACCTCCGCACAGGCGGAGCAGCGCCTCTACCGGGTGCAGCTCCGCGCCCAGCAGCCTGAGCCTATTACCAAAAAAATTCACGAATCAGGACACCCCGCCAAATGTGTAATAACATATTTCGAATAGAAGCACAAAAACCGGGGGGTACAACTTACTCTAGCTCGCATGGCAGCAGCGCGCCCACGCCCAACCCCGAGTGCTGAGCCTTTGCCCTTCATAGTCGGATGTAAAGTAAATCAGATATATATATATGTATATGTGTGTATATATAGATATATATACCTTGATCCTAGCTTCCAAGCGCTTAAACATTGGAGCGTTCTTAAGCATGTCGGGAATTACCATGAACCTGGAAATTTTTTAATTTTGAGCGTATAAAACAGTCGGAATAAATCAATGTAAGAAGAAACAAAATCAACAAAAAAAATGGGCATACCTCACTTTGCTGCCCCTGATGAAAACATGCTCGAGTTGCGAGACTTTCCCATCCTAAAATGCAGTTTTCACCATATAACAGCCGATCAAATACACAAGAAGTGGTAACTTTAGTAATATTCATCGACAGTAATTTTTTAAGAAAACATCACATCGAATATCTTTTTCCTCTCACAAAAAATCACCGTTTCCAAAATTTCTAAAACCCCAAAACTTCTATCTAATCGGAGCCTGCGCACAAATGATAGAAATAAGCATTCGCCAAACAGTAAGATTTGTCTTGAATTTTTGTAACCGAGTAGGTTATGACAGAGACACATCTCAACATTACAGAAATTAGTGTAAGTGTTAATTACCTTCATCATTGAAGTATTGCCTTTTATCATCACTACTATAATTACAAAAAGAATCAAGTAGACTGCGTCATTTAATTGAAATAATTAGTCTTATTCTTACGATTTCTGAAATTATGGTGAAAATCATTTACATATACTTAAACATTTGATATCGAACATTCCCAACTAGATTTTTGCATCCAAGACACACTATAGAAACAGTGGCAGAATTCAAGCCTAAATTTACATTTTGGATACATTCAATGGCAACAATAGCAAATAATCAAGTGGTAACTAAAAGAACATTCTAAACAGTTCACTCCTGTTCTTCTGATTCATGATATTATGGTGGAAATCATTTACATATGCATATACATTTGATATCGAACATTCCCAACTGGATTTTTTTCATTCATGACGCGTAATAGAAACAGTGAAAATAACTCAAGCACATTTCCACATTCGGGACAGTTGACAGTAACTTTAGCAGCAATTTTCAAGCCTAAATTTCACAATTTGGATACATCAAATAGTAACAACAGCAAACATTCAAGTGGGAACTAAAATAGTTCTATTCTAAACAATTCATTCTTGTTCATCTGATTCATGATATTATGGTGGAGATCATTTACATATACATACACATTTGATACGAACATTCCCAACTGGATTTTTGCATTCATAACACATTATAGAAATAGTAGCATTAATGCAAGCATAACTCAGCACTCGAGACAGCATTCATAGTAACATTAGCAGCAACTTTTTAGCCTAAATTCACATTTTGGATAAATTCAATGGTAACAAATTAACAATAGCAAATATTCAAGCGATAACTATATTCTCAGACCAGCAAGCAGAAAATGAAGTATCAATTTCACGCTCCAACTTTATTGCCTAGGGTTTGAGAACTAACAGCAATCTCCACGGAAAAAAACGATTAATGAAGAAAAAATGCAGAAATGTCCCAATTGAAACTAAAAATCTTCCCCCAGCGGATTGAGCTATAAATCCAGGTTAAAAGCAAATCAAAGCCAAAAAGTTACTATTGAACAGCAATCAAAACATTCGCTACAGATAGAAAAATATGATATAAATAGGATATTAAAATGAAAACAACCTTGGCAGTGTAGGTGATGCTTTCGAGCTGGCAATTCCAGTTATCCTCACACTCAACCATGCTTCCACGATAAAGCTCACCGCTCTTCAACTCCACCGTGACAATATGCCCCGACGCTTCGTGGAGAAGCTTCACCGGAATTCCTAAGCTCCGACTCATTATGGTATGCACTTCCGAATTCCGATATCCAAAGCTCCGCAGATGCTCTAGGGTTTCATCTGTCTTCCGCCCGCCTTAATATAGCAAATTACAAATCAACTCCCAAAGAAAAGTAGGGACTAATTTGCAATTTTATAATTTAAGGGGAAAATCTTTAAAGATACAAAATTTTAATTTTAATTCGACCTAGCGTGTGTTTCTTTACCGTTCAAACATAAATTTTGAATTCTGTATTTAAAAATAAAATAAAATAAACATCTTTATTTCATAAAATATCAATGATACATTATTATTATTATTATTATTATTATTATTATTATTATTATTTATCAATCTTCAAAATAATTATTATGTAAAGTAATTTTTTATAATATAACAATTAAAAATTATATGTACGTATAACCCCGGCTCAACGAATGTAGTCTGATAAACTCACACCAAAGGCAATGGACTACATCCAATATATGTTTCATACATGTAAGTTTTGATCATGATTTCATTCTTGTAATTTTACTTTTTTATTATTGTGCTTTAATAAAAGCACAATTTTTAAATAAAATAGTCACAAGTCAATTCTCGGACCATATTATGATTTCACGTAACATTCATTTTCTTTTGCTATTGACACTATAGTCTTCCCCACCAAAAAAAGGTAACAGTGCACTGTTTATTTATATTTTTTTATCCATATTTTATTATTTATAAGAAATATCCATAAAGATATAAAAGTAAAATATTTATATTTTACATACATTAAAAATTAATTTTATATTAAAATTAAATAAATATTTATTTATATCAAATTAAACAATTATCACATTTTTTTCCCATTTCCTTGCAACCCCTAAACAAATAATAATAATAATAATAATAATAATAAAATATTATTATCTAAACTCCGAAATGTTATTTTATACAAAATTTCTAATATATTTCCAAAAATATTAATTACCTACAATTTTCTATCTCAGGTAATAAAAAATAAAAAATAAATAAAAAAATCTTTCAAATCAAAACAATTACCAAGACACCAACGGTTAAAATACATGGTCCAATTCCTATCAATAAATAAAAGATGGGAATAGTCCAAATTGACAATTTGATACATTTTCTTTTTTTAACTTTGTCCGGTAATAACAATAATACTAATAATAAAACATACATGGCCGGCGGCGAGTTTGCACGAGGAACAAGAGTTCACTTACTGTTTCTTACCCTTAGCCTTATCCTGCCGGTTACTCTCCGACAGCTCCACCTCATTCCCTAATTTCGTTGGCACGATCTTGGCGGGGATCGATTTCTCCGACTGTGAGGCCTGAATCAACATTTGCATTAGTGCCATGACGACTCCCAGAGCACCAGTCGAAATTGCGATGCCTTTCCACGAAGAAAACACCGAGAAATAATGCACGACCTTCAATAATCCCAATACGATCAGAATTGTCCACAAGCACATGACCTGTCGGCAATGAATGCATAAGGAGGAGGCGAAGAATAATCGAAGCCACAGATGAGCAAAATGGCATATACTTCTTTCGTTTCGAATTAGTTCCACATTTCAAAAGAATAATATAGTACGATATGTGATTCCCAAAAACATTACCCAAAATATATACTACATTCCTTTTCATAAGAAGAGTATCATGGAAGGTCAATTTTTTAATATTAATTATTATATCAATACATAGTCACGAGAAAAAGACAAAAATATCTCTAGACATTTGTAGAATAAATTATACAAATAGAAAGATAATTTTAAGGCAAAAACAAATGGTGTTGGTTTTATGGGACGGAGATAGTAGTACTTCTACACGTTTTAACGTAAATATGTAACAATTGGCACTTTTTTGTCTTTTACAAAAAGAAAAAAAATACAAAAAGCATAAAAGTATATATAATTTGAACACAAATTTAAATGACATATGGACTAGTTTATACAATATATACACGTCACTGTAAAATCAACAAAAACACATAAGCATCATTCTTTGTAATACCTTTGGGTTTGTTTACTTGTAAAATTTTGGTTTTGAATAGTAAAATTTTAAATTGAAATAGTTTGTTTGATGTGATATAAATATGTATTGATGTGATGTTTTTAATATAAAATTAAATTAAAGTAAATATTACAATTCAAAATTTTTACTGGTAAAATTCCAATTCTAAATCCAAACCCACAGACAAACGCACCATCTACTCTAAAAACATTTGATTTTTTTAGTGCCCAAAGAGCTTTTGTAAATAGTGTAACAAAAACAAATAAGAATATGTTCGAAATAATATTGAAACAAATCTTCCCTCGGATACCGAAGTCATAAAGATGTGCAATATGTTTTATAAGATATGGTCGAGTGAAGAATATACCACAAGAGATTTCACCGGACGATTGATGTGTTGCAGTTGATCACCGAAGGAATCCTCAGCATTATGTTTGTCCAACAACTTGTCCTGGTCGGACAGTAGGAATAATGGTCAATGTACATACTTTTAGCGACAAACGAATTGTTTGAAAAAGTAATGAGATCTCGAAGTTACCTTGGCAACAAATACATCCCGACACCACTGAGCAACTGCCTCGTCTGTTTCTGGTAAATCCTTCATCATTTTCCGTCTTATGTGGACATGAACCTAAACAAGTACTAATTATTAACATAACTACGAAAAAGCAGCATTTTAAAACTATTATTTTACCCTTTAACTATTTTTTCACTCCAAAAACATCGTATCAAAAACTCATTTTTTATTTATTTTATTGCACTAAAATCTTATTTTAATTCAGAACATAACATAAAACATTTATATCACATCAAACAATTATTTCAATTCAAAATTTTAGTGTTGAAAACCAAAACCGCTATCTTACAAGTAAACAATTTCCCCAATCACAGAAAACCTGCACATACATCTGGAAAGAAAATTTTCCGAAGTTATTTCATCAATGACGAATTTTACAACAGTTGTAACTAGCAAATCTACAATTTTTACTGCAATTTAGTGTCGGTATACCAATGAATGTATGTATATTTGTATTAAAAAAATTCCATGATGCCAAATTGCCTCCATAAAAATACCTCAGTACGTAGATAACAAGTTCGAACTCTAAGATATGTTGCAGGCTTACCACAGACGATTGCCCTTTAAAGAGCCGTAACATGGTTGGTGAAGTAGAAGTTTTGGGAATAGCTACAGTTACATCATAGATGGCTGGAACAAACGAGCGCATATGGCTCACAGCAGTAACGAATCCCTGGAAATAGCCATTGACATGAAGATACACAATTTAGAACAATGTCTACGATAAAGATAAAGTAAGTAGAAAACACTCAACTAAATCAATTAAAGTAAACAATAAGCACGGTGTTTTTCAGAATTTCATAAAGCTAAGAAAATGCAGAACCTTAGTGCGAGGAATTAAAACGTTTTTCGGAATTGGTAGCCCCATTGAGGATGCATATTCTTGAGCAGCCAAAAGTTTTGCCTGTGTGAAGCGAGTACCCTCAACGAAAAGTGCCAGCCAAAACGGCCGAGGGAAATCCCTCAACCGTTGAAGTCCTAACTGCAATAGATTTTGAGTGTAGCAACCATTAGGATAATCCAGAAACAGAAACAAGAATATACACAAGCAAATTAAAAATAAACGGGAACAATTTAATCACTCAATACCTTTAAGGTGTGTTCATCTTTTGCCCAACTTCTTTCAAGAAAGAGATACTCAGAAAACCACATGGACCATCCTAACACCTTCGTAATTAAAAGCAACAGCTCACGTGTTAGCCAATTGTAATGCATTCACATAAAAGAATTGCAAGGAATCGAGCATATAAGAGTCAACCATATGATCATGTTACAATAATATATATTAAAAGGCACAATAATATAGTTTTGGAAACTTTGAGTTAAAGGTATATGATCAGATCACTTCTAAAGGTTACAGACTATTTAAGCAACCAACTTTAGTTTTAGATAAATGTTACAATTGATTCGTAAGTCTGAAAAATCAAGATTCATGAGCGTAGTCATTGTACAGTGGTTTGAGCAATTATGAGAAAAATATTTGCATTATCAACCATGTGCTGCGAGATGGATGTATGTAAGAGATTAGAAAGAAATATATAGCAAACTACTTACAGGATAGAACTTTGAAGATTTCTTCATAACAGCTAATGTACTACCAAGGCAGCCTGATCGCTGTCATTAGAAAACTAATGCTAGTTAGCAAAATATCGCCAGTAATGGCAACGCTGGAAGGACAACTAAGAAAATTCGACCATTTGTTTCAATTTCTTTTTTTTATATAGGAAAATAAAAACCCCAACAACAAGTATGAAAGAAATATAGCGTCTCACAAATAATGCTTTCAGATGTTCCGAACCCAGATAATCCCAAGAGCCAATCAACAAATAGCATGGGTAGAGGGCGGTATTCATGGCATCGAAAAAAAAAAGTTCACAAAAAAACAAAAAAAAAACTCATTGTTAGGTAGAAAGCTAACCTGAGCCATAACCCATCCAACAAGCCAATCAATGTCGCTTCTATGGTTGCATATGACAAGTGCATGTTCTTTACCTAGATAAGTTCCAAACAAGCATAAATGATTAGGAACTCAAACTAAAGGTAAAATCCCGGGCAAAAAGTGAAAATCAAACTCCACAAAAAATTATAGGCTCTTACCCATATATTTAAAGGTATCAGAGTCTGTGTAGAATTCAATCTGCAACAAGAATGATATGAGCAAATAATCAGACAAACACAATAAAATCGACAACTCATCCATGAGATGTCCCTTGGCCATTCAATCAACAGTCTAAATATTTTAAAATCATAAAGCATCACATTCATCAACAAACAATCATACCATCCTGCAACATCTCAACGTATACTTCCAAGATCACACAAATGTTTCATACTTATTGAAATATCCAAAAATGGAAAAATTTGCAACTGAACCCCTCTTTGAAATGGTCTTAAAACTAGTTGATATCAATTTAATAAATATCACCTTAATAGAGATAGATTCTTTAACTTCAATTAATAAGTAACCATAAACTCCAAACATAATCTAATCAATTTCTATCAGCCAATAATTTGTAATGTAATCTGATCCATAATACTTCTTTTGCTAAATTATTTACAAAGCCTCACCTTCACTCCAGCCCACCAATCGATGAGCCACACAAGCTCCAGCCACAAAAGTTCTGCAGCGTCCCTGTTAATCGTTCTGTAAGTGTTCTTCGAAAGCGGTCTTATTAGCACAAAACATACTGCCTGCAAAACATTCAAAGAAGATCCATTACATTTTTCCTCCTTCCGTGAACTTTCTTCCATGTTCCGAAGCCACATAAACCACAAAGAGAACTGAAAAACCAAATTTACAGAAGCACACAGCTACAGAACCACATAAATCATTCCGAAAGGGACCTGCCTAGCTCAGCTTCTAATTATCCAAACATGATCCAGATTTTACAAAAAAAGTCAGTGAATTCCTCCGTATAAATAAATATATAATGAACAGAATGTAGATGAGAAAAGAGACCTGAATAAGATTAACGACGAATCCGGAGACGAAAAACAGAACACTCAGGGGCAAAATCACGGCCGCCGCTGCAATCGCCATGGCCGAGCTGCTACACTTTTTCTGATATAGTCAAATTCGCCTAGTGGATATATTCAGAGTAAGAAAAAATCTGCCGCAATAAATAGAGGATAGAATCTAGGGTAATGTGCAGCCCAAATGATGAGGATTTCTATTCAGGCACTGAAAAGAACATTTACAATACACACGGATCTAACATCTCTAGCTCTATATCGTGTGTTTAAAATTCAGGGAATCAACAAATCCTGTTTTACTGTAAGTCGAATATTTTGCAGCAGCTAGAGCATCCTAGTTATTAGGAGATGGGTTTTCGCAAGTGATCGCAGAGAGAACAGAAATGGCGGAATGGGCGTGAGAATGGTAGGCAAAGCGTGCAGCCTGCAGTCCCAAGTTAATAAGAGTTGTACCGTACAAGACAGGGACAGCGTTACAAAAGAGGAGGACTAACTTAACAATTTTTTTTTTTTTTTTTTTTTTTTTTCTATTTAGGGAATATAAATTGAATTTCTTTTTTTATTTTTTCAATCAATTTTTTTCAACACGATTTATATATATAATATATTATATTTCATTATTCTAAAAAATATATATATAGATAATATAAAATATTATTTTTATATTAATTAATTTATTACTTAATTGTATATTCATTTGTTATTGTACTATTTTTAAGAAAAATAAGTAAAAGTCTAAATTTTTATTAGATAAAGAAAAAATAAAAATTATGATATTTTTTTAAAATAAATAAAATAAATTTAGATATACCTAAAAAATAATATAAGTATATTTGAATAATACATAGAATAATATTTTTTTTAAAAAAATATTAAATTAAATGTATTTTTTTCTAATTTTTATTTAAAGTATATATTTAATTTTAGTAAATTAAAAGGATAATATTATTATTAATTATAACAAGTGTATGATTTTTTAAAAATATAAAAGAAATTAATATTTTTGTAAAAGTTAAAAATATTTTACTATTTACAAATTATTTTTAGTATAATAGGAAATTGTTATTTTGAATAAGTAGATAAAAATAATAAAATTAGTATTTTGAATTGAGACTGATATAATATTTATTCTTCATATTATATTAAATATTAATTTTATCTTAAAGATTTTATATAAATATATATATATATATTTATATTTATATATATATATATGTCATGCAACTATTAAATTCAAACTCTCAACTAATCACACATGTATTGATGGTTCCCAAATTTTATTTCAAATATTATATTACATTCTATCATTTATTTGATAGAATATAACAAATAGTAATTTTTATGTGAATATTTTAGAAATATATATATTTTTAATGATAATTAGTATTATTTTATTTTTTTCAATCAACGGTGGTTTGTGTTAATTATTGATAAATATTTATATATATTTTTTTATTGTGTATATTATATTTTCTCCATCCCTTAATAATTTATCTATTTTTCTATTTTGATCTGTCTCATAACAAAATATCAATTTATAATATATTACACAAATATCATTATATTTATATCATATAATACTAATAGGGTTATTTTAGTCTTTTTACTTTTATTTCTACTTTATTTCAATATAATACTAATATTTTTAAAACTCCGTGCAAAAAACAAATGGATATATAAATATGGGACGGAGGGATTATAAAAATTTGTTATCTATAGAATTATATTCATATCATGCATATTATTAAAATGATATATTTAAATATACATATTTTATATTTATTTTAATAATATATATCAAAATATATACTAAATAATAATTAAATAAATTATTTTAATTTTTTAACTTTTGTATACAAATTTTAACATATATATGTATTTTTTTATTTTTTTTATAAAACAAAAATATATAAAATAATATAATTTTTTATTAAGAAAAATAAACAATAATACAATGATAGTTTGGATGGAGTAATTTATCACTTCATCCTACATCTATTCTTTTATTTATCATTTAGGATTATTTTATTTAAATAGCTCATTTTCTATTTTTAATCCTTATGATTCCTACAATATTATCAACTTATATTTATTTATAATTTATTACAATAAACAATAATAATAATAATTGAAACACTTTAGTGGAACGAAAAAAATATTAATTTATACCTTTAATATTTTTTCCGTCATCAAAATTTATGTCTATTATGTTTTTAAATTATTTACTAGTCATAATCTTTATTAATTTATGATATCAACCATATATATAATATGAAATATGAGACAAAAATAATATTACAGTGTTTACATAATATGAATATTATAACAATGATTGAAAATACAAAGATGGTGTGTTTAATGTCAATCACTATTAATCTTTCGCAATATTCATCATTTTTAATAAAAGCATATTTGATATGTTGGATTCTGATTTCAAATCAAAATTAATATTATTTAATTCATACGGCTCTCAATAAAAAAATTATATTTTATTTTATAAAATATCACATCAAAATAATATTTAAATAAAAACTTAAATCAAAGCACTGATTCGAATCAATCAAACAAATTCATACTATTATTTCTTTATAAAATAATTAAAAGAATATTTGAATAATATTTTTATAATTTTTGATAGCTAATCAAATTTATTGTTGCTGCATTGAATGTTTCTATCCAACACTCTTTTACAATTTCCTATTAATAACGAATAATACTCCATCGGTTGCATCTAATTTGTTCAAACGGAGTTTTTAGGTACTGTCTAATAAGTAAAATTAAAAATTTATTAGTAAAATTAATTATTATTTAATAAAAAAATTATAAATTAATATTAAGATGACTAAATAGTTTAATTAAAATAATTTTTTTTATAAATTATGAATTTTAAAAAAGAATTTAAAATATATAATTATATTTTAAAAAAAAATGAAATAACAAATTATGTGGAACGAACTGAAATAAAAACAGTGGACAATACTGATATACATATCACATACTATGACATATTTCTCAAAAAGCAATTAATAAATAAATATTCAATTCAAAAGCATTTTTAATTTTTTATTAAAAATATTTTTCTTATACTTAACATAAAAAAATAATAATAATAATAATAACTATATCTAAAAATTTAAAGTGACAATATGGTAGGTGTAATTGGTTGCATAATTAATTTAATAAAATATTCTGAAGGATACCTTTCTTGGTTGGGAGATTACAATACTTAAGACTTGTTTCTAGACAGTTCTAGAAGCTTCGTTTTGACCTATTTTTCCATGCATTTAATTAAAATTAATATGAACCGATTTTTCTTACCCAAAAACTAATTAATGAATAGGTTCAACGAATAACAACAAACCCACCAACAAAAAACACCTATTTTTGTCTGTTTGGCAAACTAATTTTAATTACTATTAGCTCCCCCCTAATATAGTAAATTGACCTATCCTTTTATTTTTTACATATACATTTTAAAATTTTATCCGTTTATTAAATTTATGTATATTTTATTTCTTTATTTGACAATAAAAAATACTTTGTCCCGTAAATTAGAGTATTTGTATTTGGTGCAGAAATTAAGAAAAATAAATACTACTATTTTATTAAAAATGAGATAAAGATAAAAGGGTAATTGATGATCATTTAAAAAATTTAGTTAGAATAAAAGAAAATAGAGATAGAGAATATAATAAAGGTAACAATATTTGTAGTAAATAAGTGTTTAATGAAAAATAATAATTAAATTTGTTAATTTTGTCAAAATTAATAATAAAGTAAATTTAGAAGACAAATTAAAAAAAAGAAAAAGAATAAACTTAGTTTATATATATAACAAATAAAATTTTGTCCATTGCACATTAAGGGTTTGTTCGTTTGAAGGATTCTACAAAAATCCTACTATTCATCTAAAATTTTTCCCCCAAAAACATCAAATCAAACACCTATTTTTCATTTTTTATATTATACTAAAAATCAATTTTACATTCAAAACATCACATCAACACCTATTTATATCACATCATACAATTATTCAAATTCAAAATTTTTACTATTCAAATCCCAACTCAAAATCCAATCCCCCAAACAAACACACCCTAAGTGTGTTTGTTTAAAGAGTTTTGATCGAATTCTCCTATTTATAGTTTCATACAAGTTCTTTCATTTCTCTAAAAAAAAAAAAAATCAAATTAAATATTTATATTTTTTATATTATACTAAAAAATTAATTTTATATTTAAAATATCGTATCAAAATAAATATATATATCAAATCATAAAATTACTTCAGTTCAATTTTTTTATTATTCAAATTTTAATTCAAACTCCAGCCCCGAACCAACTTGCAAGAGTTATATTTTGCAATAATGGTTCTTAATTTTCTTATAAATGTAAATATGATAATATCAGTGAGGCCTGAAATCCCAAATTCAAACATAGTCCGATTTCAAAATAGGACAGACCAGTTCATTGGAAAATAATAATAATATATTTAATTTTTGTTTTACATTTATATAGTTATATTTTGTGTATATTTTAAAATAAACTATATTAATATAAATAATTACAATTAGAATAAATTATATTTATTGATAACTAAATATTTAAAGGGTTGATGTGATGTTTTGAATGTAAAATTGATTTTTAGTATAATATAAAAAATGAAAAATAGGTGTTTGATTTGATATTTTTTGGAGAAAAATGAGATGAATAGTAGAAGTCCATCAAAATTCTTCAAACAAACACACTCTATATAAATTCATGAAAATGTGAATATTCATTTTTTATTATTTGTTATTATTATTATTTTTTTTGGATGACGTAGGAAACCGAAAGTACGCACTGGATAACATAACGTAGAATCCAAAATCTTAATTGTTTAGCTATTATGACACGTGAAAGTAACAAGGGAGAGAAGAAATAAAAGAGATTTGAAAAAACAGGTTTAAAATTTAGAAATTTTAAAAATAGTTTGTATAATCACCCACAATTCACCATCATCATCGGTTTTATGCGTATTTTATTTATTTAACTTTTATCTAGTACATAATTTTTATTTATAACAAATAATTTTTACATATTTTTTAATTTATACTTTTCCATATTACATTTATTTACAATTATGTTTCTCATCCACTTAAACATAGAGTTGGTAATGGATCCATTCGTGTTGACTCGTTTATTATCGTGTCGGATTCGGGTTGACTCGTGTTGACCTGTATACATAATTTAGTCGAATTTTTTTATTCAAATTAAATAATTTTTTGTTGTGTTGTCGTGTTATGTTAATTTTTATTAGTTTGAGTGTAAATTAGGTTGAATTATTTAAATTGAACTTAGTTTAAATTAATTTATGAGAAAATTAATAAATTATGATTATTTTACATATATAATAAATATATTAATCAATATTAATATATTATAATTGGGTTGTCCTGTCATGTTCGAATTGAGAGTCTCAACCATAATCCGATCCGTTTATTATCGCATCGGGTTCGTGTTAACCCGTATACATAATCGGGTTAAAATCTTTGACCAAAACTCAATTATTTCGTGTCGAATTATCGTATCGGGTCAATTTTTGCCCGCTCTACTTAAACATTTTATTTTATTAACTCACTCGTAAATATTTATCAAAACATTATTTAATGTATAATGTAATAACGGGTTGTGTTCGAACTTGGAACAAACGTCTAATGTAGCTTCGGCTCATCGAATTTTATGACTACACATATAGAATCCTCTTCGATCAAATCTACTCAAAAATACAATAAATATGGAGGTAAGATCGACTTGTTGTTGTCTTGATACGATAAATTTAAAGTGCCACCGTATTCGTCTCCAGAGAATTCGCTCATCGTATTCAAATCGAAGTTCTTACCAAATCTATCCTCGTTGTCATCTCTCGACGTTGTGGATTGGATTCCTATAAGACTCTCGTTTCTATTAAGATCCTCGGTTTTAAAAATCCCGAGTTGCTCGAGGAACTCGTTGAGATCGATTTGAGGCTTCTCTTCGCAGTCGATCATTTTTCGCTCGGACGAGAATTCGATATCTTTCTCCAAAATTCGATCATGCACGTCGACGTCGACGTGCTCGTTTTTGGGATCACTCGACGATGAACTCGACGAGGATTCTTGTCCGAAAACCTCCCCTTTCTTGAGTTCTTGCAACCTTTGGTGAATGACGTGGACGCTCGGCTGTGCCGTCAAGTTCAAGAGTCCGGTGTGGGGCACCGTCGCCGGGTAGTTATTACTCGACGGGAACCATTTGAATTTTTGAGATTTGTTAAAGGGGTTAAAGCTCGATCTCAAGTGTGGGAGGTTGAGGTGCGCGTCGGGACCATATAATCGTCGCGCGGCCTCATCGTATGCCATCGCCGCCTCCTCAGCGGTGGCATAGGACCCGAGCCATAGCCTCGTCCTCTTCTTGGGCTCCCGGATCTCGGCTACCCATTTGCCCCAAGTCCTTTGCCGGACCCCGCGATACTCGCACGTGTTGTTCTGGGGCCCGCCCTTGCCTCTGGCCGGGCCTTTCTTCCATAACTTGTGGGGGGATTTTTTATAATTTTCCATTAAAAGAAAAAAATAATAATCGAACTTAAGAAATTCAAGATTTTTTTTTTTTTCAAATATGAATAAATAACACACAATATATATGTATATATATATATATGCTTACAATGTGAGCGGAATTTTGACCGTTACTACTATTACTCGTACTCGAAGTCGAACTCAAACTCGAATTCGAATTTGTAATAGAGTAGTTTCAAAATGTATGAATGAATATAAGCTCTCTCTCTCTTTCTCTCTATATATATATATATGTATTATGTTATTCTCTCTCTCTATATGTGTATACATATAAAGAGTAGAAGTGTGCATGAATTGAGATTTTTATGTTCATATATATATATAAAGAGTGTGGGTGTGAAGGGAGGAATTAATGAAAGAAAGAAAGCACGCGGAGAGCACGTGACAAGTATGAAATCTTGATGGGAATCATTTCTTTTCCGTCGTCTGTCTGTGTCTGTCTCTGCATTTGTCTGAATATATATTACAGTATTATTATAAAGATGGGCTGATTTCTGTGACTCTCATCTGCCTTTCAGAGATCGACAGATTCATTTTATTTCAAAATTGGATGATTTTTTTGAAGTTAAAATTTGGTCGAATAATTATATATTAGGATATTACATCATATTAAAAATTGATGGAAAATATGTGTGGAAGTCACAAGAAATATTTCGTATGATCACATTCACTAACATTCACAAGCATCCTCATTACCATTATTATTATTAGACTCAAAAATGGAAATAAAACTAATAATAATAATAATAATATTACAATAAATAAATAAAATTTACTCTTTATATAGCATCTTATTTTCAATTTTATTCTGAAATTTTGTATAAATGAGCTGGATGAACATATATGAGATTAATGATATTATGTACTGTGTGAACATTATAATACAAATATATTAACTTATTTATTGTATTTGTATTATATTAAAATTCATACAAACGCTCTTTACTTACTGAATTATTGTCATCACAACTGTACATCTTTATATTTAGTATTGTAACAAATAGTTTTTTCTCATTTTCTGTATCAAACATATTCGTCCAAAATTTATATAAGTTTGTTCATAAAATAGAATAATAATTTTGACAAAATCTTCAATATATATAATATTTATATTATATTTTTTTTAAAAAAAAATTGATAATTCAATAAAAAATATTATTTTTTTTAATTATCACGCCATTCTATATAATCAAATAAAAAAATAAAAATAAAAATAAAAACCCTCAAACTATGTATATATATATATATATATATAGCTTTAATTCTTCAATTCATCATGATGATGTTTATCGTACCAATCTTCTTTGTGATAAGATCATAGAAATTAATATAATTAAAAAGATTAAAAATGACTTGACTTGAAGCAAATCTTTAATTATAATTGAAATGATTATATCTCATAAGAATTATCTTAATTTGAATATATTTTAGCTAAAGTATGGATTGTGTTTGTTTTCTTAGCAATTTTTTTTTTTTCAAATAATTTTTTTATTCGGACTCTATATTTGTTAAAAAATACAAAACATCTTATCAAACATCATTTTAATATCAAATTTAAATAAATCTTCTCAAACTTTTACCAAAAAAAAAAAACCTTTTTACTTTTCATATATTTTTAGATTTTTAGTATTAGTTATTGAAAACTATAAAATTGTTACTAAATTTTTATTTATTTATTTAAAAAAATATTTTATTGAAATAATATGTATTGAGAAAAGTAAAATTAAAAGGGAACAAACAATGTAACATAGCCCATATGTATATCAAATATCAAGGCGAGCATGCTCTCTCGAGCTGACAATGGATCGATTCGTGTCGGGTTGAATACTTTAAACGAATTAAATTACTCAATCTTAACCCGACCTATTTATTAGCAATGTTGGGTTTGGGTTGACTCGTGTTGACCCGTATACATAATTAAGTTAAATTTCTTGATTCAAATTAAATAATTTTTTGTTATGTTGTCGTGTTATGTTAGTTTTTATTGGTTTGAGCGTAAATTAAGTTGAATTATTTAAAATTGAATTTAGTTTAAATTAATTTATGAGAAAATTATTAAATTATGATTATTTTACATATATAATAAATATATTAATCAATATTAATATATTATAATCGGGTTGTCATGTCGGGTTCGAGTTGTGAGCCCCAACCCTAACCCGACCCGTTTAATATTATGTCAGATTTGTGTCAATTCATACACATAATCAGGTTGAAATATTTGACTCAAACCCAATTATTTTGTGTCGAATTGTCATGCCGAGTCAGTTTTTGTCCGCTTTAACGCTCTCTCATCGACAATGATTAAATTAATTATTTAAATGATCGTATATCTTTTTTAATAATAATAATCATAATCATAATCATAAGGTAACACAAGTCAAAATTGAAAAGAAAATTAATAAAAGCAAGTGGACATGGAAATGGTTTGCTTCAAGTGGACTTATAATATTTGCAAGCATAAATACATACAGCTGCTGATTCACTAAACACAGTGCACTGCGCCGCCAACTTTCAATTATTTTTGAGAAAAAATATTTTTTACTTTATCATAAATAATTAATTTTGATCTTATTGAAAATATTTGATCTACAAATTTTGAATGAATAATAATAATATCATGATAATTGACATAAACTGAATAAATCATTACGACAATATTCAAACTAACAACGATTGTATTGAATCTTTGTTTCACTGAAATTAATTAATTTTAATTTGAATAAGAGCAAAATTGATTATATTTTTATACAATAAAAATGAATTATTATGACTTATAATTGGACAAAAAAATGATTTTTTTCCTATAATTTTTTTTTAGATAAGCTATGGGTCCATTTTATCATATTTTTAATTATTCACCATAAATATTTGGTTTTTTTACATACATTTTTTATAAATAATATTTTTATAATTTAATATATTTATAATAATATTATTTAATGATTTAATATATATCAAATCAGTTGTTTTTAGTTATTTATTTATTTATTTAACCTAATTAGTTTTACACATTAAATAGTATTATTTATTATTCAGATTATTAAAAAAAATACATTTGTTCCTTATAAAGGGAGTATATACATGTGACTTTGTTTAAATATATTCTAGGCTTAATCACTCAATTTTGACATTTTTGTCATCTAAACATAAGGGTGTGTTTTGTTTGTGGTTTTAGGTTTGGATTTTTGAATAGTATAAGATCGAATTTGAATAATTGTTTGATGTGATATAAATAGAGGTTGATGTGATGATTTGAATGTAAAATAAATTTGTAGTATAATATAAAAAAGAAAAATAATTGTTCGATGTGATATTTTTGGAGAGAAAAAAAAAATTGAATAGTAAAAATTTATGGTAAAAACTATAAAAGAACACAACTTTAGTTTCCCTTTTCGTAGAAGTGCAAAATGAATGAATTGTTTGCTAGTTTAGTTCGACTTAACTCATATAAATTCATTTAAAGCTCGTTCGCTAAATTAAACGTATTGAAGACAGATATAAATTTAAACTCGTTATATTCACAAATGAATTTGAGCTTCTTCGAAAAAATTCGATAGTATTTGTTACATAATTATTTTTTATTTAATAAATATATCTTTGTGATATTATACTCTCTCCGTCCCAATACAATAGTCTTATTTACTATTTTTGTTCGTCCAAAAACAATAATCTTATTTCCATAAATAATCATATCACTATAAAACTACATTTACTTTTTCATTATTATTACACAATTGCCATTACTTTTTTACACTAATACACTCACAAGGACAAAAAAGTATTTTACCCTTACTTTTTATTCACTATCAATATAATATCGATATTTATTAAATCTCGTACTAAACGCAACTCAACTATAGTTTTGGGATGGATGAAGTATTTAATTTTAATTTTTATGTAAATTTATTTATAAATAATAATTAATTGAAAGTTTAAATTTAAATAATCCTTTAACAAGCTAAGGCAAATCGAATATGAACATATAAATTGTTTAACGAGCACTCAAATAAAAAATTTAATACGTATTTCTTAATGAACAAAGATAGACCTCGAATTCTTAACAAATCGATTTCAGATATGAAAAGCCAGTTGGACAATGATACCATTAAAATATAATACTATAATTAAATGTTACTGTAAAAATAAACAACTATTTTAACAGCTGTCAAATAAAATATGTACTTATTTTCAATTAAAAAAATATTATATCAATAGCCTATTATGTATATAAAATTATTTATATTTAATATTTATTTTACAGCACTTTGAATAGTACCTTTCATTTCTTTTTTTTTTTTTCTTTTACAATAATTAACTTCTTTTTTCAAAATTAAAAAAATCTTTCTATGAGGACAAATTTGGAATTTTAAAAGTACTACTGCCCACTTGCAGATTTCAAAACTATACATACACATAAATATATGTTTTCATTATCTGAATCGGAATCGGATCCGCGTCATACAGTGGGCCATTAACAACTGCAACAAAATTCAATATAATAATAATCCCTCCGACCTATATAATTAAATAAAATATAATTTAAAAATATATTAATAAAAATAATTATTGATTAAGATAACTAAATAGTTTAATTAAAATTAAAAAAAATTATAAATTTAAAATATAATTAAAATATATAATTATATTTAAAAAAAAAAACAAAATACGTGAAACTAAGAAAAATAAAAAATATAAATATAGACAGATTATATTAAACTAATTGGTCGTAACCAAGTTGAGGGAACACTACCAAAATAATAATAACAAAAAGATCAACTAAAGACAAACGTCCAAAAGTACAATAAACAGGCATGATAAATATTATGCCATCCATCGTACTTATATAATTTATTTATATTTTTTATTTTCGTTTTTTCCATATAATATATTTTTAATATATTTTTTAAAAATTTATATTTTAATTATATTTTAAATTCTATAATTTATAATTTTTAAATTTTTTTTTTTATGTCTGGAGTTTAAATTTTTTTAAAAAATATTTGATATGATATTTAAAAAATAAATAAATAAATATTTTTAAAAAAATTACTAATTTGGCAATTATATTAAAAGTTTAAAAAAAAAACAGAAAAGAAAGAGTACGCCGAGCCTAACAAGTTGGAATATGTCACAGTTAACAAACGAACCAAGTGCATAAATAAAATTCTAATAATAAAATAATAATAATAATAATGATAAAATAATCCAACACTGATTTTGATTTTGTTTACTTTAATTTGTATTTAAACTATGATATAATTCGATATTTTACAAGAAAAAACTTTCATAAAGTATGACAATGATGGTTAGAAAAGTGATTTGAAAATTGTTGGAATATCGTAACAGACAATTTAAAGAAGACATCCACTCAAACAAAAATCTGAACAGTTCCAAGCATTTAATTAAGTGCATATGAGAAAACCACATGTTTCTGAAGTGGATCAATTTGCCAAAGATATTTATACAAACATAAATCAATCGTCACTAGCAAATGAGGTACAATGAAAAAGGTGGATTATAAATTTGTATGAAATATAAATAAATTTAAATTATTCGAATATTATATTTATGGAAAAGTTAAAAGTAATTTGACAAGTCATATGCGAATCAGCAACAAATCAGCAGTAATTTTTGTAGAGTGTAACAATACAGAAAAATTATTCAAGAGAATTGCGTAGATCTCAGCCACATAGTCGACTATTAACGAGTTAACACTTTACAGCGATGCTCCACACTTACTGAAATTTCAATGTACAATCAATCTACCACAGAGTACAAGATCCAAAGCACCAGACTGAAAATCCGATCACCACGGAAGAAGAATGCCTACTTCTCTCAGTCACCATAAATACAAAATTAAGAAAAACTAACACAAATCTACAAAGAAGAAGAAGAGCGCACGCAGGCAACCATAAAAGCAAATAAAAAAAAACAACTCAATTAAAAAAAAAAAAAAAAAAAAAAACCAACTCAATTAGCGCTATGCACATCTTTCCACAATTGCTACCTTCCGAGAGATCGAGAAACGCCGCGGCGGCGGCTCGGGAAGAAGCCGCAGGCATACGAAACAGCACCGCCGACGAGCGCCTCCATTATCTCAACGAAGAGATTGAGGCTTCGGATCGGCGGAATGTAGAGAATCAGCGGCGCCGCCGAGAAGGCCACCGTGAGGAGGAGCTGTAACATCGAATTCCAGAGAATTCCAAAAGCTAGAAATGAGGATGAATTGATTAACTAACCAATGCGCGTTCATATATATATATATACTGTAAATGTGGGCAGGGCTTATCAAAACCACGGGCAATGGAACCCTGAAATTAAATCCAGAAGACGAATTGACCAAACTACCCCTCCATCCACGTCAGGGCTAAGGCGGATTGATATCACGTAATAATAATACTTCCATTATGGTGTGTCTAAATAATTTTGTTAATTTTTCGCACTATCAAGATCTTTCATTTACAAAAAAAAAGAAAAAAAAAAAACAGATATTTTTTTATTATATTAAAAATTAATTTTTAAAAAAAAATTAAAATATCATTAAAACGTGTCTGGTTAGATAGAAAAGTGAGAAATTTATTTCTTTATTTATTTTTTCGTTTAGAATTTTGTTTTGATTTTATAGAATAGTTTATTGTTTTTAGGAGGGGAAAGAAACTTGCTAGATTTTTTTAAAAAAAAAATAATTATAATTGGTTATCTATAGCAATTATGATATTTTATTTAAAATTTATTTATAACATTTAAATTTTGTGTCAAGTGGCCAAGTGTAGGTGGATATCGTGTGCCAATGTGGCCAAAACTGGCTGTATTTTTTTGGATTTGGGTCAGAAATATTTAATTTAAATTTTATATTAAATAATTCATGATATAAAACTGTGTGTAATATATTTTCTAAAAAATGCAAAGTAATAAAAAAATATGTATAAAAAAATCCAAAAACCCACACCTAGTCAATATTCAATTGCATATTATTATTATAGTCAAAATTTCATAAATCAAATTTAAATAGCAGAGTTCCACTCAATTTGATTCTTACAAATACAAATATAAAATGAAAATAAGTATTTAATTTGATAATGAAATAATAGGTAAATTACATAATACTTAGACGTATTTGATTATAAATTATATAAAATATCATGTATTGCGTAGAATCATCCCATTTGTTATAACAATTTATCCATTTTTTCATTTTAATCCGTCCAATTAATGTGACATTTTTTAAATCCTCGATTCGCATCCACCGATGCAGAAAATGCTCAAGTTTTCCATTCTCATATGAGGTCGGAAAGTGGATTGGCAACAGGTCGGCACGAAGTGATTCATCATGCTCAAAGATGAGCCTTAGGGACGCTACCTCCAGCATGAGCAAACCCTTTCGGAGCTGATGTTACCAATTTACTTTTTAGTAATTGTATTGTCTATCTAACATTAAGTACCTTTCTAATTTACAATATATCATCTTTATATCATACAATACTAATACGATTAGTCTAGTCATTTTACATTTATTTCTACTATATCTCAATATAATACTAATATTTCTAAAAAATTTCGTGCAAAAAGCAAATGAATATATATAGGTATGAGACAAAAGGAGTATAAAGATATACACCAAACATCATCTCTATCCAAATGCTATCGTTCGTCCAAAATAAGCTTAAGTAAATACTACCCAAATAAATGAAGTAAAATATTCTAAATATTATAATTTTAATAAATAAATATTTTTTAAAGAAAGAGAATGGACAAATAAACAAACTGGCAAACAATTCCAGGACAAATCTTCTTTCTGAGAACCTAATTAATATTTAATTTGAAGGTTAAGGAGAAGAGAAGCATACGAGAAGTTGGCGGCAGATTTGTGTGATGTCTGTGGAAGGATCCATTGAGGACATCCTCTGGAGCAGCTCTTTTGCTTCCAAAAGACCACCAGATATGTCTTCAACCACCTCTTCTTCACTTGTCATCAGGCACGCCAGTAGCTTCGCTCCCGCCATTTTCTCCTGCAACACCTTCATAAGCCCGTAGAATAGAGTTGCAAGAAAATAAACAAAAATACAGCATACAATTTAAAAAACCAAAAGAAAAAGCTTATTTTCAGTATATCATACCTTTTAGCCATAAAAAATTAATATTTTATTGAAAAAATAAAAAAATAGTTGATTATATTTTTGAAATTTTAATTAAAAATTAAAAAGAATGAAGAGAGAATGTAATAAAGTGAATTGTATTTATTGTAAATAAATGTTGAATGAAAAATAATAATTAAATATTAATTTTTTGATTTTTCCAAATACAGTAATGGGGTAAATTTGAAAGAAGGACGAAGAAAAAAAAATAAAAAATTTGACGGACAGACGAAAAAATAAAATGAGAATAAACTTAGCGGACAGACGAAAAAAAAAATGAGAATAAAGTTGACGGACAGACGGGCTAATTTTCAATACAATATGATACTAGCAATATAAAATTTTGTATGTTGTGCACTATACTTTTGCGGTACCAAAATTCTATATATAATATAATAGGATATATTGAAAGTGTTACTTTTAATTATGATAATTTTTTCTATTTTTAGTGTACCCTTAATACAAATTTCAGCGGTATACCGAAAAATCAATACAATATCAATATAAAATTTTCATACCTTACTATTCAGTATACCAATTTGATTCGGCACGGTATCAATATGATACTTTTTCATATCGGTATTTTCGGTACGGCATGATATTAAATTTTCGATATATTGTACCGTGCCACCCTTTGTAGAATGCAAATTTGAAATTATAAGTATTCAAAAGAGAGAATTTTTAGATTATACCTTATCGGATCCTTCTCGGAGCGATTTCAGAGTGGCTTGGAGAAGGTCCTTAGAGTACGGAGCCACAAAAGGCTTCAAATGGTACGCAGCAGTGAAGAGCACTTGAATGCAAGCTGCTCGGATCTCGGGCTCTGTTATTACCTAGAAATAGGAGGGAAATATAAAAGTGGTTCGATGTTCGTTACAATTATAGGCTATGTTTAAATACAATTTTGAAACTCACATTATTCATCGACAATAATTTTTCAAAAATAAAACATTGCACCAAATACATTTTTTCTGTCGCAAAATATCACATCAAATACCAAACTTTTTTACTATTATCAATATTTTTCAAAACTTTAAAACTTCTGTTTAAACGGAGCTCGGGGAAAGAACATACCTTAAGGGATTGTGTGATACTTGGAATGATTTTTTTAACAAATGGTTTCTTTGCACTGTCTGATATCTTTTGGCAGGCGCTTATGAGGACATTCGCCATGCAAAGACAGAAGGAGAGGCCGTTAGGTTTGGAAGACCAATCGTTGCCCAACAACTGACTAGTTACGAATGCAAGTACTGGGATTTTGGAGATGCGACTGCCTGCAACAAGGAAGAATGATTAAAGAATGAAATCTTATGTTTTCTATGCTTCAGTTGTTCAACAAAACATTTTATCGAGTCTGAACCTCTGGAAGATTCCGGAGATTGTAGTTCGGTGCACAACATCAAAGCGAGGCAGTCTATGCACCCGTGCTGGGCTTTGGAAACTGAAATCGAATATTGCAGACATTTTGGGTCAAAATAAAAAAGGCGCGCATCAGTTAAGTGTAAATGGTATATATACCATCTTGGTCGGGAGATGTCCATGACAAGATATTCAGTATCGATTTGCGTATTCTGAGCACATCTGGATGGCTATAGGCCTCAGTGCCTCGAACCTAATCACCAGCCACGAGCAAGATGCATCAATAATTAGATCCCGAGCATAATTCAGTATAGTTGAGTATGTGCAGTGTTAAATTAAATTTCTTCAGTTGGCGATCTTACCACAAGAGAAGTACAAAAGGAAAAGAGACAAACTTTAATCTTCATCAAGTCATTGGCAATAGCAGCTGATTCCAATTGGGAGGACAGAACTGGAACAAGAACCTGAGCAGCATAAAAATGGAAATACCTCAATCCGAAGAAAATTATGCGGAAGCTTTACAGAATTATTATGGAGCTATGCGACTAGAAAATGATCCCTATAATCGAAGTTATATAATATATACTCTATGATATAAGTCTGCTATGTAGAGTCATTTGTGGAACTCATGCAACTATTGCCTTATAACAAAATATATTTCTCCCAGACGTTTAAACCTAATATGTTTCTCAAAATAGTTCCCATCCAAGTCTTTAGTGGTCTCCAATACACATGATTAGGTCATTTTAGATATGTTCCTCTCATCTTCTTATTTAATGAATTATCCCCACTTTGGTCGTAATGTGCTCATTACTTAGTTTATGTGTAACACCATATCAATTTCAGTATTCCCATTTCAGTTAGCTTCTTTAATTTTTCCGTGGTCACACCTAACTACCCAACATTCCAATCCATCAAGCATCGATAGTATTATAGTAAATTTTATTTTCAGCCTTAGAGCAAATTTATGAACACACAGAATAGACACCTTCTTTAAAGCTATTTAACGAATGCTCAATGTATGAATCTCACAGAGACAAAAATAAACCACGGGGACTTTTCAAGGAGTTTCAAGACAAACAGAAACCTTGGGAGTAGATGTAAACTTCTTGCCATATTTCCATATATCACTAGAGATATTGTCAACCACATAAGATACTTTCACTCAACATGTTAGCATGTAACAAAGATGTTAATATTCATGATGATTTCAATTGTGAGACAACAGAGAAAGCATATTGTAATGAAATAAATTGTGATCATGTTTGCTTAACTAGCCCCTACCTCGGGGTGAATTCTTCCACATAGCTCTGCAGAAAGCTTTCGAGTGTCTTCAAATTCAGACTTGCTTAATGCCCTGACAACACAGAAAAAGATGATCAAATTCTATTTCCAAAAACACCATACTAGCTTAATGCCCTGATCAGATAGAAAAAGATTATCGAATTTTCTTCATTAGGAAACCTGTTCATCATCAAAGAAGCAATGCACTCAGTGTCCTCAATGCTAAGATATCTGTCTGTTAAAACCAAGATTATATCAGAACACGAGCTTCTTATTGACCAAAATCAAACAGTATTACACTCAAGGTAGAATAAAGAATACCACGTGCAGCAGAGTTCTTCGAAAATTCGCCATACACAAGTGAAGAATCTAAGTCATCAAAAACTCTTAAAGGAAGTAATCTGATTACAAGAAGTGGGCAAAGATGGGTAAAGAGACGATGCTCATGCTTCATAGTCTCACTGTTTGAATATGTCCTGTTCCATTTGAAGTGTTCATTAGTTCTGCCCTGGGCAAAAATAAACAACAATCTAGAAAGAAAATGAAAAGGACATAGAGTGATTAATATATATACACAAATATATAGTGCACGCTCTAGACGTTGTTATTAGTTCAAATAAGGGGTGGTGTTATTTTTCTAGCTGTACTTAAAAGTCCTATATTATTTCCTACTGAAAAAGTGAGCCAAGGCCAGGGATGTGATAATGGCTAATGCAAGGAGAAACTGAAAATAAATATGAAGAATAAGGGAAGAACCAAACCAATGCTACTTACTCTTCCTGTTGTCTCGTATATAATAAAAGCCGATGAAAGACTACGTCCACAGTGTCAGCCAAGTACTCACTTATATAGCTGAGAAACCTCACCATAACAGCATTTGATGGTTCAGCTAACATCTTGTCTATCAATGGGCCAACCATTACATGCCAATCTTCAACCTGAGAAAATACCAATGAACAGTTGTGGTCACGTTACTAAAATAAAAGGTTACAAAAGAAACCATTTAGCACATCATCAGTAGCAATTTAATGAATGACGTACAGAAAAATCACGAGAAGGTGATTGCAACCGCTAAGATTTCTCTACTGAATATTATTAGTTTTCATTTTCTATTTATCGATGAAGAGAATATGATTAACCACTGCAGATAACTCTTTTCCATTAATCACATCTATTGTCTGACTAAAACAGACATGGAACAATATTCATTGCAATACAATCTTACAGTTTTCGCCCACTCTGGAAGCAACTTCAGGAGTCTATCAGCATCAAATCTTGATTCTGAAACACAAAGGTCACAAGTGAAATTTTATATTAGAAAGCAGTTCTTTATTTCACCTCTATTATATTTTGGAGAGAAGCTCAACCGGAGACAGCTAACAGTAAAATGAGATCAGACCATTTTTCACTAAGTTACAAAGACAGCCACCCAGTGAGGATCAACAATACATTGCAGGTATTTTGAGAAGTACCTTTTTTACCATCCATGGTGGTGCCTGAATCAAAGTTTTGAGAGTGTTTGCTGCATAAGACAATATAAACTCACTGAATCATAAATGCACACAACCATAAACAGAAATAAGGAACTGCCATAAAGAAAATGAAGAAGCATCCTTCTCATTTCCATTTCAGATCTTTCATAACCTAAAACATTTCAGATTGCGCAAGGTTGATCTTAGCATCAAAAGTCCGCAAGATATTAACTTAGTGAAGCCATTCTTCACAGTACCTAATACAGTCAAGCAGCATGCACAAAATTTCAGGCTCATGTTTATGAGCCACTAACAAGGCTGTTAGTGCACTGCCTGCTGATATTTGCACTCCTTCATTTGCTGAATAAATTAGTTCAACAAGTGCAGGCAAAACCAATGGCGGTTCTGCAACAGAAATGGAAGTTAGCACTGACTGCTCAGAATAAGTGGCTAAATTTCTAAAAGCATGAGGTTTTAAAGGGCCATTTGGCGAACAACAGGTCAGTTATGAATAATGAATCACTTGTGTAAATTTAAACAAACCAATGAAGGAAATCAAATGCGGTGCCTGCTTTTGAATAACCAGATCTTCATCTTCAAGACATTCCAATAAGTAGTTCGCAATGTCTTTCCTAAAATTAGGAAATTTATGTCATGAAAAAATCCAAATCAAAAAAAATGGAGAGAAAATATGCACACCAATTAAGTTGCATACCAAGTTGCATGCGGAATTGTCTCGACAGATTCACCATAATGGATGAGCTCTGAAACAATATCAAAAGCATTCCTCCTCTGTGAGATATTCTTAGAGCTAATGCCATTTAGAACTTTGTATAGGTACTTGCTATCAGAGCATCTGTAAATAAAATATTTCAGTATCTATTTTTTAATAGAACATGAGCTTTAGCCACAAATAAAATGCCATTATGACCTACATCGAGCAATACTCTGCAACTAGCTTAACAATAGCTTTTGCTGCCGCATCTCGGTCTCCCAAAAAATTTAGTAGCATTGACATCAAATCATCCATTTCTCCAACATCACCAACATTTCTTTTAGATAAAGTATGGTTTGTTCTGAAGATGACAGCTTTAAATATGCTAATAGCTCCATCAATCACTTCTTCATTGGTGCATTGCAACTGTAGAGCATCAGCATCACTAATTGAAGCAAAAGTAAATGAAACAGAAAATAGAATTTGATTTACTTCCGATTGGTATGTATACCACAACCGAGACATTCAATATATAATCCCTAAGCTTTGCTACTGCCAGAAGCATTATTTCCCTACTAGTTCTAGACTTCTAGATACCTTAAAGCGTATCATAATTTCCACAAGTTTCAAATGGGAACCAAATATGAATGAGAACTCTCACAGTCATAGTTAAGATGGCTAAAAACATACAGTTATCGGAAAGCCATGTTAAGAATGTTACTGTCAATATCCAGTATCCACAATGTATATTTTAGACATCAAGTAAATTGAAAACCAAAGATACTTAAAAATTAATCCTAATGATCATGAGTGGAACCCAAGAATATAAATAATGATTATAATGGGCACAAGCCATGGTCTCACCAGCACCACTCAGTGAACAAAATTAAGAGCATAAACATGAAGTAGAGATGAGCCCTCACAAAAAGATGTATGGAGCCATTACATCCATTGATCCAGAAATGTTAGCAATGGATTAGGATCAAATATAAATCAGCTTACAGCTTCCAAGAACTCAGAATAGAGATTTCAGGAATTCTTTTCAGGTACATTATAAAATACCTGAGACAGAAGAATCTGAGAAATTTTAGATCCAAATTCTTCTATCGCATCTCCAAACATCTTGTTATCTAGTTTACCCAGTAAAAGCAAAAGGCAATTCAGGAAAAAATTGATTGTCTCTAGTTTGTCGCCTTCACTCGTGTTAGGTTCTCCAAATTTGTTGTCTGCATAAAACTGCAAGTATACTTCATAAAAACTAGGCAGACTAATAAGCAAAAAAAAACACACACAAAAAACAGCACAACAGGAGGCAATAAAACCCCCCAATCAAGAAAAATAATCCGAACAAGAACAGAATCTGAATCACCAATATATACAAGCATGAATTACTGTGATCATACAACCTTCTGAAAATGTGTCTCCTCTTGCTAGAGATAAACACCAATGGAAATTTTCAAGTGCTAGTGCATGATAACTATATATAAGATTAATTTCACAGCCTCTGGCAAGGAATCGTGCAGCAGATTTCTCCCGAATGACCTACCTAACACTTGATGACCAATCATGCACCCAAGATTGCATATGCTACAAGAAAGAACAAATCTTACCAGGGTTGTCGATATTGCACTCTTTTGTTACATGAGGACATTTGAACTAGAATCCATTTTCAAACAAGACAAACAACTTGATAGTGCAAAATATGAAAACCAGTTTGCACTTCACAGGCATTCTTCAAACATTGTGCAGGCAGTTGCAATGTTGAATGAAATTTTACCTGAATACCCGACAAAAACTGCCCAATGAGTTCTTTAAACTGTTGATTGAATTTGTTGTCTTCTAAATGCAACAGCGTGCCATAATGCTTCCAACAGGAAGAGAGAAGCAGAGAACCAATTTTCCTCATTTGCAACTCTGTCTTTCAGTAACAAGGAAAAGAGATAAGAACATGAGGTTGAACAAAGCACAAAGGAATGTCAGAGATTTATTTTAAATAAGACATGCCTCGTCAGGGGAGCAACCATAAATTTGCTTGACTTCCTTCAGCCACTTACATACTCTCTCCAGTCCTTTAGCATGCAAAGAGCGGCTTTTCCTGCTCCACTGCAAGTTTCATCAATCAAGTGAAAAATCAACTTACTAACATAATGAAGCAAAATGCAAACCAGTATCATGATAGTAAAAAGTATTCAGTGAGTTTTGACAATATTTCCAGGTCCTACTAGGCATGAGAATCCTACAATTCCACCTTTCCTGAGTCTGTCCAAATGTGCATCCTATAACTTTCTACTTACACAACCCTTTAGTTTGAATGCATTATTTCATAAGTTCTTCATGATGAAACTGAACAGACTTCCAATTCCTATTAACAAACAGACAGCAGCTACCCTTCCTAGGGAATATGATAAGATTTACAAGGTCTAGCAAAAAATAAAAATAGCCAACAACTTGATGCTGAAAATAAGAAGAAGACAAAAGCCCTGATGGTGAAAATATAAGAAACCAAAAAAAGTCAGCAACTGATAAAGGAAGCCATGAATCTGGATCATACAGCTGTAAGTTTCTCCACAAGCATTATAAGTTCACCCAAATTATTCAAAAGAAGGAACTTCAATTCCAAGCTCAAGGATTCAGACGCCTTCCCCAATGTCTTTTCATCTCTAGGTTTAGTGGCTTCTGGTAACAAGTATATAGACTGATTTTTAGCATTGCTGGAAGATGATTTTTGCTTGTGAGCCAGATCATTTCCAGTTAATGCAACTGTAAGAGATAAAAGAAAATCAGCAGCTGCTATTGCCAGGCGATTTGGCAACTCAAACCCCTCCCGCACTTGGCTGCAAGTTCAGACAATCACAGTCAAGAATTAAACAAAGATACAAATATACAATGTAATGCAAGTACATATGCAACATCTCCAATTGTTCGTGATGTGAAGCCCACGAAAATGGATGCAACTGTCTCACGGAAATACTCTACTAAACTAACTGCCATCAGGATGGTTTAACATGCCAAATCAATAGGACCTAAATATTGTTGCACCAGACGAAATAAGACATCAGAATAAAAGTTTTCCTGATCAACTACAGATACTATCAACTCAGCCACCCATGTCATGTATCAAAAAAGCTAAAGCATATGGAATTCAAAGGTTTTCTTCTTAGAGGACATTAGTTTGCACTTCAAGCTAACCAACCAGATGCCACAAAACTCTTATCTTAACTTTAGTGAACTGCTTATTAATTTCACAACAAGATAGGAAATGAATCAAGAGATTCAAAGTAAAACCAAGAGTATATTCTTTAGCATAAATTCAGAACACTGCAATTTCATTAAGAATAAATAAATAAATAAATAATAATGTGACAATATCTTTTATATTGTGTCAAGAGATGAAATCATGAGTCCAGTTGCATGAGCCAATATTTATAAACGGTGAAGAATGCAGTGTACACTGACTGCATATTGACAATCACATGGCCCGCATACCATTCATTGCGTATTAGGCTTTGGCGCTTCGTATAAGGAATAATTATAATAAAGAAAATTATGAATGATGAAGAATACCGTATGCATCCATTTTATAAATGATAACTGCATAAGAAGCATACCTTCCGTTGCATACTAAAGATATGAGATGGGTCACACAGGGGCAAAACATCTTCAATAGCACATCATTTTTCTCCCTGATTGCTGCACAAGTACAATTCTTAGTGGCTAACAAAACAACTTATTTTGATGTAATCATAAGGCAGAGATGCAAGGCACCATGACCAATGATTGTCAACAAGAAATAAGCTCCAGAGGAAGTATAGAGAGCAATTATCTTTCAATTTAATAAAACAAGAGATCTGCACATTACAGCTCGAGTATTTTGCTTGATACATTGGACGATCTCCAACCCTAAACCCAACACTCAAGAGCTTAAAAGAAGTAATCAACTATATTCATGTTTTATCAAAAGCAGAAATCTGTATTTAATCAAATCTAGGCTGGCAGTTTTCAACCAGCAGGAGCAACCAGCATGGAATATTCAATACTCACAGATCCTTATTAAATTCCACAAATAAAATAATGTGAAATAAGGCCAAAGGTGCATCATAAGGAGAAAAAGCAATCTGGGGAAATCAAGTAAACACTAAAAATTACCTGTAACAGAAACATTGTTCGCAGAATCCTGATATTCTATAAGATTACGTCCAAGTATACACCAACCAAGAGCTACATAGCGATCATCCCTTCTCGAAATAATGACAAGCAAATGCTCAACTATGCCATGGAACAAAACATCATCTTGAAACAGCCAGTTCAGAAGTACTAGTGACTGCTGTGAGCCTCTCGTTGTTGATGACTGAAATGATCAACAAAATTTACAAGAAATTATTCAAGCAAAATCAGATTCACGCCAAGAAAATGCACATATTGTTCAATGCAATATTTTACCATAACTTAAAAAGCATGGACCCTAACTTCAAATAAATTACTTTATCTCAGAAACCCCAAGGAGAGAGAGGCCCTAGCTTACAGCAGACGTTCAATTATCTCTTAATGAGAGTCATATGCAAGTCAAATAATAACTTAGATTTGAGATATCAATTTTCCAACATAGAGTAGAATCTGAGTAGAATCTAAATCAATTGATGAATGTCATATCTGTTCAAAATCCTTCTTATGTTAATATGCACAACATCTGAATCCGTCTGCCAGACATGAAGGAAACAGTACAAAGCATAAACGCTGCTTACGGCTGAGGAATATAAAAAAACGTAAGGAAAATCGCGTACATGTTGAACAATGGGAACAAGAACTTGGTCCAAATGCTTCCCGTTTTCCACAGCTTCGCCTATGTACTTGTGCAGAAACCACAATGACCGTTCCAAAGACACTTACACACGAAAAAAAAACAAGAAAACTTAAATCACAGAGATATAAATTTTATTGTTTACAAAACAGGAACTCAAATAGCGCGAAATCAAAGTAGAATCGTTCGAAATCGTCTGCAAATTGTACCAGTTAGAGGAGTATCGGGGAGTGAATGCAGCCGAGAGATGGCGTCCTGTAGTTTCCTGGGCTTTGTGTTGAAAATATCGGTCATAAACCTTCCTAGTGTCGCCGATTCCATTGGTCCCGGAGCTCGAAGGATTAATTGGCGCTCTTCGTCGTCCTCCATCGGAAGAGAGGGTGAAAAGGCGAAGAAGAGTCTGGAGAGTCTCGAATGCTCAGTTCGGTTCTTGTATTCTTGAATAGTCGGCGGGACTAATGAAACGACGCCGTTTCAACCCTTGCTTGAGAATTTCAATAGGGAAAAAAAGCATTTTTAATTGTATTATGTTGATTTGAACTCAAATAATTATTCAGTTATTTCATAGTTTTTAAAATATAAAATTAGTCAAATAAATATTAATATTTTTATAATAAATTTACAATAAGAAAACTTTTTTAATAACTAAAAATTATTTTTAGTCTCATTATATATTTATAATTATCAATTTTGAAATTTTGGTCTAATTAAAATTTCTTATAATTTTGATTTCATTCAAATTAAAAATTTTAGCTGATAAAAACTTAATATGACCGTTCTAACTCACACAGTAGCAGTGTTCATTACCTCCATCAAATATGACTGTATTTATTATTTTTTTTTTTTCACGATCATTTTCTTAACATAATTATATTATTGCACTTTGAACACAGTTATCTTTTTGTCCATAAATAAAGTCATAAACGCCAACATGTTCGCATAATGGTCGTGTTGCTGTCAGATTTTCAATCAAATCGAAATTGATAATTTACCGGAAAAAAATCAATTTTGGTCTCAATATAATCAAAATTAATTAATTTTAGTCCAAATATAAAAAAAATCATCAATTTTGGTCCCAATATAACCAAAATTTATCAATTTTGGTCTCAATATAAAAACTCATCAATTTTGGTTCCAATATAAACAATTTTAATCAATTTTGGTCCCATTATAAACAATTTTTATCAATTTTGGTCCCACCTTTAAAAAACTAACGGAAATTGGATATGACGGAGGTGACGTGGCAGTTAACCTGAAAAGTACACGGTCATGTTGTTACATGGCCATGTATATTTCAGTGTATAATTATACACGGCCATGTTGTTATAGGGCCATGTATATTTCAGTGTATAATTATACATGGTCATGTTGTTACATGACCATGTACAATTATACACGGTAATGTTGTTACACAGCCATGTACAATTATACACGGCCGTGTATCTTCCTATTTCGGTCTAAAATTTTAATTTTTTTTATATTTTTAATTTTTTTTTTAAATTTAAAATAGTTGATATAGTTAAAATGGAAAATAATAATAATAATCATCATAATATAATTAAAATATATCAATTTTAGTTCAAATACATGGTCATGTAACAACATGGCCATGTATAATTATACACTGAAATATACATGGCCGTGTAACAACATGACCGTGTATAATTGTACATGGCCGCGTACTTTCTAGTCAACTGCCACGTCACCTCCGTCATGTTTACGTCAGCAATTTCCGTTAATTTTTTAACGATGAGACCAAAATTGATAAAAATTGTACTAAAATTGATTGAAATTGTTTATATTAGGACCAAAATTGGTGAGTTTTTTATATACGGACCAAAATTGATAATTTTGGTTATATTGAAACCAAAATTGATGAATTTTTTATATTGGGATAAAAAATTAATTAATTTTGATTATATTTAAACCAAAATTGATTTTTTCCCTTAAATACTCTTTCTATTTTAATTCAAATTATTATTTTTATTATTTTTATATATCTCCATTCTAAGTCTTCATTTATTATTTAAAAAATAATAATAATAATAATAATAATAATAATAATAAATTAATAACAAAATATAATTTAATTTTTATTTAAATGGCAAATATAATTAGACAAAGCAAAAGGTTCAAAACTATTACTTCAGTACATTAATAAAATACAATTATTTATTAATTTAACCAAGAAGTGGCTTTGAGTTGGATCAGAGGTATATTATTTTATTTTTATTTTATTTTATTATTATTATTTTTTTAGGGCAAAAAATTATTTTTGGTCTCATTCAATATCACAATTATCAATTTTGGTTACATTAAAAAAAAATTATCAATTTTGGTCTCGCTCAAATAAAAATTTATCACTTTTAGTCTCAGTCAACTTCTGACTCATTCAATACGGTCGTGTTCAAACCAAAACGGCCGTGTTCAGTCTCAGTCAATCGATTTGGGACTAAAATTGATAAATTTTTATTTGAATGGGACCAAAATTAATATTTTTTTTTTGAATGGATTAAAATTAATAATTGTGATATTGAATGAGATAAAAAATGATTTTTATTTATTTTATTATTTTTTTTTCAGCCAAACAACTGTATCAATTATAGCATTTTCTGTTGCTTAAACCTGCAGTCGCCGTTACCTCCGCCGCCGGTAACCGTCCACTCCGCCGTACATCGGAAACAATCACCAAACCGCCGCCGCAAATGCTTCACCTCCTAGTGGAAGAGCCGTTACCACTGCCGCCGCCGCAGCAGCATCCATCCCCTCCACGGCCCAATATTATTCCAAAGTACCCTCAGAATGCGCTGAATCAACAAAGCTTCGAGTCAAGTTACAGAATTGTTTGCAACCATTTACTCGACTTCACCCGCTCAAAGAGTCTCCTTCGCGGCCAATCTCTTCACGCCTACATCCTCAAATCGGGGCTGCACTTAGTGCCACTCATCTGCCACCACTTAATCACTTTCTACTCCAAGCTCGAGCTGCCGTATTGCGCGGAGCACGTTTTCCACGAGACGGAGTTCAAGTCGTCGACAACTTGGAGCGCAATCATTTCATCATTTACTCAGAACGAGCTCCCGTTGCGTGCGCTTGAGTATTTCAAGTCGATGCTAAGGAACAACGGAATGTTTCCCGACGATCATATCTTTCCACTGGCAACAAAAGCGTGTGCGATGATCAATGGATACAGTTTGGGGCAATCGGTACACTGCTTAGCATCGAAGATTGGGTATGATGTGAATGTTTTCGTGGGAAGCAGCGTTTTGGATATGTACGCAAAATGTGGGAATTTGAGGGATGCGAGGAAGGTGTTCGACGAAATGCCTGACAGAAATGTAGTCTCGTGGAGTGGAATGATCTACGGTTATGCACAAATGGGAGATGATGAAGAAGCTTTGAGGCTATTTAAAGGGGCATTGGACGAAGGTATGGATGTGAATGATTTTACATTCTCGAGTGTAATTCGAGTTTGTGGCAATTCGACGTTGTTCGAATTAGGGCAACAAATGCATTCTCTGTGCCTGAAAATGAATTACGACAAAGCAAGTTTTGTAGGGAGTGCTTTGATCTCTATGTACTCGAAAAGTGGTATGATCGATGGTGCTTACAGAGTGTTCGAAGAAGTTTCGGACAAGAATTTAGGGATGTGGAACTCAATGTTGATCGCCTGTGCTCAGCACGCTCACACGAAGATGGTATTTGATTTGTTTGAGAAAATGGTAAGCCGAGGGACGAAACCAAATTTCATTACATTTCTGTGTTTGCTCTATGCGTGTAGCCACACAGGTTTGGTGGAGAAAGGGAAGCATTATTTCGAAATGATGGAGGATTATCGAATAGAGCGAGGAAGTCAACATTATGCATCAATGGTTGATTTGCTTGGAAGAGCCGGGAAATTGGATGAGGCCATGAAGTTAATTAATGGGATGCCTCTTAATCCGACAGAATCTGTCTGGGGTGCTTTATTGACTGGCTGCCGTATTCATGGAAACACCAATTTGGCGAGTGCTGTGGCAGATAGGGTCTTTGAATTAGGGCCTGTAAGCCCCGGCCTGCACGTGCTTCTATCGAATGCTTATGCTGCTTCTGGAAGATTCCAAGAAGCTGCAAGAGCACGGAAGATGCTCAAGGATCGTGGACAGAAAAAGGAGACGGGTTTGAGCTGGGTGGAAGAAGGGAATAAGATTCATACTTTTGCTTCGGGGGATAGGAGACATGAACTCTCGGAGGAAATTCACAGAAAGATCGAGGAGTTAGGGGAGGAAATGGAACGAGCTGGTTATGTTGCAGACACGGCTCATGTGTTGAAAGAAGTTGGGGCTGAAGAGAAGAGTGAGATGATTAGGTATCACAGTGAGAGACTTGCTATAGCTTTTGCCCTCATTACATTCCCTCCGAAACGACCGATTAGAATCATGAAGAACTTGAGGGTGTGCGGTGATTGCCATGTTGCTATAAAGTTCATATCCAAATGCACCGGTAGGATAATCATTGTGAGGGATAATAATCGGTTCCATAGGTTTGAAAACGGGGAATGTTCTTGTGGTGATTACTGGTGATTGATTAAACTTGTAAGAATTTGGATTTGATCTCGGTTGTTGGCAAAGCTGAGCGGTTGTTCGTTGCTTGCCTTCTTCCTGTGGTGGTCGATTTTTACAACGCTGTTTTTCCCCAGCAATCCATCTGCCTGTGGAGTTTTTCGACAGACAAAGGTACAACTACATCGAAATTTAGATTTTAAAGTCTTTCTACTTTTTTAATTGTTTGGGCAAATGTTTTAAGTTTGAAAAATGATACGGATATTGATATTTATTGATATTAATATTATTTTTCCTTGACAACGTAATGTGTTTAGTTAATAATAGTTTGGATACACCCCGACCCTTTAGGATGTTGAGGAATAGCTCAAACCACTTGAATGACTTCTATTTTTACATGACATAGGAAGTATTATTCTTACTGATTTTGTGGTTTTGTTGATCAAATGTGAGCAAGAGATATTAGAAAGAAACAACTTGTTTATTCTTCTTCTTCTACTTCATGTTTCCATGTGTATATATATTAATTCACATGTAAATTTTTATTACAGGGGAATTATTGAGGAAGACAAATTAGGGCATGAGATAGCTCAAATCTCATTTCCTATGGTACTAGCTCTAACTGCCGACCCTCATTCATCCATCACATTGGTAAGGTAAGCCATTCGCAATCTTTTATGTGTTTTCCAATTTTTTCAATGATCAAATGTCACTTTATTCATGCCTGAGATGCTCATATATTCTATATTGGAGATCTCACTGTCAAGCTTGTTGCTGTAGTAGTCGCCATTGCTATTATTAATCAAGCTTCGGAAATTGCAATTTTCCTCTCATTGTTGTGACAACATCTTTAGTAGCTGTAGAAGATGCTAGACACAATTCATGGGACGATTATTTTAAAGGGACTGAATTAATAGAAACGCAAAACGTATTAGATACTGTAAAGGAAGAACTTCATTCCGAAAACAGATAATTACAAGAACTTTCTCTCTTCTTAAAATTAATAAAAACGAGTATGGTTTTGCAAAATGTTTTTCTACTAGCATTTTGTTATTAAAAATGTGCACATTGTTGATATGAATAGTCTAATCGGGTGTTTTTGTTTTGTGAGATTATTTAAAGAAGAATATTTTAATTTGAGGTATGGAGAATTGGGTAGGAAGTATAAAAATAATGAATGTGTATGATATATTAATATTTTTGAAAAAACATTTTGCACGACACTGTGATGCTAAGCTGAAACCCCTAAGAACCTCCATGTTCGTCTACTATCTGTTGATATGTTTTCTTAATTCCTTCCCCACTTTGGCAACACGACTGTTTTCTTTTCACAAGTAATACTGCTTTGCTATCGTTAGAATTAGCGCAATCATATTATTTAATTTCCGCAGAAGTCTCCTCTGATCGACCCAATTGAAGTACTTAAACATTGAGGTCACTCGGTGCTCCAGCCATTCTTCTGCCATTGGTGATAGCAAGGTGTTTTTTGGTTAATTTTTCTACCTACTTGTCAATTATCTCTATATGTTATCATGAACTTTTTGCGGATATATACATATATTATTTCTATATTAATGACATAATTCTCCATATAAAACATAAAAACACATCAATCCCTTAGGGAACTAGATATACTATTTTACACAAGCAAAAATCAATCTATTGCAGAGTTCACACCACATTAGGTTTAGCCCAAAAAATGTAAATAATAAATAAAATCACAACAATAATGCTTTCTTGAAATGGCATCCATAAATAAAATCATTTGTTTTTCCTTTTCAAGTAAAATTCAAATAAAGCATATCATAGTTCCTACTTCATCAGTTCACCTCATTGATTATATTATATATATATATATATAGCTAATATTCCCTCAAAAATTTTGCCCAATTGTGTTCTAAGTTCTTGAAATGAAAAACATAATAATAATTTTAAAAAGAAAAGGGAAAGGAATTGTATGATCATACCAATTGTTAGTAGAAAGTGAGATATATAGAGAGAGAGTGTGTGTTAGCTCTTTTTCTGCATTGAACCATTTGAGCAAGTTGTTCCTGCAGCATAAACATGCAGACCTCTTGTTCGACCCGGAGCCCCTCCTTTTATCGAACTTAAATCGAGCACGAACCTGCAAGAATTGGGTTAGTCCGGGTGTCAAAATAATTCATGAAAAAAATAGTATTGTTCGAATAGCGGCTGTTAATAAAGTTCAATACCGTGGCAAGAAAGCACAGAATATATGACAACAGACAATACATCATTTATATTAACATAATGAAATAAGCAATACATAAGATTTCCCTATGTCCCGAATCATTTATTTCTATAAATAATCATTTTACCGTAAAATTACCCCGGCATTTTCATTATTATTACATATGTAACACTACTTTTTACACCTTATGGTGTGTTTGTTTGGAGGATTTTGGAAGACTTTCACCGTTCACATAAAATTTTTCTTCCAAAAATATCAACTCCGGATACCTCTTTTTCATTTAAAATCAATTTTACATTCAAATATCGCATCAACACTTATTTATTTCACATCATACAACTATTCCAATTCAAACTTTTTACTATTTAAATCTCAACCCAAAATCCAAACCTTCAAACAAACACACCCTATAGTAACAATATAAAAATAGAGAAAGTAATATAACACATATTGTTTGAAGGATTTCGAGAAATTTACACTATTTATATACACTTACAAGGACAACAAAAAGATGTTTTACTCGTACTTTCTACACACTGCTAATATAATATCAATATTTCTTAAATTCCGTGTCCAACAAAAATATCATTCTTTTGAGACAGTATTCATACAACACACCTACAAGTATAAACTGATAGCACATATCCTTTGTTAAATAAAAACATGTGTTGTCGGCCTATTTAACACAACAAAATATCTCATGTTCAAATATTGTACGTACATGTTTGTGGGTGGTTTCTCTTGGTCTGCAGCACCACTGTTTACGAGGATCCTCTGATCGATCTTTGTGATCATGTGCTCACGAGGCACGTGAATCAGCTCACGACCTGGATTGTAAAATAATTAAGACAATCAAGTATCCATGGTGAGAAATGTGCATCGCTAGCTTGAAGGAATTTGTATAGAATTATAGAGCGTATTCACTTACTGATATATTAATACACAATTTCCAAAAAAAATACAATATATACACATAACGACAACAGTCAACAAAAATAGACAAAATGTAAAACTTTAACGATTCCCTATACCTTAATTTTTTATATATGTATCCATTCAGCCATACCTTGTATTTATTTTTTACCATTTTTGATTGTCTACTATCAGTTTATCTATTTCCTAATTTAGTCAATCTAGTCCCGTATAAAATAATAAAAACAAGCTTACATCTAATCTAAAATTACCAACATCCTATTATCTTAATTTACAATTTATTAATTGTACTTTTAATGACATCGTAATAAATATGCTCTTACACACCACCTATAGATCCTTAATGTATGCAACAAAAGTAAATGAATATACATAATGGATAGGGTGAGTATATTTCAATTATTTGACGATGTAGCAGCTAACCTGATTCAGATTCTCCAATATTCTTGACACTGTCGGTAAGGCCCAAAAGTTCCTTAAGATATGGAGGAGATGGTTTCAGTTTTGCAGAAAGGATAATATTGTGACAAGCAAGAAAAGGTCAAATCGGGCGTCAATGAGACCAAAAAAAAAAAACTACCTTAAGTTTCTCGTAGCACTCCTCGAGGTTAGCGTTGACCAAAATGTGATCGAAGAGACCGGGCGATTTTCCCTGTTCAAGTTCAGATTTGGCATTTCGAAGACGTTTTTGAATCTGTTCTTCTGTCTCAGTTCCCCTGCATAAGTAATAATTATAGATTCTTTCAATATAAATGATAATCTGATGTGATGAGATCTAAGATATATCTCATTATCTAGCCCACCTTGCACGAAGGCGTTTCTCAAGCTCCTCAAATGAGGGAGGACATATAAAGATAAAAATGGCTTCGAGAGAACTCGCCCTTACAGATCTTGCCCCTTGAACATCAATGTCAAGGATGCATCTCTACATGAAAATTGCAGAAGCTGCCCTCAAATTTACGACATAAGAATTTGTATCGATGTACGCAATTGAAGTACAGATTTCTTCATTATATATATATATATGGTTCTTAGAGGTATCACCAATCATAGATCTATTAGATGACTAAAATAAATGTTGGCTAGGGAAGAAAAATGTATTTTACCTTTCCTTTGTCGGCAACCACTTCAACAGCTTCTATACTTGTCCCATAAAGGTTTCCATGAACAGAGGCAAACTCGAGGAACTTTCCATCCTGAATGTCCTTCTCCATGATGCTACGCTCGGTAAAATGATAGTGGACGCCGTTTTGTTCGTTGTTTCGTGGAGCACGGGTAGTGTGGCTCACAGAAAACCCAAATGTCGATGGAAATTCTTCCATCAGTTTCGATATGAGGGTGCCTTTACCAACTCCAGATGGACCGCTGATAACTATGGGTTTTTCAGGTTCACCTGTCATTCCCCTGCTCCATGCAACTACCTCCGTCCCGAGTCTTTTTTCATGCTCGGTTACAAACTCAGTATTCACCTGTTAAACTTGAGAAAGTTAAACAGTTCGGAACCATACATAAACACAACATTTGGACAAAAAGTACATGAATCGATTGCTGTTCTCAAAAGGAAATAGATTGGCCACAAAGCACCAACCTCTAGGAACCAAAAGCTATCATTAGAAGTCGTGTTCCCCTTAATAACCAAAATCCGACCATCATCTAAAGCAATGGCTGAGTGGCTCTCGGAGAGTTTCGGCTTTGTCCCCAACACAACGGGGTTGATCCTACAAGGATAATAAATTCTTAGCCGACACACCTCTAAAATGAAGGAAAGCAACAACAGCTCACTGTATAGAAGTCGAGCTTCATATTTCACCATGTGCTTGAAGATTCGTCATAAATTTGCACTTCAATTGTGGAATTGGACTTGTTATCAGATGCACCAATCACATACTGAATAAAAATTTAACAAAAGCAGGGCATTCATTGACAAGGGAACATTCTTCAACAGGGGGAAAGAAACGGGTTGGATAGGGATGACCGTACTAGTTTATTGCCGCCGATCTTGACAGTAATTTCGAATCCCTTAGACTCAGTTAAATCCGTAAAATTTCCCTTCAGCTCATCTACAACAAAAGCAGGAGCTTCTCCCTGCACAATCATATTACACCCAAAAGAAGCAAAGGATCAAAAATCGTATGACACAACTAATTTGATCCATCTTTCTGTGTTCATCTCAACAATAACCTTTGTACTCAACTTTAAAAAAGCATTCAGAAACATGAACTTACCATCGATGGAAGTGATCAACAGATAAAGATCAATTCTGCGAAAGAACATAGACAAGAACTAGATCAATGCACAAATATAATATCTGGAGCTCATAGTGCCAAACTCCATCAATCCAAACTTTCCCCAAAACAATACAACGGTTAAACGATCTAACTTAGAATTTCTCATTCAACAATTCGACTACCAAAGCATTATGTTCATTTCCACAAAAGTGCAATAACCAAATAATACCAACAAAATCAAACAAATAACAAACCAGATGCATGAATCTCTCCATCTCTCACGCATCCTGTAGAAAAACAATACCCTAACAAAAATCCTACCACAATCCGGCTATCGATTTCATCACAATCAATTAATTAATTCATTTCGAATAACATAAATCGAAAATTAAGAAAAGGTACCTCTACTTTTTCTTTTTTTTTTTTTTCACCCAAATTTCTACCGAGGAATCTGGCTTTTCTCCTCAATCTTCACGTCTTCTCGATGCGCAAGTCAATGAAAACAGAAATTTGAAAAGAAATTCAGGCAATTTGAAAATTGAAGAAACAGTAGGTCCTGGGTGGAAACCTTGGAAGTTTCCCCCACCCTCCTTCCCCTGCTTACAATAAATAGCATTCACTCCGCGTGAGCGTTTGTGCGCCTGCTACCGTGTGTGGGAGGGAGACGCTGTGTGAGAGAGAGAGACCTATGTGTGTGTGAGAGAGAGAGAGAGAGATGTGAGAGAGAAAGAGAGAGATGCGGCTTTTGACTGCGTTCAATTCACGAAACCTACTTGGAGTTGATGTCCATGTCGGCGTTCAATTTATATATTAGTGGTACTATTGATAGAAAAATTTAAAATAAAAAAAATTATAACTATAGAATTAATTTTAAATTTTAAATTAAAATATAATTAAAATGTACATTTATTTTAAAAAAAAAAATAAAAATAAATATTTTATATAAAAAAAAAATTAATATTTATAATTTTATTTTTAAGTTTACTTCCCAAAACAATGAAAACATCCGTATTTATTTGGATTTGGTTGTTTGATATTTTTAATTAGATATATATATATATGAGTTATAGAATATTTTAATAAATATATATTACAAATTAATTTTAAAATAAATATTTAATAATATTATTTCAGTTGCAAGCTATTAAAAAAAATTTAAAAAATACTTAAATACTTAAAATTAAATAAATAAATAAACAAAAATAAAAACGCATCCAGAATAAATAAATAATTAATTAATTAAAAAAATAAATATTACCGTTGGGCCTGCCATCGTCATCTCCAATACACGATAGCTGTATTTCGTTGGGTTATGACCTGTTAATTAAGATTTAAAGGCCCACGACTATTTTAGAAAAAAAAATATTATTATTTTTTTATTTTTAGGCCGATTTTATTAAAGAATTATGACACAATAAAAATAGACAACGTATCATATAAAAATAAAATTAAAAAAAACATATTTTAACATAAATCATTAATTATTTATTTGCAAAATATAATCCCAACATATATAATTATATAACTTCCTACATATTTTTATATTAATATGTGTTACTATCTTTATAATACTTATTAATTGAGTCAAATACCTACTATGTGCTGACATTAAAATTATATTTTGCTATACGTAATTATATAATTTTTTTATTAAAATAATTACTATATCTTATTAATGTATACATATAAAGATGAGCACACTATTAGAGTAATATTTAATTTGATCTTCGAATCTAAGATGCAATCCTCCTACATTCCGGTTTCTATTTAAAAATTTGATTGATTTTGTTTTGATTGGATTTGTGAATTGAATAAAAAAAGTTTTAAATATAGATAGTTGTATTAAAGTGATGTCATGTCTTTTGAAATTTTAAATTTTATATTGAAGCCATGTCATCGCAAATATATAAATTAAAGTAACGTGTATTTATTAGGCACTTATCTGGTAAAATTATGTAGTTTGATGGGATACATAGATTAACATAATATTCTCTTCGTCGCAGAATTATATAGTTTGGGTTCGGTTTGACACATAATTTAAAGAATATTGATATTATATTGATAGTCGATAAAAAATATGGGTAAAATACTTTTTTGTCTTTGTGAGTGTATTAGTGTAAAAAGTAGTAACAGTTGTGTAATAATAATAAAAAAGTAAATGTAGTTTTATAGTGATATGGTTATTTATGAAAATGGGACTATTGTTTTGTAACGGACAAAAATGGTAAACATGATTATTATATTAGGACAGATGGAATAATATTTTAAAAATGATATAAAATAAGTAAAAAATAAAGTAAGATATTATATTAAATTTATTAAATGATTGATAAAAAATACTTTCTCCGTCCAATTTTTATAATTCTAAAGTATATTTGTAATATTTTTTACGTGATTATCTTTTTGTTATGAATTGACAAGTAAAAATGTAAAATTTGTATTTAAGAAAAAATAGGACATGGTTGAACATCTCAAATAAAAAAGTAGGACATTAGATTGTGGACGAATGGCGTAGCATAATAAATAGAAAAAAATAATTACAAAATTATTATTATTTATTAAAGTAAAAATGATAAAATTTATTATAAATTTGTGACATAAGTTTAGCGAATAGTAAAAAAAAAATAGTAATATAATTTTGACAGATTTAAAAATTATATTTTTTAAAAAAGTTAATAGAAATCATTTTAAAAATATATTACTCCATATGTTCATTTTGTAAATATATATTTTAACATTTTTGTTTCCAAATAAAAATTATTTATTTTTAAGTAAAATATAGATACACTGTATATTATAAATAGTTTTTATATTTATATTTATTTATAATTTTAATACTCACACAGTAACTTTATATATTATAGGTGTAAGATAATCTTTCTATATATTATTTTCTGTCTATTTTAAATAGGTTTTTTTAGTTTAAGAAATATTAGTATTTTTTAGTTAATAGAAGTGTGTAAGAACATATTGTCCTTGACTTTATATACTCTTTGTATTCTAACGATATATATTTTTTTTTTATTTTGGTCAGTTTCATAATAAATTATCAATTTTTTTAGTAGTTGTATTGTCTATTCAATATTACAAATAGTCTTCAAATTTATAATATATTACACAAATATCATTACTTTTATATCATACAACAGTAATTTAGTCTTTTTTATATTTATTTATACTACATCATAATATAATACTAAATTTATAAAATTTTGTGAAAAAATGATAGTATTTCTAATTTAAATAAAAATAAAAATTATTTTAATATTAGTATTTTTAAAATGAAATATCTGTAATTAGGACGGATAAAGATGGTACTTTGATATATGATAAGTGGGAGAAGCAAAAATTATGACCAGTTATAATTAAAAAGTAATTATTAAATCCAAACAAACAGCAGCCGCTTCTTCAACCTTGGACGACGTCGTTTTGGCGAATGGTACAGCAGCCTCTCACTTCATCTTCAAAGCTTACCCCCATTTTCCAACTGCCATAGCTCATCCTCTCCTCCCTCGTCTCTCAATCCACACTCCATACTGAGAGGGAGAGACTGAGAAGAGCTATGGAGATGGCCACTGCTTCGCGCATCGCTTCGAATTTGACGCCCAATGCTCCACCTTTATCGTCGGGGAGCGTCGATTCATATAGAAGAAGCTCTATCTGCGGCCCTTCTTGGCTGAAGAGGCAGTTTCTCGGCAGTTCTCTATCAATGAAGTCGAAATCCAATTTTTTGAGAATACGTCCTCGGATTTCTGTCAAGTGCTCAGTATCCAATGTCACCACAGAATCTGCCGTTGGTATCAATACCTAAGATCGTTCATCTCAAGTTTTTGAAGTTATCGTTATGTCTATCTGCCATTTATGTATGCGTGTTGCTGTTGATTTTGAAATTGCAGTATAAAATTTGTGAATCGTGCTTGCTGCTTTTTTATGTATCTATGTATATATAATATACTAGTAACAGTTTTCTTGATTTTTTTACGTCTATCTGCCATTTATGTATGCGTGCTGCTGTTGATTTTTATAAAATTTGTGAATCTTGCTCAGTTTTCTCGATTGAGGCATGTGTTTCAATCTTGAGTTTCTTTAGATGATCTTTTTATCATCCACCGATTTTGTGAATATGTCCTATATTGACATCAGCTAGTTACATTGGCAATTAAATTAAAAGGTACTGAAGTTGAATTGTGCATTATGAGCTTATCAATCTGCATACGAATATGAATTCTAATATTTCTAATATAAAGTTGGAATTTTCTTATTGAGTGTCCTACACTGTTTTCTTTCAATTCTTAAAAGTATTCAGTGAAAAATGATGCCAGCCAAATAAATGTATGCCAATTCTGTTCCAACATGGATGCCAACATCAACTGCAGTGTCTTTTTTTTTTTTTGTTCCATCATTTTATTGGAATTTATATGCATTGAGCCCTGGTAAGTGTTGTCTATTTCATGTTCTTTTTACATTTTTTATCTTCAGAGAAAAAGAACCAGCTGACGAGGAGAAATGACATAAGAAATATTGCCATTGTTGCCCATGTAGATCATGGGAAGACCACTCTGGTGGATGCTATGTTGAGGCAAGCTAAGGTATGCATTGTTTGTTCTTGGCAGCAGAGCTCTCCTCAGAAAAATTAAAAATATAAGTAAAATAAAGAAGTAGAACTACTTTACCTTGCAAGATCATATCATTTAAACTCCTGGCAGAATGGATTCTTTTATAAGCCATTTTCAAGTAAGCTTCAATTAAAAATATGGTCTAGCGTTTTATTTAGGAGTAATGAATTATTATGAAAGTAGAGATTATGGATATCATCAAATTCTGTGATTTATTGTATGACTTTTGGTTCTAGACTGATTTTATGACATAGTCATGCAAATTTGTTGCCAAATAGTGAACCATCTTTCAAAACAAGGTGAAGTGGCGATATGCGTTTCAGTCCTTTTTGTGTTGCAGGTTTTTCGTGAGAACCAATTTGTACAGGAGAGAATAATGGATTCAAATGATCTAGAGCGTGAAAGGGGGATAACAATCCTTAGCAAAAACACATCTATTGCATATAATGACACAAAAATCAATATCATTGATACTCCAGGTCATTCTGATTTTGGAGGTGAGGTGGAACGGATTCTCAACATGGTTGAAGGAATTCTTCTTGTGGTATTTTCTTGATCCCTTTTTGAGAATTTTATCATTGTTGTTTCCTTTTCTAAGTACATGGTTTACTGTTTATCGCTATGCACTTTCACAAATCATGTACTTGTTATACATTGATGAAGCTTTTTTCACTTTGATAAGGTCACATGCTTACAGCTAGATGGTTATGACTTGTAGGTGGATTCCGTAGAAGGTCCAATGCCTCAAACAAGATTTGTTTTGAAGAAGGCCCTTGAATTTGGTCATGCAGTTGTTGTTGTGGTCAATAAGATTGATAGACCTTCTGCACGTCCAGAATATGTCATTAATTCTACCTTTGAATTGTTTATTGAACTTAATGCATCAGACGAGCAGGTATTTCCTTTTCACTTTTTTATTGTTGTGAAGCATGTCTCTATTAAAGCTATGTTTATCAGATGACCTAATAGATAACAATATCAATATGTTTCTTAATCTAAGGCTTGAGTTGATCCTTGACTCTCCAATGTATGTTAAAAGGATTAGTGTCCATTTAAATTATCTTTTTCAGAAAGAAACAAAATCTGCACTGTATTTTTAACCTCATTGGTATGCTTCACAAGAAATCTCTCCTCTCTCTTGCAACAGTGTGATTTCCAAGTTATATATGCAAGTGGTCTCAAAGGAAAAGCAGGACTTACACCTGAAAATCTGGGTTCGGATCTTGGACCACTTTTTGAGGCCATCATAAGATGCATACCTGGGCCCCAAATTGCCATAGATGGTGCTCTTCAAATGCTTGTTAGTTGTGACCCTTACTTTATTTTGTGCATCTTTTCATCTATAGCCCTGTGACATCTCAATACAGTTCATTTTCTATGAAGCAGAGGAAATTTTGATATTTCTGCAAGACTATTTCAACTGTCAAAAGTTTTTGATGTACCAAAAATCATGACAGTTCGAAGAAGCAACGAAATATATAGATGTAGGAGTTTGGGTGAAATAGAATCAAATTTGGAAGTTCAGTACTTGGAAATGCTTGAAACATTGAACTTGAAAATTTTAGACCAGATTCATATTTACTCAATCTTACTGACTTTGATTGATTTATTTATTTATAGTCTGTATTCATAGTTTGGAATACAAATCTACCTCATTGATGATTCATTTGCTTTATGGCTAGTGTTTGCATTAGCAAAATCCTGATGTTGTTCTTTGAGAAATATCGGTTAGGATATGGCTACTAGGTTTTCAGCCTCTATAAATTTTGGGCTTGCATTGTTTTTCAGTTAGGATGCGGTCACATCAATTCCAAGTAATTGGGTTTTGAGTTTGGTTTATATAGAAATTCCTTTTTGTCTTTCTTTAGAAATTAGAACTTCAAAAAAAAAAAAGAAAATCCCAGAATGAAGATGTGCGACATTAAACAATTACTTAGTAAGAAGTGTACTGTAATTATTTTTTATGTTGAGTGCTGACAAAATGTTAATCAAGTACTTTTCAAGCTAAGTCAAATGACTATGTTCACTTCTAACTTGTTTGCAGGCTACAAATATCGAATATGATGAACATAAAGGGCGCATTGCGATTGGACGCTTGCATGCCGGTACATTGAGAAAAGGAATGGATGTGCGGGTAATGCGGCATTGTTATATACTGAATCAATATGAACTTTTTCATGAAAATATACTGAATAAATGTACGTATTATGGAGTCTTGAGGTGTTGTGATTCATTTGTGATCGCAAGCTTTCTGAATGAGTTTTCCATGTTTATGTTGTTTCAGAATATGTTGTTTTTTATAGTGATTGTGTACGGCCCACCCCCTTTTTTACCATCTTTTTAAATAAGGCGGGATTTGCTGAAAGTTGTCTGCCATAAGTACCCTTGCTGAGTTGCGGTTCTCTTTCATATCTCACGTAATCATAGATGATATAAATCCTTATTTTGTTCAGGTTTGTACTAGTGAAGAAGAATGCAGATTTGGTAAAGTAAGTGAACTTTTTGTGTATGAAAAGTTCAGCAGAGTACCTGCGCAAACAGTGGAGGCCGGTGATATTTGTGCTGTGTGTGGAATTGATGATATTCAGGTAGGTTAAAAGTATTGAATGGCTTATGCTCTTTTTGACACTATACTGGCTTACATTTATTCACAAATATATTCCAGATCGGGGAGACAATTGCAGACAAGACTTCTGGCAAGCCATTACCCTCCATCAAGGTGGAAGAACCCACTGTGAGAATGGCTTTCTCTATCAACACTTCACCTTTTGTGGGCCGTGAGGTATATGATTTTCCCCGGCCATCCTTTTCCTTAGTCTACACATCATACCTTTTTAGCGATTTGAAACTTCAGTAAATCTGCATTCTGTTTGATGTTCTCTCTCTCTCATCACCGGAATTATTTGAATCTAGGGAAAGTATGTCACTAGTAGAAACCTGCGTGATCGGCTCTTCCGTGAGCTTGAGCGAAATTTGGCCATGAAAGTTGAAGATGGTGAAACATCAGACACATTTATTGTTAGTGGACGTGGTACTCTGCACATCACCATATTGATAGAAAACATGTACGAGAATGTTCCATACACTTACCAACACTTTGCATCTTTTAGTTGTTTCTAATACATGGGATCTTCTCAGGCGAAGAGAAGGTTACGAGTTCATGGTGGGTCCGCCCAAAGTTATCAACAAAAATGTGAATGATAAGTTATTAGAACCTTACGAGGTAAAATGCGCTTGTATGCAGAGTCTTATACTTCCCAGTTTGGCGATCCTTTCATTTTAAGAATAATCCCAAATGTTTTGTAGATAGCTATTGTCGAAGTACCTGAAGAATACATGGGACCTGTGGTTGAACTCCTGGGTAGGAGGCGTGGCCAGATGGTTGATATGCAAGGAACCGGGTATTACTTAGCGCCCTTATTTTGTCCTTTCTCCAAGCTACTCTTTCCTGGATAAATCTCTTGCACTTAGCTATCTTCAATTTCATGGGCAGAAAAAATTACTAAGAATCTGTGTTTTTTGTTGATTAGCGTGGAATCTGTCTTTTGATACTTAAGTTTTTAAATATATAGGTGAAATTTCTCCATGTCAAAGAGATGTTTGTAAACTCAAATACTCTTCGGACCTATTTTGTTACCTTTGTGTTTTTTGGTCTTTGTCTTGTTTGGTTTTGATTTGATATTGAGTTTTTTTATTTGAGTTTTGATTTAAAGGACTGAATATTGTTATTTTTTATTTGAAATAAAAAATAGACACACAATATATTCTTCAGATAGCAATATTTAGTTTCACTGAAATCAATCTTGTGTCATCGTTAGGTCGGAAGGTACAACCTTAATGAAGTACAAGATACCAACACGCGGGCTTCTTGGGTTACGAAATTCAATCCTTACTGTATCCCGAGGCACTGCAGTTCTCAACACAGTTTTTGACGAATATGGTCCTTGGGCTGGTGATATAAGCACCCGCGATCAGGGTTCTCTGGTAACCCTCCTTGCAACTAATCAACTAACATTTTTTGTGTATTCGCAAGAACTTTCCAATGTTTATTCGACATGATCGAGCAACTTTCATGTGGTTATGTTTCTTCACACAATCCAGTATCTGAGCTACTTAGAAGTATTACTAGATGACCTGTCCCTTTTTTGTAAGGTTGCTTTTGAGGATGGAACAAGCACATCTTATGCTCTTGCAAGCTCGCAAGAAAGAGGCCAGATGTTTATTGGACCCGGAGCGGATGTTTACAAAGGTCAAATTGTGGGCATTCATCAGCGCCCTGGTGACTTATCCTTGAACGTTTGCAAGAAAAAAGCAGCAACAAATATTCGTTCTAATAAAGAACAAACAGGTATATCCTTGCCTTTTAATCGTTTTCCATTTTTTAAGCGACTTCTGCATGACTATTGAATTGCTATCGAATAGTTCTCTGCTGTTTGCTTTTAGCTAAATTAGGCTTAGAATGGCAAACAGTTGTAGGCATGCTTGCAAATGAATAAGAACATTAGTTTATTGTGAATATTTAACAAAATACTGATAATGTAACTAATTTTTAGTTCAAAAGACATTTTATATTGACTATTGAAAGATGATCAATAAATTTCTCTTGGAAGATATGAATATTGATATTAATAGAATCCTACTTTTCTGGATAGTAATTATAAGGGTGTGTTTGCTTGTGTTTTGGATTTTTTTTTTTTTTTTTTTTTGGTTGATTTGGATTTTAGTTTTTCAAATAAAAAATTGTTTTGGATGTAATGTTTTAATGCATCATAGGTGTTGAATATGATTTTTATTTTTATTTTTTATCTTTTTGAGATTTTACTGTAGATTGCGCAATACAAAAATTTGATGAATATACAAAGTGACGACGCTGGTGTTTGTTTGTGGTTTTGAGAGTTGGGTTATGTGTTTTAAATATTAAAAATTTGAATTTCAATAATTATTTGATGTGATATTAATGTAATATTTTTATTGTAAAATTAATTTTTAATATAATATAAAAGATAAAAAATAGTTGTGTGATTTAATATTTTTTGATAGGGCAAAAATCAGTGAATAGTAAAGTGTTTTGTTAAAAATCCATATACAAACAGAGTTGGTTTGTTTGTTTGTGTTTGTGGTTTGTAGAGTTTTTGTTATTAGTTAGGATGATTTTGGTTAGATGGATTTGTTAACTTTTTGTTGTTATAATATTTTTTGGCAGCCACTTTTTATATTATTCAGTGTTCTTTTTCAAGTTTTTCTATATTGTGATGCTATACAGTTTTGACCCCAAATCTATGAAAATTTCTCATGTAATTCTTCTTCTTCTTCTTGTCAATTCTCACTTCAAATGTTCTAACATTACCTAATTTGCTATTCTGTTACGTGTTCAGTGGTTCTCGACACTCCTTTGGACTACAGTTTGGACGATTGCATAGAGTACATTCAAGAAGACGAACTCGTTGAGGTTACTCCCTCTAGCATCAGGATGTGCAAGAACCCTAAGATCGCCAAGAAATCACGTTGAAATCGACCATGAGCAATATTAAGTTTCGAAAAGTTTCCCAGATACAAATTGAGGACATTCTTGAACAATGAATAGTCGAGGTAGTCTTCAAATTAGGCAGGTATCTCATCTTATCTTATCTATATCATAGTCTTGTCCCAACATGAATCTTTATTTGTAATAATACTAATATTTGCCCAAATGAGCTTATTCATTTCAGTACGTCTTTTGTTGTTTCTTTCCTTACTGTCATTTTTTTTTACTATTATCTTTTTAGTGTATTTTGGGTAAACTTTTGGCCGAACATAATAGTTTGCAAAATTTAAGTTAACAAGAGAGGTCACACTAGACGAATTATGTGCGGCAGATAAAATTTGGAGGCATCGAGGGTGTATTTGTTTTGTATTTTGATTTGAAATAATATTTTTTATACTGAGGTATAAGAAATTGTGTAGATAATATGAAAATAATAAGAGTGTAGTATATTAATTATTTTGAAAAAATATATTAGAAAATTTTGAATAAAAGAACAAAGCTCGGGAATTTCAACGAATTATCTTTTATTATTATTTCTACACGGGTTGGTTATGATGGTAACTTAGCCCCGTTAAGTATTTGTTTTTTTTGTTTTTTTTTTTAAGTAACTGTACTATCTACCTAACATTACAGATACCCTGCGTACAATAAAACAAATGGATATTTCTTTTCTTGGACGGAGGGAGTATTATGTGATGGTTGTATATTATTGATTTAGTCTTGGTACCCAGAATAATAATATAACTTTAACATTCTAACTGTGGTCCATTAGTTTTTTTGTCATTGAATGATATGCTTTTTTTTTTTTTTTTTTTTTTTTTGTTTAAGACTGTCATATAAATATATTTTTATTCTTTTTGGTATTTTAGTGACAAAAAATATCAATTATTATACATTCATACTTACACAAAAATACGAGGATATGCTTTAGGAGGAAGTAGTATAGTATAGGATATTGTTCTTTTCAGTCTGAATTTGATGATAAAGAAAAATAAATAGAAAATATAGAGTACTTGGTGTGTGTTTGTTTGGGGATTTGGATTTTAGAAAAAATTTTGAATTTGAATAGTTGTATGATGTGATATAAATAAATGTTGATGCGATATTTTGAATGTAAAATTAATTTTTAGTATAATATAAAAAATGAAAAATATGTGTTTGATTTGATATTTTTGGAGAAAAAAAATTTGATGAATAATATAAATCCAATTCAATCCCCGAACAAAATAATAATAAATTTGAAAAGATACATAATCATAATTATTGCAAGAAGTTTAAGGTAACGGTCAGCCTGAACGGACTTGGGTTTACTCCAAGTCATGATGTGTTGGCATCCATTAAAAAAATTGAGTATGTTCACTTAGTCAGGGCGATGAATGTTTTTGTTCTTTTATATATAAAATTATGTGATAATATATAAAAAAATAGTAATACTTCATCCGTCTCTCAATACAATAGTCTTGTTTACTATTTTTATCCATTTCAAAACAATAGTCTCATTTCCACAAATAACCTTATCACCGTAAACCTACTCCTATTTTTTTATTATTATTAGACAATTGATACTACTTTTTACACTAATATACTCACAAGGGCAAAAATGTCATTTATCCTTACTTTTTATCGATAAATAAAATATATATTGTGCTAATATGTATAATAATTGTTACAAAAATTAAATAGTCAATTGATGGTTGATTTAAATAAATAAATAAATAATATATATCTCTATAAGTTAAAACTTTTAGGTGAATTTGTTATTTATATTATCTAATATGATATCATAGCATTGGGTCACAAATTCGAGTTCCTCGTTTGATGGCATTTATATCTTTTGTACGAGAGGGCCATAATAGTCATTGACATTATTATTATATTTATACCAATACATTTGTTATTGATTGAGAAAATTTAATTTAAATAATTTTATGAGAAAAAATGTATTTTTAAAAAATATGATCCAAATAGTAAAAAAAATGAAAAACACTAGAAAGCAAAAAAGTAAATAAATATACTTTTGATATTGTAACGTAACAATAGAGCAAGTAAAATGTAAAATAAAAGTTATATAAAAATAATTATTAAAAAATAATGTGTAAATAAAAAAAATTAATGATGAATTAATTATTATTTAATAATATATATATTTTTTTATGACGTGTGAACTCGCATTTGCTACCCGAAAGTGCACACTGAGTCAGCCTCCGGCCGAAAGAAGTGTCTTATTGAGAGTTGACACGCAGGTATAAAGTAGAATGTAAATGACTAAAATGTCCTTGCTTTTCGAATGATTTTAAAGAATATGTTAGAGTAATAATTAGGGGTAGTATGGAAAAATAGGAATAATTTTGTTATAAAGTGGAGACCACGACTACTAAATAAGGAAACAAGACAATTGTTTTGGGACGGACGAAAATGGAAAAACAAGATAAATCTTTTGGGACGGAGGGAATATATATTTAATACTCCCTCCGTCTCATAATTAGGTATCCGTTTGTTTTTTTGCACGTAATTTTAAAAATATTAATATTATATTAGGATATAGTAGGAATAAAGTAAAAATGACTAAAATAACCTTATTAGTATGATGTGATATAAATGTAATAATATTTGTGCAATATATTGTAAGTTGTAAATATCTTTGTAATATTTGTAATATTAGGTAGATAGTACAATTATTAAAAGAAAATAAATATTTTATTATGTGAACCTGACTAAAATAAAAAAATAAATTCTTTGTTACGAGATAGGCGTAAGCTATTACCCAAACAGACCTTAAAAAAATCACAAATCCAAAACACATCCTTATTACAGTACCAAAAAGAACGCGCGGGAGTTGGAGTCCCGGGAGTTGCCCGTCATCCACGTTTGGCAACAGACAACGTATCCATATGCCCATGGACCATGAACCAGTCTAATCCATTTAATAGTCAAATTTGTGGGCTTACAAAATGCATAAATAAATAAATAAATAAATGTCAATTAATTTAATATTCTTCAACAGTATTGAAGAAATTCAAGTGTATATGCATTGACCTTTTCATTATTTAGTTTTTCCTGAATTATTTGACCACTACAGCCTCCACTTTTTAAGTCCAATACCAAATCCAAACTATTAAAAGCGTGTTTCTAAAATACTCCATTAAAAAGCGTGTCTCCGGCAATGCGACTTATCATTTCAATTTTATAGTTTAAATGACGAATGTCTATCGCCGAGTTTGACTGTGAAAATCGCCCTAGATTGCGAACACCGTTCATAATTTAATCACGTGCATAAATAGCACTAAATTTTTAGTAGAAATCATTTATTTATTTATCAAGATAATTACAATAAAATAATTGCACATACGGTTTTTATTCAAACTTGTAATTATTTTATCATCATAACAATCATTTTGCCACCAGCATAACATATTTTTTTATTGGTTATATATTGTTGGTAATAAAATAATTATGGTACTGAATGGAATAACATGTTCATAATAAATATATTTTAAATATTACAATAAATAACTATTTTAATTCAATTTTTATTACTGTTCCGATCCGTTCAAAATTATATTTACTTTTTTTTTTTATTATTATAAAAAATATTCTTATTTTTTTAACAAACATGTGCATTTACATTTTTATAATTTGTTACTATAAACAACAAAAATTTAAAACGATTGTGTACTTTTATTAAAATTAGGACTTAAGTATTTAAGTACGTAATTAAATAACAAATAAAGTAATTAAAACGTAAAACCTCCAACAAATTACAAGTTGAGAGGTGTTGTGGGGTTTGTATTTTTTGTTTGTTTCTTTAATAGTAAATTTTGAAATTAAAATAGATATTTAATATGATATAAATATATTGATATAATTTCAAAACGTGTGTTTTAGTATAATTTTAAAAAAATAATAATTGGTAATATTTAAATTAATATTTATATAATCATATGAAATTGCAAGGATTACTATTTATATTGTTATTGCAATTTTTTTCGTGACAATTAAAATTATGGAGGTAGAATCCCTAATGATATTTCTGATTTGTTACAATTTAATATTTATAATAAATATACGCAATACATATTTCTACACGATAATAATATAACATGTGCAGTATTATAAAAAAAATGATATATTATAATATAATACTCCCTCCGTCCCATTTGAAGGGTGACGTTTACTTTTTGCACGTAGATTTTTTAATATTAGTATTATATTGGATTGTAGTAAAAAAAAAAAAAAATAACCCTATTAGTATGATTAATATAAAAGTAATGACATTTGTGTAATATATTGTAAGTTGAAAGGGTATTTATTATGTGAAGTAGATAGTACAGTTACTAAATTAGGAAATGGTAACCTTGTTTTGGGACAGATAAAAATAAAAAATGGTAATCTTTCAATGGGACGAATGGAGTATATGTTCTGTCATATATATATATATATGTATATTATTACAATGTATTGCCTATCTATCATTATATATGAACATTTATTATATATACTAATTGAGTTAAATCAATACGGAATTTGAATCTCCCATCGCAAAAAATTCGATGCATAATATATAAAATTGTCACAAAAATAATACATTCCACGATAAATTTCATCGTAATAATATGTTATTTTTGTGGTAGTGATATGCCAACCAAATGCACCTTAATTAGTTCATTTGAATTAATATTTTGATAACTTACTATGTAATGGTCCATTAAAGTATCCAAGTTGAGTACATGACATAGGTCTAATTAATTGGATTTAATTTAATTTAATTTAATTTATTTGTTGATCTAAGTCAGTTTATTTTGTTACATTGACATTCCATTTATTTAATTTAATTTATTTAATTTAAGTTGAGGGTGATAAAAGTATAAAAAAGCAAAACATGAGGGTCTTTATCTGCAATTTTCTGGCCAGCGTGTAATGGTGGGTTTCTAGAAGGTCGCCTCAAAACGCGAAATAAGCAGACCACGTTCTCATTATTAGTCAAAGCTCTGCAAAATGACATTCTTGCCCCCACAACTTTAATCATTTCCCATTTTATCTCCCAACACAATTGTCAATTAGTAATTAGTTTAAAGAAATTTTAGATTATATTCTAATTAGTGATATTTATTTCACATTAAATAATATAAAAATAATAAAAATATATAATTTAATAATTTTTTTTAGTAAAATGTGTATAAAAAAAACAAAGAAAATATACTTTATATTTTAGTATAATATAATAATAAATTAATATAATATTTTATATAAATAATATAAAAATAATAAATATATAATATATTATTATTATTTTTTTTGTAATAAAGAAAAAGAATACACCCTTATTATTTGATTTTAGTTTGTTGTTTGCAACAAAAGTTATTTTTGATTAAAAACAAAATATTCACTTATGCATCACATACAAGTTATTAGTAAAAAAAAAAATTCAAATTCCTAAAAGATCACTGCTGTAATTTGAAATCAATATTAATTTAATTTTTTATTTAAATGATATTTTAATATAATATTTTAAAAAAATATAATTCAATATAAATAATTTTAATTTAAAATTACAATCAAGCACACCTTAACAATATATTTATTTAATAATATTTAATAATTTATAATTTTTTTAAAAAATATATATATAATAATTAAAAAAAATACATAAAATATTATTTTTATAATATATATATATATTTTTTAAAAATTTCTACTTACGGCAACAAAAATATCTAAAATTATAAATATTAAATAAATATAATTTAATATTTTTTTAAATAACCCTTGATGTCTTGTTGCTTATAATCCAAGTAAGAATTCTCTCATCATTTTGTCCAAATAATTTCTCTTTAAATTCCAAATTGTCTCAATCTTCATGGGAAAGCTTAATCAGATAATCACTACGTTGAACATGAATTGAAATTATAAGAACCCTAATTTCAATTTCTGAACTTCACCCAATTTGAGCTCTATTTTGGACAATTTAGGCAGAATATATATATATTTTTTTAAAAATAAAAATAAAAAATAAATAAATCATGTAATAATAAAGTATTGGGTAGGAAGTGTCCAAGAAATGTCCTTTGACTCCTGATTGGATGAAAGCTCTAAAATTCCCAATCTCAACCATTTCTCCCAATCCAAACCCTCTTCCTGTTTTCCATAAATCTCTCTCCTCGCCAAGCTCCTGCTTCTGATCATGTTGATTGCACAGATTCTGCGGCGATTCAGCTCAATTTCTGCAGTCGTTGCGGAGATTTGATGATTTTTTTTGCTTCGTCTTTGAAGATCTGATGTTTCTGTTGATGATTTGTTAGAAATTTGTTCTTGTTTTTTGTTGTTTGATCGCTGTTGACTAGCCAAACTAAAAACCCTAAGAATTTGGGGATTTTTGGGTAGATCAGAGTAGAAATTTGATTTTGATTGATCTGTGAAGGTTCGTTCGGTGCAATTTTAGCGTTCTTCAAGTCGATTGTTGGAATTTTTGTGTTTTTTGTCGTTTGATCGCTGTTGACTAGCGAAATTGGAAACCCTAGAATTTGGGGATTTTTTGCGTAAATCAGAGTAGAGCTTTGATTTCGATTGATCTGTTGCACAATTAGGGTTCTTCAAGCCGATTGTTGGAATTTTTGCGTTCTTTTGTTGCTGTATCGCTGTTGACTAGCAAATTTGGAAACCCTAGAATTTGGGGATTTTGTGTAGATCAGCGTAGAGGCCTGATTTCGATCGATCTGTGGCAAAATTAGGGTTCTTCAAGTCGATTACTGAAATCAAAACATTCGAAAATGGGGAATTGTTGTGCTGTGCCACAAACCTCCGACGAGAAGAGCAGAGGGAAGCATAAGCCGAATCCATTTGCTACGGACAACGGAGCATACGCAGTCACCAATGGCGGATACAAATCTTATGTGTTGAGCAATCCGACAGGTCGGAATATCGACGAATTTTACGAGCTCGGGCGGGAGCTCGGCCGCGGCGAATTCGGGATAACGTATTTGTGCACTGATAAAAGCAGCGGCGAAGTGTTGGCCTGCAAATCGATATCGAAGAAGAAGCTGCGGACGAGAGTCGACATCGAAGACGTTCGTAGAGAAGTCGAGATCATGAAGCATTTGCCTCATCATCCGAATATCGTGACGTTGAAGGACACCTATGAAGATGATCATGCTGTCCATTTGGTTATGGAGCTCTGTGAGGGCGGAGAATTGTTCGATCGGATCGTCGCGAGAGGGCATTACACCGAGAGGGCGGCTGCCGCCGTTACACGCACCATTGTTGAGGTTATTCAGGTGAAGCTTTCGATTTGATCGTTTGGAATTTTATTTATTTTGATAATGCAATATCGTATTATATGCTCTTAGTATATATAGGTAGAAAATTATTTTATCGTATCTTGAATCCGACTAATTTTGATAATGAACTAATCGATTAGGGTGTGTTTGGATTTTTGGGATTGGATTTTGAATAGTAAAGAGTTGAATTGGAATAGTTGTTTGATGTTATACAATTGATGTAATATTTTGAATGTAAAATAGATTTGCGGTATAATATAAAAAAAAGAAAGTAATTGTTTGATTTGATATTTTTAGAATGAAAAAAGAATCTGAATAATGAAAATCTGTTGTAAAACTAAGATTATCTGTCTAAGATTATTACGGAAGGTTGAAGAGGCTCGCATTGTTCGATCATTTTCTGTAGTGTAATAACTTTCTAATATATTGGTGTTTCTTTCAGAACTGCCATAAGCATGGAGTGATGCACCGTGATCTTAAACCCGAAAATTTCTTGTTCGGAAATAAGAAGGAAACGGCGCCACTCAAGGCCATTGATTTCGGGCTTTCGGTTTTCTTCAAGCCAGGTAATTCCGAGTCACGTATTGCTTGTATATTACGCTGTCTCCAATCGAAAAAAAAAAATTGATTTGTCCGTTCTTCGCTAATTTTTTCAATTACCGCAGGCGAGAGATTCAACGAGATTGTGGGAAGTCCTTATTACATGGCTCCGGAGGTTCTGAAGAGAAATTACGGTCCCGAAGTCGACGTTTGGAGCGCTGGCGTTATTCTCTACATCTTACTTTGTGGTGTCCCGCCGTTTTGGGCTGGTGAGCTCTCGATTACCGACGTTGCATTTTCCGAATTAACTATGTATATATTCTTGCATCGAATTTTTTAATCGATTTTTGCATTTAAATTGCAGAAACCGAACAAGGAGTCGCACAAGCGATTATTCGATCGGTTGTCGACTTCAGACGCGACCCATGGCCGAAGGTTTCGGATAGAGCAAAAGATCTAGTGAAAAAGATGTTAAATCCCGATCCGAAACAGCGACTTACGGCCCAAGAAGTCTTAGGTAATTTAGCGTTTGTTTCTCTTGACATCAAACTCAGGTTTTTACTATTTGGCCTCTGCGTTTTTCGAAAAGAAATACATTTTTTTCTCTCACAAAACATCCAATCATACATTATTTTAATCCCAAACTCATTAAAAGAAACATACTCGTATTCGGAAGTCTCGATCAAGTTTATTATATTAAAAATACGATCTTCTCAATCGATTTTTGCTGCTCGTTTTGCAGATCATCCGTGGCTGCAGAATGCGAAGAGTGCTCCGAACGTGTCGCTCGGCGAAACCGTACGAGCTCGGCTGAAACAGTTCTCGATGATGAACAAGCTGAAGAAACGAGCTTTAAGGGTAACACGTCTTTCCTTTTCGAAACATACGATCGAATTGTCGGGCAATTTTTTTCTATATTTCTGAATTGATTTTTCAAATTGCAGGTAATCGCCGAGCATCTTTCGGTTGAGGAAGTTGCCGGAATTAAAGAGGGATTCCAATTGATGGATACCGGAAATAAGGGGAAGATCGACATTAACGAGCTGAGAGTCGGTTTGCACAAGCTCGGTCATCAAATCCCTGACGGAGATCTTCAAGCTCTCATGGAAGCCGTAAGTTTCATTTCCGGCTTATTCGACGAAATTAAAAATGGTGTCTTTATGGCGTTCGATGTAATCAAAAGTTTTTCTTGGCATAGGGCGACGTAGATAAAGATGGATATCTTGATTGTGGAGAGTTTGTGGCGATTTCCGTGCACCTTCGGAAAATGGGCAACGACGAACATCTACGAAAAGCCTTTGAGTTCTTCGACTCAAATAAAAATGGATATATAGAGATCGAAGAATTGAGGGAAGCCTTTGCCGACGAAGCGGAGGCTACAAGCGAAGAAGTAATTAACGCCATCATACAAGACGTCGACACGGACAAGGTTAGAAATACATCCTATGTTTATCTATATATGCTTTTGGAAGATTTGACACTATTCATCGACAGTAACTTAAAAAAGACATCACATTAAATATATATGTTCTCTTACAAAATATTATACTCCATTCGTCCCAACTCAAAGTACTTTTTTACCATTTTTGTCTGTCCCACTCTAAAATATTTATTTCCTATTTTAGTAAAAATAATTATACACTCATATCAAAATAACCTTAACTTTTATTAAATTTACAAGCATACCATTACACATACAATTAGGGTGTGTTTGTTTGGGAGGTTTGAATTTTGAATTGTGATTTAAATGGTAAAAATTTTGAATTTGAATAGTTGTATGATCTGATATAAATAGGTATTGATGTGATGTTTTGAATGTAAAATTGATTTTTAGTATAATATTAAAAAATAAAAAATATGTGTTTGATTTGATATTTTTTGGGGAAAAAATTGGACGAATAATGGAAAATAGGGAAAATCTTCCAAATAATCACACCTTTGGGTAGAAATGTCAAAATTTTTTCTTAATTTGTTACAAAACTCTAAAGGACCTTTGAAATGGGACGGAGGGAGTATCAGATGCCCGACTTTTACTATTGTCAAAATTCTTAAGAACTTTCAAAACTTCTCGAGAGTTGAGACTAATCGATCAAACTTTGTGTAGGACGGATGCATAAGCTACGAGGAGTTTGCGGCGATGATGAAGGCTGGCACGGATTGGAGAAAAGCGTCGAGGCAATATTCGAGAGAGCGATACAATAATTTGAGCTTGAAATTGATGAAGGACGGATCGTTACAAATGAGCAACGACGATAGATAACCACAATACGAACGAACAAAGCGATTGTTCTTTCCGGGTATGTAAGTGAAGGCGAAACACTATTTTTAGATCTCTAATGTTCCTTTTATCGATTTTATTCTAAAAAAAAAAAAACGATCGATCGATCTTGCTTGTGCGATTCTTGTCGTCGAGGATAAATAGACTAGACGTAAGTCCTTAGCTTGTCGTATTGTCGCGATACCGACGTTTCTTCGATTTTATGTTGCTCAATGTGTCTACGAAATTGAAGGATTTGTTGATTTTTTTCTTCTTCTTTGGAAGATGAGGAAGTGTTGTAATGTGTTTGTATGTGTATGTATATATATATATATATCATGTGTGTTTATGTATTGTTACACATTTTGTGTTGATCAAATCTTTGAAAAGCTTTGTGTTAATTTTTTTTTGGCATATGAATATAATTTATATAATACATACTGTAACTGATCTTAATATAAAATGTATGTTAACACAATATAAATACTTATGAATTGACAATATAGGATAATGCTTTATATGAATTGACATATATATTATATATGGGTAAAACTGGATCCATTATCATTTTAGTTTCGTAAGTGAAATTTTTGTTGTTTTAGTCCTCCGGCGCCGGAGACGTCCGCGTGGTTGTCGGAGGTGACGTGTTAATTTTTTTTAAAAAATTCTTTTTAATTTATTTTTAATTTTATTTGTATTTTTTTATTTGGTCCAATTAAAAACAATTTTAAAAAAATGAAAAAAAAAAATGAAAAAAAAAAAAGTAAATCCATGTATCCTTCAGGTGTCACTGATCTGGTGGGACACCTGGCGGACACGTCACCTCCGGCGAGTTACGCGGGCGTCTCCGGCGCCGGAGGACTAAAACAACGAAAAACTTTCACTTATAGGACTAGTTTGCGACAGGCTTCACTTAAGGAACTAAAATGATAAAGGGGTCCAGTTACGGGACTAAAAAAATAGTTTACCCATTATATATTATATATGTTAGATTTAATTCATAATATATGTGAAGATATATAGTTATTCAATGGTACAAACTAATAACATGATTTAACATTATGACTAAATAAATTCGTATCATGCTTTAATATTCTAGTTATAGTACAATAACCTCTAAATAGAGCACAATAACTTGTAAATTATGTCAATTGAAAAAGCAATCATAGACAAGTTCTAACTGACAAAATAGATCAAAAAAATAACTTCTAAATCGAACGCAATAACTTGCAACTATGTCAATAATTTTTTTTTAAAAAAAGTCACCTTAGACAAGCTCTGGGCTACAAAATCGATCAATAAACATAACATGTGAATAGAGCACAATAACTTGTAAATTATGTCAATTGAAAAAGTAATTTCATACAAGTTTTAAGTGGCAAAATCGATCAAAAAATATAACCTCTGAATTGAACGTAATAACTAGCAAACTATGTCAATCAAAAAAACTATCCTAGAGAAGCTCTAGATGACAAAACCAATAAAAAAAATTACTCTCTGGATCAAGCGCAATAACTTACAAACTATATCAATTGAAAAAGTCACTCTAGACAAGCTCTTGGTGTCAAAATCGATTATAAAATATTAATTTTTGAATCGAACGCAAATAACTTGCAAATTATATCGATCAAAAAATTCACCCTAAACAAGTTCAAGTTACAAAATCAATCAAAACATATAACCTTTAAATTAAGCACAATAATTTGCAAACTATATTAATAAAAAAAACCACATGAACAAGGTATAGGTTACAAAACCAATAAAATATATATATATATATATAACTTCTGAATCAAACGCAATAACTTACAAATTATGTCAATCAAGAAATTCATTCTAGACAAGCTCTACGTGACACAATCAATAAAAACAAAAACAAAAAACGCATGACATCTGATTCTAGCGTAATAAATCGCAAATTATGTCAATTGGAAAAGCAAAAACAAGTTTTAAGTAACAATTGATCAAAAAGCGTAACTTTCTGAATCAAACAAATAACTTGTAAAAAATTATGTTAAAAAAGTCAAGACAACTTTTAAATGATAAAATTGATATAAAAAAAATATATATATACTATTTCCGTCCCGCAAAAAGAGTAACATTTATTTTTTGCACGTAGATTTTGTAATATTCCCTCTGTCCCGGAATAATGGTGGCATTTGATTTTTGCACGTAGATTTTTTTATATTAGTATTATAATGTATTGTAGTGAAAAGGACGAAAATACCCCCATTAGTATTGTGTAATATAAAAGTAATGACATTTGTGAATATAGCGTAAGTTTGAAGTGTATTTATTATGTTAAGTAGGTAGTACAATTACTAAATTAGAAAATGGTACCCTTGTTTTGGGACGGACGAAAATAGAAAATGACAACCTTTCAATCGGACGGAAGGAGTATTAGTATTATATTGGTTTATAATGAAAAAGACAAAAATGTCCCTGTGATAAAAAAATAATGACATTTGTGTAATATATTAAAAATCATAAGAGTATACAATTACTAAACTAAAAAAAATATATATATTTATTTTTCTAAAAATAAAAAATTATATCATTCTAGTGGAACAGAGGGAGGGAGTAACAGATGAGAATGAATGCCAAAGTGATTGAAGTAGTGATGTGTACCAATCGTATGGTCGGTGGAGCCACCCAAAAAAATCATTAAATTTATTGATTGAAATAACATCGAAGATTTGACCTGTTTGAAATTCTTTTCATATCATCCATCCATTATTGCCTACTATATCATATACTCCACATTGCAATCAAATTAATAATTGACTCTCCTTACGCACACATATTATTTATATAATAAACATTGAATTTAATAATATGTGAATAAAATAATACTCTCTACGTCACGTTGTCGTTTCTGTCCATCACATATTTTATGTCACTTTTTTTTTAAATTGATTGCACTTTAATCTCATTTTAAATTTTTTAATTTTAATTAAACTAATTAATTATCTTAATCTTAATTTATAATTATTTATATTACAAGATAATTATTTTTACTAGTATATTCTTAATTATCTACTAATTACACCCCTCCTAATGTCTACGGACGGGGAGGGAGTATATTTTATACAGAATTTTAATTATTATATAATAAACAAACTGAAATTAGATTTAAAAAGAAAAAGCCTAAGCTAGTAGTGTGTTTGTGTACAGGTTTTGTTAACACTAAAATGAATCGTATTTTAATTTTAATATAATTTAATTTAGAACACTCATGTTATATAGTTGTTCGAATTATTAATATGATTATTTTTTTGTCAGTTTTTAATGATATGCATATAATATGATTAAAGTGTTTGATTAAATGAAGACACAAGTTTTTTTTTTTTTTATTTTTAAATGAATTTATAAAATGAAGAATATCCTCATTCATTACTCTTTTAAAATACTAATTGTCTTCAAAATTGTTTTGAAATATTTTAATGAAAAATTAGAATATAATAGTTTATATGTATTTAAGTTCAATTTATTTATATGATAGAAAAATTAATACAAAAACACAAACAAACCTATGCTAAGAATATCATACCAATATTGAGTGAAAAAATTCATTATTTATTTTAGGTATTTTATCTTTGTTTTTTGGTTTTTTTTTTTTTAATTATATTTTATAGTGTTTTACTTTTTATCTCACATTTTACAATATACAAACATCACTTTCAAGGGTTTTATTTAGATATGGTAGTTACAATTTTTAAAAATTTTAAAACAATAAAAAAACAAATATTTATAATAAAAAAATAAGTATTTTATGTGATATTTTTATATTTAAATGTATTGTATATAAAAATAGGGATGAAACTATTCAAATTTTATATGTAAACACAACCAATTTTCAATTCAAAACATCATATTTAATATTTATTTTCTATTTAAAATATCATAAAAAAAAAAAAAAAACATATTCCAATTAGAAATTCAAAATCTAAACAACAAACAAATATGAATGACCTAAATAAATTGTAAGTGGTGATCGAGTTTTTACGTGTGATAATAAGGTCATTAATTCGAATTTTACCGATATTTTTTGTCGAGTATGTCACTCAGAAGTTACCCACCGGCCTTGATTCCGACATATTAAATTACTTGTTTTATGTTATATTATCCATTTGTGTGATATAAAAAGACAAATTTTCAATAATTTTTAAAATTATTTAGTATTGAAACTTATCATTCTAATATGTGATTTGAATTATATATTTTGAGTTTGATCTAAATAAATATTTACAATTAGAATGCCTAGTTTGAATCAATTTATTAAAGGAGTCAAATTATTGAATTCGTTTCATTTTAGCTGATAACAAAAGACAGAGTTGGATCAAATATTAATTATTTAAACTACTTGATAGTGATGAATAAATTTATCGTCATATTTTTTATTTTTAAATATTAATTATTGTTATATTATTTTTTTTATAACGCCGGAACCTTCATCATCATTATTATTATTATTATTATTAAACATGGTTTGAAATTCAAAATTCTTGTTTCTAGCTTTTTAATTTGGATTAAGTTTGAAACTTCGAGTTTTTCATTTAAATTAATATATTATTTAATCAAATAAAAAATATTTCTTTCGTCCCACATAATTTGTTTTTATTTTTTATTTTTTTCTGTCGCATATAATTTGTCATTTTCTTTTTTGAAAAAATATTTATACACTTTAATCACATTTAAAATTTTAATTTTTATAATTTTTTTAATTTTAATTAAAGTATTTAATTATGTTAATCTTAATATATAATTATTTTTATTATACAATAATTATTTTATTAATACATTTCTTAATTACTTACTCATTATACTTTACTTGAATTCTCATTATACTAAGACGGAGGGAGTATATGTTTAAAAAATAAGTGATTAAAAATTAAAAAGATACACACTTTTTAGAATTTTATTAAATTAGATCTTAAAGAGTATTTTTATAACTCTGTCAAAAAATAATATAATTTTTTTAAAAAATTAGAGAATAAACTAAAAAATATACTGATAAATTGTATTTTTCAATACTCCTATATTGTTTTAAATTATACAGTAAGTAACGCATAACGATCATAGTTATATTTGTCTTGAACATTTAAATTTTGAATAATAAAATTTTAAATTAAAATTATTGTTTAATATAGTATAAATAATCATTGATATAGTTTTTTGTAATTTTTTATAAAATAAAAATAAGTATTTAATTTGATATTTTTTTTAATAAAAATATGAATAATAGAAAAAAGAAAAAGAAAATCCCACATCCAAACACACCACATGGGTGGAAAAAATAAGTATGACCTGAAAGTCCGGTCCCGAGCACGGCACAAAAAATCGTGTCTAGGCTTCCAAAAA